AAGCGGGTTAAGCAAGAGGAGGAGGGCGACAAAGATTCCGATAATGACCGTTCTGACAACAACGACAGGTGGGAAAAGCGAAGACGGAACTGCACCGCTCTTGACCGGGCTGTGATGGACATTTCGGATACAGCATATGAGGCCATCGACTGCGAGGAAGTTCCGCCGGAGTGGATTCTTCCGGCACTGATCAAATTCCACTCAAGTGCAACCGACGAGAGGATCGAGCGCTGGGTCCTCTTTCAAAAGGAGGGAGAAGTTGGCTTCGATTTCTGCTTGTACGGCGTCTTCTACCATGGGCATAGGCATGCAGAGGTTGCGAGAGGAGGGTGCTTCTGTAGGGCTCACGTCCCGCCTGGCTTGAGGCAGAGGGCTACCAAGTGTATCCGGGTTCAGCGAAGCGTTGAAAGTTCTGAGAAGGTGCTGTTTTCTTGGGAACAAGATATTGGACCTGCTCCTGTTCTTGGTCGCTTTGAGTGGGGTAGATGGCCAGCTGTATACTATGAAAGCTCAGACGAGCCAAGTCCCTAGATGTGCCAGGCTGCGTGATGACAGACCGTGTGATGGCAGCCTTGCAGTTGTGCCTCTCGACTGCCATCGCAACTATATAAGACCACTTGAGCGACCGAATTGCCAGCTTCGGTTACTTGTATCCTTTTGGAACATATCCTAGTGATGTAGTGGTTCGCCAGCGCCGTGACATATATGTGACGAACGGCAGTCTGATCTGCCTAAGTGGGATAGCTGAAGGTATATAACTATCAGTAAACGTTCAGTGAAGCCAAAAGGCTCACAACAAATATGGTCTCGGTGATAATGATCAATTGACTGCTATCGGACTATCTGACAATCTGCGCTCTCCCGTAATCCTTTTATACCTTGCGTGTGTCCTTGACTCCCGTATTCCTGAGTGTCTGCTCACTCATGATGTTGGCTCACTTGAAGGTCCTGGCTCACCTTGTGAGCTAGCTCACGCGTGAGCCCTCATAGTCCGTGAGCCCTCCTGGTTCTGCGCCCTACTGGCTCCTATGATTACACTGTCCCGCCTCTGCGTGGCTGTCGTATCCTGGTGGCTTGGTTGACCCGTGTGACTCGCTTAAGTTCGTAACAATATAGTATTATCGGGATCTGTATTTGTTACGAACTTATGAGGACACACGGGCCAACCACAAGGCTGGTAGCACAGACAGCCCAATAAGGCTAGACTGCGTAACGCCAGGACAGGGAAGAGCTCACAGGACAACAAGGCTCGCGCTAATATTACTAACACCATCCCACACATCTAGCATCAACGACGATGATCCTGACGACTGTACCACCTCCGACCCTGGTCAAGACGCAAACCGTAATGAGGACCAGGACAATGACCCTGCCGATAACGGCCCTACAATGTCCACCTACGGATATGTCAAGCCTTGGAGAGGAATGAATCAGTTCATGGCTTCTTACGGGACCAGGCGGTCGGCGGAGGGATATGAGGAGGGAAGGGACTTGGCGAATGAGATGATGGAGGTGGCGCACAAGAATGAGAACCTCAAGTGATGATGGGGATCGGGGGGGTGGGCTGGAATGTGGCAGGTGAAAGTTTAGGTGCGTAGGTAGGTTCGGATGCAGCATGCATGCACGGGAGTAATTGTGGGTTGTCATGTATCGGTATATGCAGTGGTAAGCTTTACCTTGAAGGTGCGTAAGGCAGGAAGGGGTGAATCGCTTGGGAATCTGGGTTTTAAGCTGTTCTTCCTAGTTTAATGACGTGTCTCTGGGCCGAAGTCAGACAGGCAGATAATCAGGGGTGTTTATCGTGAGTAGTGTAGCACTTTCCAACTTTTTGCTTCTTTCCTCAATATCCAACAGGAAACCAATGGGACATGATGTGGCTGTCATAGAACCAGTCGCGGCTACCTACTTCTCCCATCTCCTCTTCCCAAACATCCGTCTTCTACCTCCAAGCTGTCTTGATCATGGCAAACGCCTCAGTGCCTGACTGAATCACAGCCCCTGCCAGCCATGGTAAAGTGGTCGAAGGCTTTGCCAACAACGAAGCCAATACCGAGTTGGGGTTCCTCTTTGACCAAAAGACCAGTCCGAGCGTAAAAGCCGTCAGGGTGAAAAGCCGGCGGACGGTATGACTCTGCTTGACGATCTTGTTCTTACCCGTTCGGCCCTGTGATTGTCAAACACATTTTGTTAGTTCACACGGCCAGCTAACAATCGAGCCTCTTGTAGGATGGATAGGTAACGTCATAAATATGAAAGCGGACCCAAGACTTACACTGAACCGCCAGTCCTTCCACGACGGGAACACACACGAGTACCAATAATGGGCCTGGGACAGGGGATAGACCGTCGCGTTCCACGGTTTCTTGCCGTCAACGGCACGGTTGTACCAGCTGGTGCATCCAGTAGAGAAGACGGTGTTTTGGAGCGAGCTGTGCACCCATTGGACGTATTTCTCTTCTGCTTCGCGTTTCACTTCGACCACACTGCCCTTGCCCTTGAGGACCGGCTCGATGACCCGCAGAGAGTAGTTGACGGCATTTTCGACGGCCATGAGGAACGAGGTGTGGCCTGTTGTTGTGTTGGGACCTGGAGGAAAATTGTCAGTATTGCTCATACCTCTAAGACATTGAAGGGGTCCAAGGGCAAAGGCTTACCTCCCAGCAGGAAAAAGTTGGGAAATCCGCTGAGACTTTCACAGTTGTACGCCTCAGCACCGCCAAAGGACTCCCAATGCTCGTGGATGGTCTGTCCCCCGCGACCGACAATCTCGCAGTCAAGGAAGAACTGATTCGTCTTGAAGCCATTGGCCAAGACAATCACATCGGCCTCCACGATCTCCCCGCTCTTCATCCTCAGTCCATTCGGCAATATCTCCTCCACCGGCTCATCTGTCAGTCGCAGGTGTTCGTTATGCAGGCTCTTGAGGTAACCGGAGTCGAATATCCTCCTCTTGCAGCCGACCTCAAAGTCCGGGATCAGCAGGCTGTGGTACTTCGCCGGCGCCGTCGCCCGCATGTACGCCTCCACCTGCCTCTGTCTCTTCTTCCGCCACGCCTTGGCAATTTTCCCATCTCCGAAACCAATGTACTCCACTTCGGCCTTGACGAACGTTAAGGTGCGCTGGATCTGCATTGTACCTGGGATGTTGGCGAGCGTAAACATCAGCCAGAACGGCACCTTCTCATCGAGCGGCGGATAAACCCAATGCTTGGACCGCACCACCTGCGTCAGATGGGCCGTCTTGTCCACGATGGCCGGCACGATCTGGGCTCCCGTGCACCCGTTGCCGAACACCACCACTTTCTTATCAGTCAAATCGACATCATGCCGCCACCTGGCTGAGTGAAACATGGGCCCTTCGAACCTTTCCGCCCCGGGAATCTCCAACTCCCTCGGCTGATCAAAGTGTCCGACCCCCGAATAAAGAAACTGGCACTCGTGCACAATCACCTGCCCGGTATGCTTCTGCCGGATCCACATCCTCCACCTTCCCCTTTCCTCGATCCAGACGCACTTCTCGACGGCGACGTCAAAGGTCATCCTGTCGACCAGGTCATATTTGTGGGCTACGCGGTTGAGGTACTCCCACAGCTCGGTGTAGGTGGGCAGCACGCGCGTCCAGTTGGGGTTGCACTCGAACGAGAGCGAGTAGAGTGCCGAGGGCACGTCGCAGGCGCAGCCCGGGTATTGGTTCACGTGCCAGGCGCCGCCGAGCTTGGTCTGCTTGTCGAAGAAGCGGATGTCGGTGATGCCGTACCAGCGCTGGAGGGTGGCGCCGAGGGCGATGCCGGAGAAGCCGGTGCCGATGCAGGCGAATTGGGAGTAGGAGAAGACGGGGTCTTCTTCTTCTTCGGTGTGGGAAGCCATGTTGGCTTAAATGAGAATGTTGATGGATAGCACTTGACGGAGGGAGAGGGGATATGTTCAAAGATATAAAGATGATGGTATAGTAAGGTATGTGCAAGAATCTCCCAGCTGATGCCGTTTTAGGTTTTAAAGAAGGGAGTAGTGATACAAAAATCTCAACAGAGCAAAGCAGGAAGACAAGCGGGAGAGATAAGACAAAACACACCAAGTTTATACGACGAGCCACGAGTGAGTCTGCCGTGTTAGGGAACACGGTGGATGTGGAAGATAATTCCCCGTACGAGCGGCGTACGGGTAGCAGCCGGCCGGACCAGGGGGATGGGGATATGTGTAACAACGGAGCTGTGAATAATGGTGCGTGGTGGCGTCACAACGCAACGTCGTAGTCCGAAGTATCCGTAACAAGAAGCTTCGGGGCACCCTGGCTGCTGGGAATCCTTTGACATTGCATCTCCTTATCGGATACCGATTCTTGTCGTGGCTGTTAATGTGTCACCGAGCGGCTCGCTTCCGCATGCCTCGGTTCTCTTGTCTTTGGAGGTGAGGGGAATGGCCGATCTCATATCCGTCGTCAACCCCAAGACTTGTTATGGGTCTCTCCCCTTGTCAAGCTAATTGAGCGCTAAACTCCGCTGAACGCCGAGACATTGTGGGGGTCGGCTAGCCTGACAGGGCATTCCCCGCTGTAGTGTACTGTAGCATCGTGAATGAAATGGAATTGGCCTCGAGGAACTGAATCAACATGGTGATGTTCTGGTACCGAGCGTGCTCTGGCTATGATGTAGATATGCTGAGTTCCTTTTTCGTTTTTGGAAAGGTGGAGAAATATTAATACTATCTTTGCGGTGCTATATCTCAGCTTAGTCTTAGCCGGATGGCGATAAATCTTACACAGTACAGCAGAAAAGTGAGATGAATGTCGATGCAACCCGCTGACGGGACATGTTTCGGACCAATTGTCAAATGATCCAACACAAGGCGGTGGTCTTGCGATTGTGCGTGTCTGGTCTGTTGGCTGTCGATTACTTTGGATTTCCCGCGCGAAGACTTCCACTTAGTAGGTACCGCATAGGTTCTTCGAATGTACTGTGTGAACGAATCGAATGGCTCCAAGGTAATTAGGCCTCATGATCCTCGAGCTTAATCCCCCCAGTCTCAACATCAACAACTTGGCGCCCCTTGAAGTCAACCGGAATCTTGACAGTGGATTCCCTTGCCATTCTCAATACCCACTCGGGAGCTCCCCTCTGCAACACCACAAAAAAAAGGTTAGTTCAGTTCGATAGGTGCATGAAAGGGCTCCGAGGAGCGGGAAACTTACCAGTGAGGTGAGATAGCGCATAATCCCCGGAAGATAGATGGTCCTTCCATACCCGCTATACAAACTATCCACAATCTCCTCGCTGACCGTCCTAACATGCAACAGCGGAAAGATAAAGTTGTTCTGTCGAGGATGCGAGGCTCCGATCAAGGGCGTCTGGATAAAGCTGGGAATGGCCAGCGTGAGCCTCACGCGCTTGGCCTTGTGGGCGTGCTTGAGTTCCAGCTGGAGGGACTGTTGTTGTTGAAAGGATCAGTGTCAGGTCAGGTTTCGCACCTTGCATGATAAATGGGCGGATATCGACAGGACAGGCGACAAAAAGTACAAATGGCGCTACTCGGTGCTCACATACCTCATGCAACATCTGAACCCCCGCCTTACTCGCCGCATAATCGCCAATATACGGCGGCGGCAAGAAGGCGCTCATGGAGCAAATATTGACAATATGGCCATGATTTCTCCTCACCATCTCCGGCAAGAACTCCTTGGTCAGCAAAAAGGGAGCCGTCAAGTTTGTCCGCAGCGTCGACTCGACATCCCCATACGAGCCCTCCATGATGGTGAAACCCCTGGCGATGCCGGCGTTGTTGATCAACACGGTCGGGTGTCCGACCTCCTTTTCACTCGCGCGGCGACGGACCGGATCACGTCCGACTTGGTCAGGTCCGCCTGGTAATAATGGATGCTCTTTTGGGCATTCTCGGGAACCGTCCAGCTCAGCGGCGCATAGTCGACTATCACTACCGTCGTGCGCGGGTTGCGCTCCAGCAAGCCCTGAATGACATTCTGCCCGATACCGCTGCTGCCGCCCGTGACCAGCACAATTTCTTTGCTCCAGTCGGTCCACTCGCCGTGCGCCGGGGAGGTGAAGTTGTTGGCGAACAAGTGGGTGAGCTGGTCGTTGGCGGCGAGAGTGGCGCCGGCGATGCCAAAGCCTGTTAGGTAAGTGCCGATGCGAGAGAGTAAGGAAAGGTCGATCCCGAGCAGCTCGTGCAGTTCCTGCAGGTGGAAGTCCCGGTAGTGGTCTGGGTGTTTCTCGAAATAGACGATGGCGGCGGCGAGGGGGGAGGGTAAGGTACGGGTTTAGGACGGTGCGGCGGATTAAGCGGCCGACATCGTCGATTGTGAGACCTTCGCGGGAGATGGATGTCGGCATTGTTCCTGGTCGTGGTGACGGGAGTTAGTGTTTGACTTTGGCGGCGTGCTGGTTGTGTGTTAGTGTTTGTGTCGCTATGTCGTGGCCGGCGACGATGTTAGTGATGGGGGCAAAGATGTGATGAGCCACATCTTCTTTTTGGGGCCAAAAGACAGATGAACTCCAAGAGGCCATCGTGTCGTATCGAGCCTAGGCTACAAAACTCGTGAGGGGTCGTGAACATGTGGGAATTGGAGAGTTCATGATGATCCCCTGTGGTTCGTCGTGATCGGACACCAAGGAGGGCTAACAAACCCCGCGATGAAACGGTAGTGGTAGTAATAGGTGTGGAGCATGGTTCTAGGCGTTCCGGGGTTCTCCACGGACATTGACCACTCAGCGTCCTTCGGGTTCTTCCCGATGCGGGGGTTCTGAATTGTCCAACTGATGGGCGCAGCTAAAAGTGCCCTGCTGATGCACCGCTCAGGCACATCACCACCAGACTGGAAGTTCTCCAAATCACTTCCCTTGCAACCACCAGACGCAGAATCGGCAGCCAGCCGAGGCTACGGGACCACTGGAACTTTCATGTCGCTCGCTTGACACGGGACATTTGTTTGTCGAGCATCTTGGCTTCGATTATTGTCATGTCTATTTGACACCGTCATCTCGCCCATTCGAATTGATCCCATTCGAATTGATCCCAACTCGCGTTGTAACTGCAACATCTTTCTGTCCACCAACATGGTGAGTACCTGCTAGGTGCTTTCAGTTCCAGTTTTGTGAATGAAGCCATCCCGAAGTGCTCATTCGAAAAGGGCAATAAGTCAACAAAAGAGACTTGGGCGGCTAACAAACCACGACATGGCAAACAGGCTCGCGCACTTCGCAAAAACCCCCTGAGGTTGTGGGAAAGACTTTACCTTCTCGCTCACCTGCTCACGATTGGTTCGTTATCTTCCCTCTCCTCCCCTCACGGTTCTCTTCAGTAGAGGTAGAAATGAGAAAACTGACATACACCTCCCAGACGCCGCCCACCTGTGTCTCAACCTCGTCACCTGCGTCGGTCTCGCCGTCCTCCGGGGCATTCCCATCCGCCACTACTTCAAAGTTGCCTACAACCGCTTCGCTCTCGGCCGTCTCTCTCCGCGCGAGATCCAGCATCTGAGCCCGTCCACCGCCACCATCTACCGCAAATGGATCGCCTCCACCCGCTCCGCCGCCCAAGCCCGCCTCGACTCCGGCCAAGGAAACCCCGATGACCAGTACATCCTGGACCACCTAATCGCCAACGAAGAAATCCTTTCCGACGGCCAGTCCTCCATCCTCTGGGTCGGTGACCGCCGTCGCGCCTCCAAGTTCGTCCTCTTCTTCCACGGCGGCGGCTACATCGCCCCCATGCAGGATGGCCATCTCGAGTGGTGTCTTCGGTCTTACCTCTTGACCAAAGGACGCCGCGAAGGACAGTATGTTGCGGTAGCCGTGCTGCAGTACACCCTCGCCCCCGAAGCCCGCTACCCGACCCAACTCGCGCAGGCCGCCGACGCCCTGGTGTACCTCCTCAAGCTAGGCGTTCGCCCCTGCGACCTGGTCATCGGCGGCGACTCGGCCGGCGGGAATCTCGCTTCCCAGATCATGAGCCACTTGTTGCACCCCCACCCGGACGCCAGGGAGATTCCTCTTCCGCACGGGGAGCGGATTGCCGGAGTGTTTGCTGTCAGCCCCTGGGTTAGTGCGAGGACAAATGACCGGAGCATGAGCGATAACGCCTTCATCGACATGCTTTCGCCGGGCATCATGGAGAAGGCGAATCATGAGCTTTTGGGGAACCATGAGAAGTATAATGCGGAGAAGAAGAGGGGCCAGGGGTGGGCGATGCCGGCGGATGTGAATACCGGTGCGTGGTATAAGGGGCTTGGGAAGTTTTTGGAGAGGTTGTATGTCACGGTGGGAACGCAGGAGGTTTTTAGGGACCAGAGCGTGGTGTTGGCCGAGGGCATCAGGAGGACGAATCCTGATATCGAGGTGGTGTTGGAGGAGAGGTGGGATGAGGCGCATGATTTCATCTTGTTGGAGGGCGGGAGGAAGGAGGACGGGAGTGCCACGAGGCGGATGAGGAGATGGGTTGAGGGCGTGTTTTGGTAAGTATCGTGGCAAGAAGGCATACACCAGGCTTGAATAACACAGGGCAGAGAGGTCTATTGGTGTACGTTTTGGATAGGAAAGTCTAGCTAAGATACAAGTCCAAGTCCTTCAGGTGGCATGCTACACTATTTGTAGTGCATCCCATCCCGCCTTCGGAAGCGCACGATGGAAACGCGGTACCAAGTCTGCATGAGGGGGAAACTGGGTGCCAGGTCGTGGGTATATACTGTAGGTACGTTCATACCCCTTTGTGTAACCTTCACATCAGAGTTTGTCCCTTTCCAACTTTGCGTCTTCCAAGACTCCTGCCCTCTCCGCCTCGGTCAGAATCAACTTCTCATAGTGCTTGTTTCGGACCGTCATATCGACTGGAAAAGGTTCGGATGTCGCATGGAAATGCAGCCGTCTCGAGTTATAAGGTCCAGCCTATTATTGCAAGAGGTCATGTCAGTCAGCCTTACCGTCAAAATCTGGACAAGGAAAAAAGACGAGAAAGAGTGAGTCTTTGGGGGCCAAAACACTTACAGGTTTAAGGTCAAACGACTGAACCAATCGAGAGAGAAGCAGAAAAAGACTGTTCTGCGCAAGCCTATACCCAACACAGATGCGTCTGCCACCACCAAACAGCCACAAGCCGTGGGCAATGTTCGTCTCGTGGCCATCCAACCAGCGCTCAGGAACGAAGCTGTCCGGATCCCGGGCCTCCTCGCCAAGAGCAGCAATGTTCAAGACGAACCCGGTTCCGGCAGGAAAGTGATAGCCCTCAAAGTCGATATCCTTTGTCGAGGTATGATCCGGCGTGATGGGCAAGATGGGCCGCCACCGCATCACCTCCTTGGTCATGGCGCAGATGTACTTGAGGTCCTCAAAATCAGCCAGCGTCGGCAACCGCGCGTTGGCATCCTTGCCACAAACACGATCGACCTCCTCGCGCGCCTTACGGAACGCATTCGGATGCTCCAGCGCCGCCATGAAGGCCACGTTGAGCACCATCCTGGTGGTGTCGCTGCCGGCCTCCACGAGCTGCATGGCCGCGTACATGGCGTCGTCGTCGTCGCCCGTGTACTTGGTGTCCGGGTGCAGCAGCACGTCGCGCACAAAGGACGGGGGCGCCGTGCCGTTCTCGACCTTTTTCTTCACGGGATCCCACCACCGCTTGTAGACGTCGTAGTTCCACTTGTCCAGCCAGCCCCACGACAGCCGCCACGGCTGCACGAACCACCACGGCAGCAGCCGCTCCAGGTCCGGAAACCAGTCGACGGCGCTGGTCATGATGCTGCTGGTGAAGTAGGTGACGCAGTTCTGCATGTCCTCGAGCTCCTTGCTCGACTTGGCCATGCGCTCGCCCAGGGCGATCCGGTGGATCACCGAGTTGGCGTACCGGTAATGGTGCCGGTGCCACAGCTTGGGCTGCAGCAGGTACTCGGCCAGCAGCTGCGTGCTCTCTAGCTCCTGCCACGTGCCATAGAGCTTGAGGTGCGAGCCGGAGAGCAGGGAGTGCATGGCACGGCGCGGCTCGGCCCAGGCCGCCTGATGCATGAGGAGGGAGCGCCGGTGGTTGTGACTGATGATGCCGCTTGAAACCGGGTAGAATGAGCGCTCGTTGGTGGTGCTGCCACGCTTATTGATGATCTCGGTGGCGACGCGGGAGCTGTTGAGGAAAACAAAAGTCTTGGAGCCCAGGTGTAGCGTGGTCATCTCACCATACCGCGAGAGGGCCTTCAATTTGGTGTGGTCCTGGTGTTCTATGCCTTCTTTTACGTCCAGGAGGCTGCCGAGAATGGGGAGGCCCGAGGGACCAGGAGGGAGGTGGGGGACTTTGCCATCTTTGCCTTTGCGCTTGCCGAGAGGCTTGAAGTACTCTGCCAAAGCAGTGAAGAGGAGCAGAACAACAAGGAAGAATGCACTTGTGTAAAACAAGAAAGGGTGTTGCGTCCGGAAGGACAACAGCTCGGATCGGCTCGTCGTCATCTTGAGACTTGTTGGACCACCGGTTGGTTGAAGAGCTTGGGAGTCATGGTTTCTGCTGGAAACAAAAGGTTCGAGCAGGCCATTCTTATAGTAGTCTCTGGCTCTGGTCACCAATCCGAGTGCCCACCACGTCACACTCACTGCCTTGCTTGAATCTTAATTTCCCGTCGTGGTGATGGACCCGGGAGTACGCTGTAGAATAGGTGGTAAACAACAACCATATAAAGGGGATCACCGCTTACTTAAGCGGCCAACGCAATCTTGAAACAGCCCGACTCGACTCGCCCCATGAAACCGGGTGGGCCAAACCACAAAAAAGACTATGTGCAGCATGCCTTTTCGACCGATCTTCCAGTACTTGGGATCAAGTCCCATCACTTCAACACCGCCGGAAAATCATAGTCATGGTCTTATTATCATATCAACCATGCGAGCCACATTCTTCAACTTCGCCGGGTCGGGTGGGCACACGGTGATGATGAGCATCGTGATGTGTAGTTGTAAGGAGGTTTTGGGTTTTTGGTGTTGAAAGGTCGGCAAGTCTATCTGATTGTTTATATAGTACAGCTCCACGCCCGCTACTTGTAAAAGTTCCGGTTAAGGTGTTAGTGCGTCTTGCGGGCGGACTTCATATCCAAACCCCTCTTTCACTATGAGAATCATAATGCACTGTCCAGAAGGTCCACCTGTCACCTGCCAAAGAAATTGTTAGGCCTAACAAAGCTCTGGTCATCTACTGTTAGTGCTTCTTCCGTTTGCAACCTCTACCGGTAAGTTGTCACCCATTTCTCGGGGGCTCATTACACAGTAAGGGATAGTGATAATCCATTTTAATTCACAGCTTCCTCTTTACCTTCCACGTGCGGTCTATCCCAGTATCCGGTACCAACCCGGGCCACAACCCTGGAATCAGCTTACGGCCAAATCCCGAACACTACCTCCTGTCTTGCCAAGTCATCACCATGCCCAAACCGGATGACGATGTAACCTACTCCAGACGCACGTCACATGGTTGGTCGAGTATCAAGGACCGGTGAGTCTGGGGAAAGCCTCGGCCTTTTGAACTACCCCACAAACGGACTTGGAGATGTCTGGGGTAAGGTAGCTCACCTGCTCACCACTAGCGTCGTTCGGAATGGAGCCGACGACTCCCCCCTCAGTTAGAGTTCGGTCGGTGGTTGGAGATCGGCTTGGATGGGAAACGTTGACCGTACAATGGCTTAAAACCTTGAGGCTGGATTGGTCCATCATCACACGGTGAAAAACTACTATGTAGAGGAAAACACTGTGTTATAATCACCTCCTCTTGTCACTTGTTCTAACACCTTGCTATAAAGTCCATAACGCGTACCGTAAGCAAAGAGGAGGAGACACCCTTAACTTAACACTCCTTACTTGCCAAAACACCTATCTTGTTCAACGGGTAACAGTAACAGTCAGAATGGCGTCAGAAACCGCTATTTCCACCCTCACATTGCCAAAGGCGGTGGATTTCCCGCCTCTTGCGGGTGATCCAGTCAGCCCGGAGAGCTGGAGGACACTGATGGCCATCATGGACGCCGTTGCCCCATCAGTTCAGCGAACAGACTCCCTTGCGGCAGACAACGCACAGGAATCCATTGTCAACCTCTCCAAGGAAGAATGCGAAGCCTCATTAGCATCGCTGAGGCAGTACGCCGCTCCATCAGAAGACAGACTGAAGCAGCAAGACCTGTTCGAAGCCTATCTTGCCGAGAAGCCATCAGAGAATCCAGTCTTTGAGGCGCTGCTCAAAAACATTCTCTCACACGTCCCGCCGGCCAAGAAGCGCAAGTTGGAGATGGTCCTGTCACTTCTTGGGTAAGAACCACTCAACTTACATTGCATCAACTTGAGACGTTAGACGGTTTACTGACAGAAAAATCATCACACAGCAACCGCGGCGGCAGTCTCCTTCTAACCGGCTACATCACCCCTTTCACCTCGCTCTCCATCGTGGACCGCACCAAGGTCCTGCATTCCTGGCGCACCAGCGCCCTCTTCGCTCTGCGCGGACTCTTCAAAACCTTCACCACCCTCGGCAAGCTCGTCCACGTCCGCACGAGCGCCTACCACTCACCCTTGACCGGCTTCCCCGCCACCCCCGCCTCCTGGGTCGCCAACACCTCCTTCCCCTACGAATTCCTCGATTTTTCCTCTCCCTCATTTACCACCAACAGCAAGAACGGCACCATCGAAATCGACACCGACGTCGTAATCATCGGTTCCGGCTGTGGCGCCGGCGTCGTCACGCACCGTCTCGCCACCACCTTCGGCCGCTCTTTACGTGTTCTCGTCCTCGAAAAAGGCCAATACTTTGACGCCTCGCACTTCCCGCTCTCCCAAACACACGGTCTTTCCTCGCTAATGGAAGCCGGCGGCGTGATCGAGTCCGAAGACGGCAGCATCACGGTCACAGCGGGCTCGACTTTTGGCGGCGGCGGGACGATCAACTGGAGCGCTTCGTTGCAGACGCAGCACTTTGTTCGGAAAGAATGGGCGCAGGATCGCAAGCTGCCATTTTTCGAGAGCGAAGCGTTCCAGAATTGTTTGGATAGGGTGTGCGGCGTGATGGGTGTTTCTGACGAAAAGGTGGTGCCGAATTTCGGCAACAAAGTGCTGTTGGAGGGCGCGAGGAAGTTGGGGTATGCGGCGAAGGTGGTGCCGCAGAATTCTAGGGGGAGTGAGCATCATGATGGATATTGTGGCATGGGGTGCTGGAGGGGCGAGAAGATGGGTCCGGTTAATGGGTGGTTTCCTGAGGCAGTCAAAAAGGGGGAGGTAAGGTTTGTGCAGGGGATGAAGGTTGATAGGGTGATTTTTGGGAAGAACAAAAAGAAGAAGAAGGTGGCGGTTGGTGTAAAGGGGACGTGGACCCCCCTTGGGGAAGGGGGCAGGAGTGTTAAGGTGGTGGTGAAGGCGAAGAAGGTGGTTGTTAGTGCTGGAACGCTTTGGAGTCCGGTGGTGTTGATGAATAGTGGGATTTCGGTAAGTAATTCCCCTTCCATGAAGGAAGAGAGTTTGAAGATGTTAATGACTGACCTTGAAAACAGAACCCTCATCTGGGGAAGAACTTAAAGCTGCATCCCGTCAACTTCGTCTCGGCTGTGTTTGAGCAAGAGACCAAGCCCTGGGAAGGTGCCTGTCTCACATCGGTGATCAACAGCTTCGAGAACCTCGACGGCAAAGGCCACGGCACCAAGATCGAAGCCCTCTGCATGCTTCCCAGCTTCGGCCTCGCTTTTCTCCCCTGGGTTTCCGGACTCGACTACAAGCTCATGACAGCCAAGTACCGGCACCTCAACACCTACTTCAGCATCGCTCGCGACCGCGACAGCGGCTACATATACCGTGATCCCGAGATCGGAACGCCCCAGGTCGTGTACACGCCCTCGGAGTTTGACCGGGCCAATATCATGGTGGGAATCGTCGCCATGTGCAAGATCCTTTACGTCCAGGGCGCAAAGGAGATCCATCCGTCGCTGCCCGGGTTCCCGCCCTTTATTCGGTCTTCCACTGCCTCATCTACCTCCAATGACGTGCTCGCGGACATGGACACGGACAAAGCCATCACCGACCCGGCTTTCCTCACCTGGTTGTCCGACCTCCAGGTCCACGGCAACAAGCCGCCGCAAACAGCTTTCGGATCAGCCCATCAGATGGGCACCTGCCGCATGGGCGCGACGGCGAGCGAGGGCGTGGTCGAACCCGAGGGGAAGGGTGTGGGGCACCGAGGGCCTGTACGTGGCGGACGCGAGCGTGTTCCCGAGCGCGAGCGGTGTTAATCCCTTGATTACGAACATGGCGATTTCGGACTGGATTGCGCAGGGCATGTGCAGGGAGTTTGTGGAAGAGGGCGTGGCGGCTGTTCGGGTGGGAGTGAGCGATGTGATGGCGAGGTTGTGAGATTGAGAAGATGGGGGTTGAGGGATTGGGATTGGTAATTGTTGGGGTTTGGTTGCGAGTTGGTGATTTTGCGCGCAAGTTCATAAGTTAATGTTTTAGCGCGCTTTAATAATGAAAGCGCCAGTGGTTTAGTGGTAAAATCCATCGTTGCCATCGATGGGCCCCGCGTTCGATTCGCGGCTGGCGCAATTCTTTTTCGGGTTTTTTCTCTTTTTTTTCTCTGTTGAGTTCCTGCCTCTCGAATAACTCTACACGCCTTCTCTTCAGTTCAATGTCCTCTTGATCAATCTGCATGCCGCAAAGAAGGACCGATGTTTTTGGCAGTAAATTTGATGCAGGTACTGTACGTCCCAACATGACAGGAGCTGCTGCCAGTGGTACCCAACTTCCTGTCTCCAACAGTCCGTCCGCCTTGATGTTCTCCCACTCATCTTTCTTCCTTCTCCCAAACAACTCCTCGTTTTCTTCTGGACACCATCTACCGTCAATTTTCCCCTTGGATGATTCCCAACACATTTTTCTCTCCCCTCTCTACACCAGCCTATAGCACCACAAAGTTGGCTCCTCCGGCCACAGTACATTCCCCGTATGTATACAGACGTCGCACTGCACCAACTGCACATTCAGTTACCGGGTGTGCGGGGTACTTGAACTCGCCGCCTGCCCCCCCCCCGGCTACGCGCCTGCATTTCACCTGACTGGCGAATCCCTCCAGGTCCTCACCACTCGATGTTGCATTCGTACTTCTTCCTACCTACCGTGGTCAACATCTTCAGCACTGCCCCGCTAGGCTAGCGACAATGCGGTTCCTGAAGATGATTGGGGTGTGGATGTGGGACGACTGGATGGAAACATGGACTCTGCTGCCCAACAAAGTCTTCATCCACCCCATCCCATTTTCAACCACCTACTTGTCGCCGAAGAACTCGAGCAGCGCCATTACATGGCTGAAGTGATACCCTTCCGCAGCCCATACCTGTACCCGATGACAAGCTATGCGCCTCTCCTACAATGAACCCTGCCTCGGCCATCGGGGTCGCCAGCAGTGCCATCGCTTTTCTAGAGTTTGGTGCCAAGCTGATATCGGCCACCAAAGCCATCTACGACTCCAAGGATGGCATTTTGCCTGAACATACTGCGATAGAACAGCACTACAAAGACTTGCTTGCCCCGAGCTCGAACCCAGGCACCAAGGCCATTGGCAGGGCCCCTTCGCCAGAGGACATCTATTTCCAGAAACTCTCGTCGAGCTTCAGACAAGACTGCCAGGCCGTCATTGACTTGTTGAATGCCCACCGGTGCAATGAAGGCAAGAGGAGACGCCGCATCATGGGGAGTGTCAAGGCTGCCTTGAAACTCACAGGTATCAAAGGACAGCTACGCGAGATTGAAGAAAGGCTGGACAAAACACAAAAGGCAATGCAATTGCATGTTTTCCAACAGTTAAGGTGCGTCAAAAAAACCTTGGTGGAAAATCAGGATTCACAAAAACTGACTGTAAGACCCGCTAGACAAGAGATATTGGGTATACAGGTCAGTGTCGTGGCCATTCAAGATCACGGAAATACGCTCTCAGTGAGACTCGGGGATATGACGGTTGTTGACAACGACAAAAACCCTTCGTTGCTGTCAGAAAATTTATCGTCACAGTCAAAAGACCCATCATCCCCATCAATTCACGACCTTAGGACGCCGATGAACCAACTCTCTGGCCTGATGGGGACTCTAGAATACCTGCGTGTCGAGTCTGTCCTAGCCAGTCTGAACTACGAGACTCGTAAAGTTCGTCACGATACGATTAAGGATGCTCATGCGAAGACCTTTGAGTGGGCATTTGACTCAAACTTCCATCTCTCGAAATGGCTTCAATCGGGGGATGGAATTTTCTGGATTCCGGGGAAGCCCGGGTCTGGGAAGTCAACCCTCATGAAATTCCTGGCAGATAATACACAAACCAAAAGCTTACTCAAGGAATGGGCTGGGGACAATGAGCTGGTTGTGGCCCGTCACTACTTCTGGTGCTCAGGCACCCTGATGCAAAAATCATGGGACGGCCTGCTCCGATCACTAATTTTCGACATCTTCAGGAGTTATCCACTATCCATTCAGGAAGCTTGTCCCGAGCGATGGGAAAGAGCGGGCGCACCAGGGGCAGCTTCCACGCTGTGGACAATAACTGAGTTGACCAAGGCTCTCCGTGCTGTGGCTAAGCTAAAAGACAGCTCATCCCTGAGGTTCTGCTTCTTCATTGACGGACTTGACGATTATGATGGAGATCATCTTGAACTTTGTGGGATCTTCGATGACTTGGTGCGGGGTGGCAATTTCAAGATGTGTCTTTCAAGTCGCCCATGGCCAATCTTTGAGGATGGCCTGGGTAACGACCCATCATGCAAGCTGTATGTCCAGCATTTGACATACGTAGATATCAAAACATATGTTGCAGCACAACTAGAGTGCCATCCTAAATGGAAAACGAACAACTTGACGGAAAGGGAAAGAATGGAGATGGTCGAGGCTATTTCCTGGAAAGTGGATGGGGTATTTCTTTGGGTATACCTCGTCACAAGGCCCCTCCGCGAGGGTTTGTCAAATTACGACACAGCTGCCGATCTCAACAAGCGACTGGAGCACTTGCCAGGCGATCTCGAGAAACTTTTCCGCCATTTAATGGACAGCGTCAACATCGTCTACCAGAACAAGATGACCTGTTTTCTACTGGCTGCTCTCATTGACACTACGCCCTCCAGCTCCCCCGATGCAGGAATATACTGCAATATGGAAAAAGAACTTGACAACCCAGGCTACGCGTTACAATCTTGCCTTTCTCAAATATCTCAGGCATCCCAATCCAATGATGCGTCAGATGTGTGACTTCACGAGGACCAAAGGAACGAGCAACTTGCATCGCCGGAATTTCGCACACGTCTATTGGAGCGATACGGTCAAATGCGCCACATCATCAACTCACGGACAAAGGGGATTTTGGAGACAATGGATCATCCATTTCCTCGACCACCCTTAGTCAGATTTTTCCACAGGACCATGTATGATTTCCTACGAACAAAAGATATGAAGGAGTTCCTTGCCTCCAAGTTGAGCAACGATTTCAATATCCATATTTGGCTTATGAAAGGATGCCTTATTAAAGCAAAGAGATACCCGGTTTTAATTTACAACATCAACTCTGGGTTCCTTGAGCTTCGTTCAGGGTTGGCGCAGGAACTCTTCCGCATGCTGGGACATGCACTGGACGCGTTATCTACTCTCAAAAAAGCAGCCAAAAAGGAGCACTTCAGAGCCGTTTTCGCCTTATTGGACGAATATGAGAGGACGTTTCATCATCATAGCCTCCAAGCTTTAGCCTCCCAGCCGTCATGTAAGATGCTGCTTGTGGCAGAGGAGGATGGCAGGCGAGCTTACACCAGCCTTGTCTCATACTTCCGCGAGGTGGTTCTCTTCCATGCCTGTGGTTGTCTGCTGAGTGAATACGTTGAATCCAAAATCAAGGGCACCCCTGATTATCTGAAAGCGGTGGATGTCAGCGTGTTCCTCCACTGTGTTACGATCCAATCGTTGAGCCTCATGTAAGCTAGATAGATTGACCAATCAGATAGGACCCGGGGTCCCGAGTCTACGGGACCACGGGACGGGGTTGAAGACCAGTATATAAGAAGGCCTCCCGGCCTTCGTTATACCTGGTTCTTCAGCAAGCAATAGCTATCACAATCTACCAGTACCTTTCGGCTACTACTCCGTTACTCTATTGTTCTATCCCAGCGATAATACTCCTGTGCTTGTAACGGTTCGTCACACACTGGTCAGCAGTTCCTTTCTCGTTCAGGCGCCTGTCCCGGTTTTCTAACAAAACTTCCCTAAGACCATGTCGTAGTCTGGTCGAGCTGCTTCTTTCCGCCGGGGCAAAACTGAACGAGCCATTCACTGACGAAACTACCAAGCCCTATTATGATGAACAGACCTTAGCACGGGTAGAGTTGCCGTCCCAGTTGATAATATCACCTTGGGTGCTTCTCATGCGGTGTTGTATTCGTCTCTACGGGTTCATCGCATGCGATTGTCTTGATTGCGCGCTGTCACGGGAATTCTCGTTTGTTCTAACAGGCTTTCCGCTTATCAACCTCTTTCTGAACCATGGGGCTGATTCTAATGCAGAGTTTTGGGGCCCCACAGGGCGCTCACGTACATTAGTGTTCCAAAGATGGATGTTGGGTGTAGAGAAACAGCGATGTTTTGGGGCTCGACATTCCCATCCGTAATATAAAAGCCCACGAGAAGAAGGTTTTTAGCTACCCTACCTTCAGCCACCCGGATCTCAGGCGTCTTTCCTGCTTTTTCGCCTACCTCTGGTATCCATTCCAGCGTGTATTCCCCAAGAAAGTGCACGCGGACTACTTGGCGACTTTGGATGTCTTCTTCAGCAAACGTCCAAGCCTGGACCGTTACAATGATGTTGACGATTTTATCACAACTTTGGAGGTTGAAACTTCTTTGGAGGAAGTTGGAGAGGACGAAGACACTGGAGGATGGTTGGCTGAGGGTTGGATTGTTGTGAACGACAGGTCAAGTCAGTTTCCCCTTCGTCCAGTTTTGTACACACATATGCTATAAGGACACGTGGACCGACAACTCAGCTTCAAACCAGTTCCGGTCTGCGATCATCAAGAAGCTGATCGAGTACTGTGGGACCATAGAGGCGGATGACAGATTCTTCGATTTGTTGCTGTTTGGGTTAATGCAGGCCAAAAACTGCCCCAGGGATATTAAGCGGCCGCTGGTGATCTTTGTCCAAGAGACTCGAAACCGTAATGGCAGTAGAAGTGGGAGTCAAGAGAGAAGCAGGAGCCAAGACACGAGGAGTGAGAGTCACGACAACAGGAGTGGAAGTCAAGACAGGGTTGAAAGCCAAGACACGGTTGAAAATCAAGACAGGGTTGAAAATCAAGACAGGGCTGGAAGTCCATACCGGATTGGAAGTGCGGTATCGGTTAAGAGAACAGGGAGTGAAGGTCAAAAGTTGAGAGAGAGATCCAGTTATGATAGCTGGAAGTGATTCATTACTCTCTAGAAATAGCGATCAAGGAGTAGAGACGAAGGCCTGCATAGGAGAGGATCCTTGAACGTGCCAGAACCGCCGTCAAAAAAGGTGCAGCGCAATGGGCTAGCGGTCTGGGCACCAAATACCCAGAAATCTCACAGGAAGTTAACGGAGTAACAGTGGCGGAGCTGACGAGGTCTGAAAGGCTTTCTTTCCATGACAGCAGGACTTTTGATGGTTGTGAAGGGTTTTGGATTCGGAAGGGAAAACTTATGTGCACGCGTAAGGAGCTTGAAGCGGCAGGCTCATCTGTTCTGCGTTAAGGTCGTGGGTAGGTACTTCGCAGGGGAACTCTTGATATTTTGTGGGCAACTGACAACTGACCATGAGATAGGTCCTATGAGCTCTGGCGGCCTGTATGATATATACCTCTGAGTTCGGAACCTCGTTGTTGTGGCTTTCGTACACTGCTTTGCTTTTTTCTGCTTTCCCTTCTTTTCTGTAGTCATCGTTCTCAGTTACCTGTCCTGCTTTTTTCCTTGATCGTTTCCTATGTTTCCCTTGCTCCTCTCTTCATTACCCTTAGGTCTCTACAAACCTTTTTTTTTTTTTTTTGTGATCTGGTTTCGGGGGGAGTTCAACCGTCCACGCCTGCCTTCGTAGTTTAGACCGGATTCTGTCTAACGCGTGATCACAGGTCGATGTAGCGTTCATTATCCAAGCTATCTTGGCAACGATATTTCCACTCATATGCGTCGGCATCCAGATTCTGACACCATATACTTCCGCAAGCACTTGGAACAGGGTGACTACAAACAGCTCAATCCGGAGAATGCCACCCGGGACTTACAGACAAATGCACTTCCAAGGAGCCGACGCAGTCGATGGTGATCTCTGACCTCCGCAGAGCCTTCGCTGACTGCCTCGAGCTCTTCTGGTCAACCTGCTACTTCTTCGCCTTTACGCTCGTCATAGCAGCTCTGACCTTCAACGTTGTTTACAGATGCGGAGGCCACATACCTCGAGTCTTTCTGCGCAGGTACGACAGCTGCCAGTAAAAACTCGATGGCACCTTCTGCGATTCACCAGCATAGGGTTCTGATGCATGAAGCATTCGCGTACTCAAAGACATCTGACGCATACTTGCCCTGGTCCTAAGGTTGATGCTGCGGCGACTGGTACACATCAGAATACCGGAGACTACGTCTACGAGTGCAGCGGATGACAAGTTAGAAGCAAACACAAGTCAACAATGATCCACCGAGACCACAGGCCGGCCTGTGTGCCACTGAATCATCATTCTTCCATATGTTGACAATGACAGCTGTCCGTTCATGACATTCAACTCCATGAAGCTCTTTCCAACACTTAGTCTTTCCTTTCTTCACCTGGAGTCTTTCCATCCACACCAGTTCTGGCCGTTAACCGATAAACAAAAGCTAAGCCAAGCTTCGACGCCGGATAATACTGAAACAATTTACAGCATATCCTTTTGCCGAAGGAATCCGTGCTTTTGGCGGACATACCTCCAATTCCTATTACGGCATCTTCCTCGGTTCTAACGCCGACAATGGAGGACTCCCCTTTAATTCCTCGACAGCCACAACGTCCAAGTTTTTTCTGCACCCGGGTGGGAGAGTTTGTGTTGCTCTTCTTCATCCTGTACTACACGCTAGCTGCGACCATCCTCCTGTTCATCGTCCATGACCACCCAAAAACAGAGGTTTTCAGAGGTAAGAGCCGACTGCCATCATTACCATCATTTGGGCGATCGCTAACATCTCAACCCATCCATCCTAGGCACCTCCACTGCATTCGACACGCCTACCTCCTTCCACATCCGCAATACCACATGCCTTACCGACCCGTGCCGCAAGCAACAGGAAATAGCCACCATCCTCGCCCTGGTTGCCGGGTTCGTCGCTGCCGACCAGTGGTACGCGCATCACTGGATCTTAGCTGTGCTGAAGACCCAGGTGATCATCTTCGTCGGGCTCGTATGCTGGGGGATTTGGCTTCATGGAAGACAGTTTCAGGTGTGGCAAGTCACGCTTCAATCGTGGCTTATAAGGGGGTTGCTTGGGCTGGCGGGATGGTGGTCGATTGACTTGACGCTTTGGGTCTTGGGGGATTATGGGACTCCGGAGTGCCCGATTGGTAAGAATAAAGATGGGGGTGATTAGTTCGTCGGTTGGGAGAAGGGGGAAAAGAACTGGGAAGGTTGAACATTTCCGGAAGGGAGCAGGAGCGTTGGTTCAAATGACCGGGAGTCAGGGGCGCAGGCCCCTAAACTTCCGATACTTATCCCTTGTGGGTGTTGTTGGTTTGTTAGAGAAGGGAGGCACTACGGATGCAAACAGTTGTTGCAACGGGAAGGACTAACAACGACTCCCGTCTTGGCCCCAGCCGGCGAACTGAGTATTGACAAAGCCCGGTGAGTCAAAGGCACGGATCTGAGGGACTGGCCGTCGTTGGTCCCAAGACGACGATTACCTTAACTAGGTAACAAGATGATCCAACACAACACCATTATCCCAGCCGGCTTCAGCAGCAGATGGCTTTTGCCCTGCGCAAGATTCTTATTCCATTGCTTGGACATAAAGGACAAAATGTCCATCTGCATTGCCTGGTCATGTTCCGGGACACATGCCCATGTCACCTCCCTCGCTCCTGCCGCTTTTCATTCTCCGTTGTGTGGATCACAGGCAGCAACTTTTCCATCCATCTCTTGTGCAGCCACCTACGTTCCTCAATGGCTCGGTCAAGCCCTTCCCCCGCCGATACTAAAACACAAGACAGGATGGAAAAGGGATCTCCACTCGTCACCAGCCGCGCAACATGGTGGCCCCTTCTCAACTCAGTCCATGTTCCTCGACGGTTGAAGGCCCTCTGGCCCTTCCTCCTCTTCTTCCACCTCCTCTCCGCCATCTTCATCATCGCCCTGATCGTGTTCATCCGCAACACCGCCACCGAGCGTTATGGCACCGCCGACAGTGACAACATAGATCTCAACCTGTCCCACTTCCCCTTCCCACCACCAACAGCATCTCCCTACCCCTTCCACTCCGTCAACCTCCACGACCATTCACCACCCAGCCCATCCAACCTGACCAAACGATGGGGTCACTTCGACCGCCTGCCCACCAGTCAAAAATGCTACCAACAAGAGCGGACCGCCGCTTTGATCTCTCTTTTTGGCGGTGGCGTCTTGGGTGCTGATCAGTTGTACGCGGGAAACTTGCGGCTTGGTCTGACACGGCTTCTGTTGCAGGTTGGCGCGTGGTGTTTGTTCGTCGTGGCAAGTTGTGTCGGAATGGCACTGGAGAGCACGACGGTTGAGGTGATGTGTGGAATTGCGGTGATCTTGGCATTGACGGATTTTGGTGTGTTTGTTTGGGCGGCTGTGGATTTGGTGAGGTGGACTATCGGGGGATATTATGGTACGAAGGGGTGTCCTGTCTGAGGCCTGAGGGGGGAAGGAATAGGGTGGTGGAGGAGAAAACTGTGGGTGTTGGAGTGGGAGAGGAGAGTGAGCCTGAAGTTGACAGTCAGGGGTTTTGACCTGGGAGCGCTGGTCGGAACTGTGAAACGAAATTTGATGCTACGTGTATAAAGCATTCAATTTTGATGACAATAGCCCGGGGATAGGTATTCATTCACGGACACTGGGTCGTTGATAATGGATCCATCTACCGGTCTCGTGTTATAACCAACACGAAGTGAAGACCCGACATCGACGTCAAAGATTTTCATCCGTCTACCTGCCTACGGGGAAGCAAGCACGCACTGAGCAAGGACCCCAATTAATGGGCAACAATCTGCGTTGCAAAATACTTTGAATCGCAAAGGATGTCGAACAAATATTCCAGCCACATCTGCATCTTCATAGCCTACCCAGCGACTCTTCATGTCTGTACAGTCCGTCCATAAATAAATCTCTACCTCGCTCTCTACCAGAAGCCAACAACTCCAACCCGAGTACACAAACACCTTCCCACACACGAGTTACTACCCAAAATCTCATATCAACTTCCCTTCCTGGAATATCACAACATGGAAACCGAATCTCTCATCAACACCCGCCCCCTCCGCTCCCGTCGCCAAATCGACCTCTGGCGAGTATGGGACATAACCTACCCCTTCCTCGTCGCCATCTACGTGACCGTCATTGTCATCCTTTCCATATCCGGCGTTCGCGCCGCTACAAAAGGTCATCTTTCCGATCCCGATTCCAGCACTGCAAACGATGCAATTTCCATCCAAGAGGCATACCGCGCCCTCCAATGTCACACGCAACAAACAACAGCCACGCTCCTGTCCTGGACTCCCGTAGGATTCCTAGGAGCAGACCAGATCTTCGCCGGGAACGTCATGCTGGGCTTGGGCAAGATGCTGGTGGGGACCTTGGCCTTGATCACCTGGGCGGCGTTCTGGACTATCGACAAGGAGAAGTATCCCCTGTGGGCGATGGATTTGTTGAGTTTGACGGGTGCGCTGACGGCGCTGTGGCTGTCGTGGGGAGGGTTTGATGCGGTGGCGTGGGTTTTTGGTTGGGTTTATGGCGTTCCTGGGTGTTAGTTAGGTAGTCTAATGGTCTGCTTGAGGGACTGGACTTGGCGGTTTGGTTTGGTTTGGTTTGGTTTGGGTGTGCGCTGTGGTTTTATGAATACCTCTAGGCTGTTGGGATATCTTAGGGTGGCCCATTGCATGGTAGCATTAGGTACTGGTAGAGTAGCATATTATATCAGGAAGCGTTGTGTTTAAAAAGACTGGAAAACCGAGAACTTTGAAGGAAATCGGAATGTAGAGGATGAATGTGAGAACATTTGATGCAAATATTTTGTTGAGCTTCAAGTCGGCGTGCAAACCTAGCTCCGCACCTTCGGTAAATACTCATCAGGGTTATCTATCTATCCCCAATTGACATCTAGCAGTCATCATCATTAGGAGCAAAGTAAACAAATCCATCGTGTTGCAACAGTCACGGTGCGGGTTTGCTGTCAGGTTTTGTTCATGGAGTACTTAGGTACATGTGAAATCCCTGTTTTTCAACAATCATGCAATGGCTGGATGGCCGAGCGGTCTAAGGCGCTAGACTCAAGAACTCAAGCTTCTTCTGCACAAATGTGCGGTGCATTCTAGTATCGAAAGATGCGTGGGTTCGAATCCCACTCCAGTCACTTCTTGTTTCCTTTTTTCCCTCTCTTTTTTGCCTTTTCTTTTCGTGCTCTCGGCGATGGGATGCTTCCTCTTTTCTTCTACTTTTTTCCTTTTTTATTTTGTTTTTGCTTCTAGGAAATGGCCCGCGGAGGCGACCGAGGCGGTGTCGTTTGAACGCAAAAGTGAAAAGGTGACAGACTGTTAGGGCGGACTATGCAATGTCTGTTTGTGCACTAACTCGGGTCACTCTTCTATTGCAGTTCGTTCCCTGAAGAAAACTGACATGGAATAACGGAAGCAGCAGACTTCGATCAGCTCCCATTATAAGCAGGCGCCCTCTCCATGGGACGGAGAAAGAGTCAATATTCTATTCTCAGCCAATGACCATGATGTTATCGCGGTTCTTGTATCTTACATGAGACTGCAGTTCCGTGACATCTGGCCTTTCCTTTCGGTACTTGTGGTGGGTTGAAGTCAATCTGCCATTTGAGGTTCACGGCCCTCCGCTGTCGGAAGCCCCTGAACCCCTGAGCCACAGGGTAGCCGCATTGGTCCCTGCGCCCGCACTAACAGCTCCACAGAACATTCTCGTCTGGCTCGATGGGAATGCCCTCTCTTTTCGCTTCCCGCTGGACCTCGTTGCCTATAAAATCCCTACGTGTCAGAAAACCGTGAGAGCAAAATTTTCAACTGTCTTCGATTTCCTCAGCAAAAGTTGGGCCAAAGGTGCCGTCTTGGGCCTTGCCCCAACTGTTTGATTAAGGTACTTTACATCCAGGAACACAAAGCGACTTGACGTTGTTTCATGGCTTGCACTTCTCAAACGGCCCTTTGTGCGTTCCTTTGCCTCTGAGCGCAACACGGTATGTTAGGCACGCTTTTATGGCTTGGACGATCAGACGGTAGGTATATCTCCATTTTCGTCTGTTGAACCGGGTTTGTTTGGGCCATTCAACGCTTTCACCCCATGCGGTCTGGCTTTCATTCCATCCGAAGAGCCATCCTAGCCCCGATGATTCTCTGGATCAACCTCGGCGAGCAGTGTGCATCATTGCCCAGCACCCAAGGGGACTGATCTATGTTAACAAGGTGGCGGAAATGCATGTATCTACATGATACACCGATAGTAGCTTTGATGAAGCCGTAGCAGCCTAATGCCCGTCGTGTTTGGGTGACGGTGGTGGTAGCTGACGCGGATGGTCCTGTGACGGCAAATTGCGGTAGTAACCGGACAGGTGGTGTGGGTGCGTGGGATAACTGTCCCAGCTGTTTCGCTGCTTCAGAAAGTTGTCCACTCGAGCCTCTCTGCCCAGACCGGCCTGTTCACCATACCGTTGTCGCAATTCCTTGTTGATAGTGGCGTGCTTCTGCTCGTGCTCGTCCAGAAGAGCGACACCGCTCTGAACACCATGCGTGGCGTGCTGCCAGCTGCCCATAATGACGAAGAAGGAAACAATGGCGACGAATGCGCCGTTGGATACGAATATTGGTTTTTGTTGCCCACCAGTGCCTCCCGACTCTTGCTCCTTACGCCATCGTTCCCAGTCCTCCCATGTAGCATTCATGCTCGCACTACCGGGGCGGCGGTGCCAGGCATTGATAGTCGCGCGGACGTCTTCGTTGGGCAAATCTGGATGGTTGCTCCAACCAAGATCGTAGAGATCATACATGCGACGCTTCTGCGGATTGCTCAGGATATCGTTGGCGGCAACGACGAGGCGATAGCGCTCAAGTCTGGTTGTGTGAGGAATCTCGTGAAGACTCGTGTGGGGATGCCGGTCCGGATGGTAAAGCTTCACCAGCTCATGGAAGCGCCTCTTATTATAAGGATCATCTTTCCTTTGTCCAAATATCTCGTAGGGTGTAGGGCTTTTGGACGCAGGCCAATGTGATGCGGGGTGATCTTTCGGCAGCTCAGCGTCTCCTACGCCGTGATGGACCGAAGCGAAACGGCGGGTCTGGAAAGCTTCTGGGGCAGTCGGGACGATCGGACGACGGTGAGACAAGACCGGATGCACATTCAAAGAGCCACACAAGCGACTCGTTGAAGTTGATGCTGCCCGAACTAGCGAGAGCGAGCCCTGGGACGCGAGGGCGGCATTGCCGGGCCAGATGACGGCGGTTGATTTCCAAGAAAACATGATGACGGGTTCAGGTGGTCATGTTGGTGTTCACTGAGGCTGATAGAGAACCATGGCTCCGGGCGCGACGATTCAGCGTGCCCAAAAGTCGAGTAGGAGTGGAAGCCGGGAAGGGGATGGTTGATGGTGGATGGTTTACGGTGGGTGTTTGGACTTTGGTGGAGGAGGGAGGGGAATGGTCAAATGGATGATGTCGGTTCATGCTGGGGGCTCAGACATTGCCTGCCGCACTCTTTGGGTGTGTTGATGTGGGGCAGCTCCGAATTATGTACCAAGTGTACAAGTAGAGGTACTTACACATCGAGGCCCGACTGCATTAAAGTGACGGACATGATGCATACTCTCACCCATGTGGCAGGTTTAAAAGATATTTGACTGTTATTCCAATACGAGAGTACATAAACTTGCCATTTCCCGAAAACTTTTTTTTATTTTTTAAGCTCTTCACCATTGCTAATCCGAGACTCTCTTTTGTCCAGTTTCAACTTGTACTGTATCAGATGGATGTGGATGCTAGCCCGCCGCCCATATCCCATCGGTGGATGACGTACAGGTACAATGTACATACTGGGCAACCATCTCGACTACACTACAACTGGAAGCCACGAACTGCCCCTGAGAGTGGAACTGGAAGGCAATGCCGCGGCCGAGAGTTGTGGCCTGCGTGAGTGGCGCCTTCACTAGGAGAAACGGGATATGGAAAGGGCGGTCCCGTCGTGGTGGACACAATGGTGAATGTACGGTACACAACTGGAAGGCGCAGTGTTCGGCAGGGAGTATAAAGGGAACACGTGATCCGGGACCCTCAGTGTGCCAGTGGAGTGAACAGTTTTGACGAGACGCTCCCGGCTCCTTCGTCCACTCACCAGAGTCCCAGCAAGTGCAGCACTCAACTGAATCACGACTTCCGCACCGCCTCGCCTTCGTCCAAGCTTCGGAAGTTTCCCTCAAACTCTCTGCCTTTCTGCCCCGCTTTCAGACGACCACCACCACAACAACAAACCATCACAACACACAGAAACACTTTACGCTGCAAAGCACCATCTCTCTCGTCCCACTCTCCCAAACGGCATCGCACTCGTCTCTTCGATTCGCCCTCCATTTTTCACAGGCCAATCAAGACCCAGCCGTTGACACCGAATCGGATTCCTCGCAGCCTCTCCCACAAAAAAGACGACGCTCCAACTTCGAGGCATAGCAAAAAAAATCAACGATTGAGAACGTCCTTGGTGCTCCCACACGAAACGAGCCTCCTTGCGACCTTATCTCCCTCTACCACCGTATCACCTTTGCCCCACGACGACTACTCGCGATAGGCCTCTACCTCGCCTAGCTACTCTCGTCTGGCCCTGCTCACCGTCAACACACCGAAACAACAACTAGAGAAAGAGGGGATTCCCGCCACCACTAGTGCTCCTCTCCCCCTTGCCAGTCACCTGCGCATTTCGCTATACACCCTCGGAGACGAAGCCATCCCGCTATACGCTCTCCTTTTCGCAACATCTGAGCCCCTACCACAGGTCCCACAACCGACCAAGACCCTCTGACAAAATGTCCGACCAACTAGCGGATCAGTTGAAAGCTACTAGTCTGAGGTAGGTTGACCGCCTTCCCTTTCTGTCCCATACCCAACTGACATTGTTGTGATAGCTCAGGCCCGGAAGACTGGAAAAAGAATCTTAATCTACCTGCCAAGGACACAAGACACCAGACCGAAGATGTCACAAACACGAGGGGTCTGGACTGGGAAGACTTCATACACGACAGGGATCTCCTGATGGGAATCTTCGAGGCTGGCTTCGAGAAACCGTCCCCAATTCAAGAAGAAGCGATCCCCGTCGCCCTCACCGGCCGAGACATTCTCGCACGCGCAAAGAACGGCACCGGCAAGACTGCCGCTTTCCTCATTCCCGCCCTCGAGAAGATCAACCCCAAGGTTTCCAAGATCCAATGTCTTATTCTCGTCCCCACCCGTGAGCTTGCCATGCAGACGTCTCAAGTGTGCAAGACGCTCGGCAAGCATCTCGGCATCAACGTCATGGTGACAACCGGCGGAACTGGTCTGCGGGACGACATTGTGCGTCTACAGGACCCCGTACACATCGTCGTCGGAACACCAGGCCGTATCCTTGATCTGGCTGGCAAGCAGGTGGCTGATCTCAGCGAGTGCCCAATGTTCATCATGGACGAGGCTGATAAGCTTCTGTCGCAAGAGTTCACCCCCGTCATTGAGCAGCTCCTGCAGTTCCACCCCAAGGATCGTCAGGTCATGTTGTTCTCCGCCACCTTCCCTCTCTCGGTCAAGGACTTCTCGGATAAGAACATGACTAGTCCGTACGAGATCAACCTCATGGACGAGCTTACCCTGCGCGGTATCACTCAGTACTATGCGTTTGTTGAGGAGAAGCAAAAGGTTCACTGCCTGAACACCTTGTTTTCCAAGCTCCAGATCAACCAGTCCATCATCTTCTGCAACTCTACCAACCGCGTCGAACTTCTCGCCAAGAAGATCACCGAACTCGGGTACTCGTGCTTCTACAGTCACGCCAAAATGGCCCAGCAGGCGAGAAACCGTGTCTTCCACGATTTCCGTAACGGTGTCTGCCGTAACTTGGTCTGCTCGGATCTCCTCACCCGCGGTATTGATATTCAGGCAGTGAACGTCGTCATCAACTTCGACTTCCCCAAGAATGCCGAGACGTACCTTCATCGTATTGGTCGCTCCGGTCGTTATGGCCATCTTGGTCTTGCTATTAACCTGATCAACTGGGATGACAGATTCAACCTTTACAACATCGAGCGCGACCTTGGTACTGAGATCCAGCCCATTCCTCAGATCATTGACAAGAGCCTCTATGTTTACGAGAACCCCGAGTCTATTCCCCGGCCCATCTCGACCTTCAAGCCTGTTACCCAGCAGCCGCATCAACTGCAGCAACTGCAGCAGTCGCAACGGCCCCAGCAACAGCAACAGCAACAGCAACAGCAACAGCAACAGCAACAGCAGTTCCCAGTACAGACACTGCCGTCGAACCAGCTCCCGCCTCAGCAAGCCAACCAACAACTTGGCTTCAATCCCCAAGCTCAACAGGCTCAGAGACCCATCCCCCAGGCCCAGAGTGATTGGCAAGGGCAGAACGGTCGCCAAAATGGCCAAGGTTCTTCTAACAACCAGCCTAGACCCACCAACAACTACCAAAACAACCGCGGTCAGCCCGGTGGCAGTGGGCCCCGCGGAGGTCGTGGACGTGGTTTCCAGGGCCAGGGAGGTCGTCAGAACCAAAACCAGAACTACGGTGGTCAGCGCGGTCCTCGTCCCCAAGGTCAGGGTCAGCCCCAGGGTCCACCCCCTGCCCAGTAGGGTAAACTCTCCCAACTATTAATGGAAGGAGGGGGCTATGTGGTAATATGAGGAGGCGTGTAACCATGCGCCGCTCCCCCGTTATTTTGTCTTTGGATTGTACATATTAGTTGCTTCTCTCGGCCATCTTTGTCTCTTTCTCTCGGACTGTGGATGGGCTGCCATGACGACAAGCGTTGTCCCCGGCCTGTCAGGTTTGCGTTTACGCAACGGCAGACCGGTATAGCACACTCTTTACTGCCGGCCCTGCAAACAGTTCAACGACACCAACAGGGACTGTCCTACGACACAATCTCTCTTGGAGTTTGCCCTATTTCACGGAATTTTCGATACGGTGCAGCTTAATCCTGTTCGCATTCACGGCTTACAACGCTTCAGCATGGGCGTGGAGTCTTGAGCGGTGTGGGGTTTTATACGTCTTTGTTGGCTTTACGGCGGAAGCGGCTTTATACTCCACGAGGCGCTGCGATATTTTCTCCATCGGAACGCCTTTCGTCTCTTATACCCAACACAGTTCCTCGTTCCTCGAATATCCAGCCGATTTCACCTTTCGACACGAGCAAATCGATTCTTATTTTTGGCTCTCACATTTTCATCATTTGATGATCACACGGCTCAACAACATCGGCTCTACAGGCGGATCAAGCTCTAGGGATTACAAAAAGGCGCGCACGCAAAACATACATGACGGATGGATGGGCTTTTTGTCATGGCTGGCGGTTTCACAGATATTTCGTGTTAACGGAGGAGGGATCGGCTTTTGTTCTTTTCGTTATAGGGGCTCATATAAACGGCGTTATGGGTTTGGCTTTTGGGCGGTGCGTGGCGTGATGGTCAGCCTGGGTCAGCTGGCTACAGTTGATCATGGTTTGGAACGGATACCATTTCTAGGTTGCGCCTCGCTGGTTCTGTCCTCTTCTTTTTCTATTATTCGGACGACTTAGGGGTATGGAGCTCAAAGGGGAATTGCAGTGTGCTGCATTCATGGTGGCGGAAAGGGATATCGACTTCTACATAGCTCGTCGACGCTTTACAGGAGTGGTGGTTGTCTGTTTTGGGGGGAGCTAGGGTGGCGGGAACGGCCGGAATGCGACTTGGTCCTCACTTGTGCGACGACTGGTGGTGACGTCGTAGGATAGTCACGCACTGGTTCTCGGCAGGTAGAGGAAGGGAGAGAATGGCCCAACGCGTAGAAGGATTGGAGGATATCTTGTGAGTCGGAGGACGAGACATCCTTGGGTCTCGACAATTGGTATTGAAGTGAGCGGGCATGGGTGGATGTTCAGTTGCGGTTGGGGAGCTGTGTTTGGTGTTCCTTCGGGGAACTACAGTCAGCGCCATTCACATAGCTGGGTGACCAGCGAACCTTGGCGGTTTTGCGGCCATGAAATTACTGCACGACACAAGATCCTTATCGCAATGTTGAAGAGTGTCAGCCATTGCTCATCCATCACTTTCGCCCTTGTCCGGCTCGTGGTGTTTGTGGATGGCTGGCATACCTCATTGCGGGAAGGGGGCATATCGGGAATTCATGGATCCATATGCCATGACAACGACCATCACCTCTGGAGCCTTTGTCAAGACCAGCAGTCTTTGCCTCAAGCATGCGTGCGAGAGAGTCACTGCAGCACGGGCCATCGAGAGGCAGGATGCAAAAAGAGCGAAAATCAAGATAAAACAACAGGAAGACAAGAAAAGAAGCGGGAGACAGCCATCAGACGGACACGATTTGACGATCATGGATATGCGACCTTGGGAGCATGGACCGTGGCGAATTGTGGACCTCTAGACAAGGTAGATAGCATTTGATGTTGGATGAATGTTATGTTTTGTCCCCCGTAATATTCCTCTCAGTTTCTCCATTTGTGTTGGTGGTTGTGATCTTGACTTGATGCTCTTCACATTTCAGCTTCAGCAGGAACAAAAAGTGATGCGTGGACTTGAGGAGCCAAAATTGAAGAGGAGTACCAGAGACCCACCGGCCGATGGGATGGGAAATTTTGAAAAACGAAAAAAAGTAAGTAAATTGATCCGACCCAGGCTCGATCTGGGGACCTTCAGTGTGTTAGACTGACGTGATAACCAACTACACCATCGGACCGTTTTTTGTTGAACTGCCGCCTTAAAGGAGGGTCTCAAATACGTGACTGCCTCAATCTTGACAATAACTCCCACCGATAATCGGAAGGAACTGAGGTGGCAACCGAAAAGGTTGTGACACACACACGCGGAAGGAACTCTCTCCCTTCATGTCCACTTCGAACCACTTCTCCTTTCCCTTGCAGCTTCTGAATTGAATGTGGCCGAAAATTCTTCTTCCCAAACTGCAACTCAATTCTCCTCCCATTCCTCCACCATCTTGCGGGCTATTTCTGATTTTGCACAATCTTGCAAGCAGGTCCCTTCCGTTGAAACACTCAATCACCCGAACACCACCCAGCATGTCCCGATATACATCCTCGGAATTCCGGTAGCGGGCCCCCCATGCAGCGGTCCGAACCTCCTCCCTTCGACTGAATGCATACTGTACGCCGCCCCCAAAGTGCAGCAGTCTTTCCAGTCGATAGTCTCAAGAAAAACAACTCATCAGAACCGTGACACAAACTTGCCAGTTTGCACCAAGAAGAATATCCACACTGAGCATGACACATACAAAGGCGAGCCATGCTTCTCCCACGAGAATGCAGGGATGTTGTCGCCGTCATCTGCCCGGCTTCATGGCACAGAAGGTGTCCCGTTGGCCAGCCTGTCATTCTCCCATCAAGAAAGGATGCCGCTGGCTTGCATCCTCCGTCCCACCAGAAGGACAAAGTGTCCATCGGATGTCTATTTACACCATCTGGTAGCGGTAGGGGGGCGGCGGGGTGTTAACCAGATGCGATGGGTAGTCATGGCAAACAAAGAGCAACAGCCTCCGGCTACTGAGGATTTGGCTTGGCTCGCAACGCCACCTTCCGGATTCCCCTTCTCGCAAAGACCTTCCAGAACCACACACGCATCTAGCGAGACCCTCGGGATCGGGTGTGCCATTTTGGTGTCTTACCCATCGAGGTCTAGGCGCCGTTCAACTGTCAATAATCCGACCAGTTCCCCCATGGGGTTTGTCGAGTGGACTCAGCACTCCCGCCTCACCTCTTCCAGCTTCAGAGATTCTGTCAACAGACTTCACACTTCTTTGTCTGTCTTGAGCGGCCAAGCCACGTCTTTGTCGCCAAATTTGCTCTTACCACACGATCCAGTCTAGGCAACCCATTTTCTCAATCTTTCTGCCCAAGGAAATAGTTCCGTCCCCAATACATACATTGTCCAGTTGACGACAAGTCGATCTTCGTTAATTGTTTTTTTGGCAGCAAGTGAATGTTCTACGACTCAATCGCTGGTACGCAGTTTATGAGACATTTCCACGTGAATACCCCCAAACTTCATTCATGCGAAACACCACTCAGGATCAGCAAGCAACTCGGCAATATCTCGAACAGATTAGAAGATCAGCCTGATTCCAAGTTTAACACTCAGTGTCAAGAACCAGCCTACTGCCATCAGGCTCGGTTCTTTAACAAATGATGGAGGCACCTCCGCCTGTTGGCTGGCGTCCGGCGGCCAGCGCTGCCGGGCCTGTCGACTACATTCTCACCGGCATATCGACAACATTGGGAACCATCACACGGTTTATACGCTCCGTTCGGACCGCACATGCGGACCTTTCTTCGGTCACCCGAGAGCTTTCTGACATGCGCCTCTTACTCGAGCTGTTGCGTGACGAACACAATATCCCTCTCTTGTTGCAAGCACAAGTCTTGTCGCTTCTGGAGGATACCGGTAATGCGCTTAGTCGGATAGAGAACATTCTGATGCAGTGTCGTGGCGCAGATGAATGGGTCTCTTCAGGTAAGGCAAAGATGGCGGAACTCAGAGGGGATATAGAGACGTATCGGCGTGCGCTGGGACTGGTCCTTGATGTTGTGAATTACCATCAGTAAGGTTTGCCCTGATCGCATACCTTCAAACTCTTCTTCACTCAATTTTTCTCTTGAAACTAACATCTTTTGTTAGGTCACCACTCAATTTCGACCCCAGCGACTTGCAAGCCTCCAAATCCCAGATAACGACCGAAGTAGACCGGTTACGCAGCCATACTGCGTTGACAGGGCTCAACAATAGGAACACCTGGCTGGAACCATACATGAATGCCGTAATTAATTGCTTGGAGATCACTCGTGCTGATTCCCCTGTGATCAAAGACAATGGCCCTCCCAAAGACCGGTAAGCCACATGAGACCATTGCAACGTGAGGATAAGGCCCGCTAACAGACCGAGAAACAGTGATTCAACGTCCACGCCCAATGTTGATATCGTACAGAACGGCGTGAGATCTTTGAGTTTCGAGTCACAGTCACCGGCAACACTCCCTACCGCCTCAACACAGCAAGAAGTAAAACAGTCATCACCAAAATACGTCATAAACAGCCTCTTCGAATCAGCGGGACCATGGTACCCCCCAACCGGATCCATGGCGCTTCCCTTTTACAACGACGTAGAGAACCGTGCATCAACTGCTCCAAGTACGAGGAGGGAACCCCAGCAAGCGTCTCCACGACTTCGGAATACGCCTCTGGATCACTCGAGACATGCCCCAATACCGGAGTCTCCTACATCTACACAGTTCACACAGAGGGTGCAGTCACCCCCTTCTAGCCAACAAAGTTGGGACCAAGGTTCTCCGTCCACGAGATCCGAACCTTTTGAAGCAAGTTTTGTACCACACCAGGGCTTACGAGCTGACCGATGGTCTGAACCTCAGCCGGTTCAGCATCCCGAACAATACGGGTTTACTTCCACGCCGCAATCGCCACATCAAATGCTACGCGCTGCAACGGCCGGCTCAGTTGCAAGTTCTATACCGCCCAGTGAAAGCTCGCGAGGTTATTTTCCCAACCCCCAAATGCCAGGGTCATTTGGCTCGGGTTCTTATCGCCATGGTTACGATAGTGAGATCTTTTCGTCGGCAAACGCGCCGTCTATAGCTACAATGTCGTCTGCAAGTACCTTATCCCCGGCTACTATACATGATTCCCGCTGGTCACCAACGTCCCATTCTCAGTCCCAAAGTCAACAATGGCAAGCCACCACCACTCCTCTCAGTGCCCCCCCTCAATGGTCTCAAAGCAAACCAATGGGTCACGTCACCGCATACAGCAGCAGCACGGTAACTGTACAGTCACACCGAGCCGAGCTTGTGCCTGTACGACATCTTACCGATAAAGGCAAAGCCTCCGATGTCTTCCATATCGACTGCTCACCAACCGCCTCATATTTGGCAACCAAGCATTCCAACAATACCGTTAAGATTTGGGCAATTGCGAAGAACACGGTCCATAGCACGATCAAGATCAAATCGTACGTGCCGGCGCAGCCCCGTTCAAGAGAGTACTTTGTCCGGAGCCATTCGATTCTATCCGAAGGCCCCACGTCTCCATGCTTCATAGGCATTACTACGCATTTCGGGTTGGATCTCGAGATCTACAACTTCACCAAAAGGGGATCCGGAAAGAAGGTGCAGGTTATCAAAGAAGCGCACCGCTGGGCTGCCAGCCACAAGCTCGACAACAGTTACGCCCCGTTTGTGGTATATCGGCCCGGCGCTGACCGGATCGATCGGTACTTCCTATCACGTACCCCGAGTGCAAAGAAGCCCTTCTGGGAAGACGCAAGCAGCTGCCTCGATTTGACAAGAGCTGATCTGCCCTTTCTTCCCAAGTACCCAGAGCTAGCCTTCTCCAACGACGCACCCTTCCTGATAGCCGCTGCGGGCCCCCGGCCAGGTGATCCGCCCAGAGACATCAACAAATCCAACATCCTCCTCGTGGCCTGGCATCTAACTCCAGTCAACGAAGCCAAGCTCGCAGCCCGAAGCCCCGTGAACAGCGTGCATTCGCACATCCAAGAGTCGGGCGATCACAAACGGCACAAACCCTACCGTTTCGTTGCGCCCGCTTATACGCAACTGCAGACCGCCCTCCCTTCGGTCCTCGTCTCTCACGGCAGCGTGACTGTCTCTATATGGATCCCCGCCAGCCACGTCAACATCCCGCTTCCCGGCGGCAAGTTTCGGCAAACGCGTGTCCCCACGCCCGAGCGCTTCGTCCTGGTGTGGGACATGCCCACCAGCACGACCAAACTGATCCCAATTCCCAATGTGCAAGCGTGCGTGTCGCCTGACTGTCGGCTCGTGGCTTACTGCGATCCGGAGATGCAGAAGTTTGTTATCCTGGACGTGACGATGACGACGGCGGCGGCCGGCGAGGAGGAGGTGTGGAAATGGCCGGATGCGGCCAAGGTGAGCGGGTTTGCGAGTTTTGGGCAGTTTGAGGCTATCAAGAAGATCACGGTGTTTGAGTTTAGTCCGGATGGGAAGTGGTTGATTGTGGGCGATGCGAGTGGGGCGTTGGGTGTGTATGAGGTTAGGGAGGCTGGGACGAGGTTTGAGTTGTTGGATCAGAGCTCGTTGCAGGGGGTTTCGGAGCTTAGAGGGACCGGGGGTATTCCGAGAGGGAATGTTGCGGAGTTGATGTAGTGAGTGAGTGGTGCTGGAGGTACTTTGCTTGATGTTTGCATGCATGTTAGTTTGCGGTGTTGGATATATCATGATTGGGGTCAGAGGCAGGAGGGCTTATATAGATGGAGCTTTTGGATATGACCATGTGAGGCATCTGAGGTTCAAATTTTACTAAGATCGTGAGTAAATATTGCGAGCTAAAAGGGATTATTATCATTCTCTCGTTGCAAAAATACAGCCTCGCAGTTTCTGTATTCACCCACCGATCCAACAATAAACCGTGGCATGTGAAGCACCAGAATCTCAAGGAACGCAAAAAATATCACAACAACAGAAATTCTCTCAAAAGGATACAGTGCAAAAAGAAAAAAACTGCAAAAGAAATGGGACCTGGGAGGCTCGAACTCCCGACCTCAGGATTACTCCGGTATTTACACCGGATCATAGTTAAGATATGAGACCTGCGCGCTAGCCAACTGCGCCAAGGTCCCTAGCGACCTGTTGTAGGCTGTTGATGATGAAACGCTCCGAACCGAATTGTTAAGTAAGTAATTTTGGTGGCGAAGAAAATAAAATTACCTAGGGCAACAACGCGACGATAGTGTCGAAAGGGACACTTCGACTTTTCTATCCTTCAATATAGCTTTTGGGACCATAGAGGTATCCTCGAGTGGAAGGTGGAAGGTGTTGAACGAGATGATTATCTTGGTATTCGTTTATCGATCCACCCATGGATCACTCATCTCAGCTACTATATATCGAGTCACTCTTCCGCCTTCCCTTTGATGTTCTTCTTTCCTCCTCTTTCAATCAACAAGTTCACCCCAACGCACTTTTCCAATTCCCTTGCGCACTCATGTTTTCGTCCACTTCATTCACCTCGGAAAGAAGAGGTATCGTATCACGATTGAAGCTTGTTGTCCAAGGCGACTCACTGACATGGTGGATCATTTCTTCAACTTCTATACCGCCTCCTCAGCTCAGCCCAACGCATCTTCAACTTTCTCCAATGAGATGTCGCCCCATAAGGGACGATGATCCATTGCTGCTTGCACCATGACTGCGCAGTATTTATCTTTTCATCTCATCCCAAGTGAATGGTCGGGCTCATCCACCGGTTTCTCAGTCAACCCCCAGGTCTCTGCTCACTTTCCGGTCGAGCTGGTCCCAAGCTGGACCTTGGTCAGACAACCAATGGTGACAGGACGGTCTGTGCCGCCCCGGAATTCACAGCTGGGCGTCCGGGACACTTCCATCCCTTCGCCGGACTTCCACCTCATTCACTCCCGCTCTTCGCCAAACAACGCATCCAGCTCTTGCTCGTCCTCAAAAAAAAATCCCCGCTAATTCTAGGTTCTCCCACAGTTCTCCCATATCTCGCTGACTTTCTTTCTCCCCAAAACAACCAACCTCATCCACCACATTATCTCGGCGCAACACGGAACCAGCAACGGCGCCCCATTCTCACCTCATCATGACTCAAAAGAAGTATGCATCTCAGGTGGCGGCACCGATGCCACTGTTTAGCAAGCTTCCCACGGAGATACAGATCATAATCTTTCACGAGGCGCTTCGCAAGCCGCAGATTCACTTTATAAAAGCGACGCGCGAGCAAAATCCCGGCGAGCGCAACCCGTCTTGGACTGTAGCCCTGAAAGCCAGGGACAAGAGCAGCGACACTTCCGGCTATCGCTTGCTCAACAACATGGAGGATATCGCACGCTCCTTCCCCGTCGCGGCCGAAGTGATGCGCAAAAACATCCTCGAGCCACATCGCCTACCACTGATGCCCGTCCCGAAAGAGGGCTCATGGAGCATCGACGCCGCCACGGATCTCGTGGTTATCGAATTTGATCGCGACAAATCAGGGAAGATGCGGTTCTGGCATCCACGGAACCGAGTCTACACTTCTACCCAGGACGTCGATGCAATCCGCCATCAGCTTGAGGGGATCAGAAAGGTAGCTTTTGTATACGGCGGGGACCAACAACCGGACGCTGGTTCAAGTGAAAGTGTATTCCCATGCTTGAATCATCACCAGCGGAAACACGCGAGTTGGCAGTTCTGTCCGGAGGAGCTGCTGGGGTTCATTTACCAGCTCTCCCATGTCGAAGCGGTGTATTTTATCCTCAAAGCCCGGATAAATACCAAAGTCGTGAAAGAGTATGCGACCAGCTATTTTTCTAGTAAGTTGCCCTGCTCCTTTGTAACTCATTTTTCCTTTGGCCCTGATTCCCTTGTATTGCTTCTTAATCTCATTGATATGACTTCCCAACTGACTGAATGCCGCTACAGTCCCCGCCGCTATTCGCAACAGCTTCGGCTTCGAAACTTTCTACTCCACCACCAGGAGCTACGTAACCGTCCCCCTTCCTTCCTACACCATTGGACCGGTATACCACGCGACCTGGAAAACGAAAGACTGCGTCTGGCCGGAGAAACCCCTTCCAGTACTCATTAAGATAGCCCGCGCGTCGGCTGCGACCCTTCCCCCGGACTCCAAAGAGAAACAGTACGCGGAGCACACGCGCAAGCTCTCGCACCTCAGTCGCAAACTAAACCATCGTGACAAGGTCAGTCCCTTGGTTTCGGAAGTGATCCGCCAAATGCGGGCCGACCAAAATATCCCGGTGTCGGCAGACTATGAGTGGCCAGATCCACCGCCACCTCTGGTCAACACCGCCCGATTTAAAGCCCACAAAGAACAACACAGGCGGGACTATAATCTCGACAATTTCACCAGGGGGAGACGAGATAATTTGGAGTTTGGCATGTTGCTTATGGTGGATGATGCGGCCCCGGCTGTTAGCAAGAAGGGAGGGGAGAAAACCAAGGGCGCCAAGTGTAAAGCTGGTGGTGCAAACACGAAGAAGTAGACGGAAGGTGGAAGATCGGTTGCCTAAAGTTGTTGGACTGAAGGATGACAAGCAGCGGGAGCGGGCAGTAAGAACGCGCTTGGATGGTTTTGTTCGTCAAAGAATAATGGTTGGGAAGCACAAACGCTGTACTCCCATCTGAGCAGCTTTCTTACGCGTCAACGGGCCTGAGGCGTATGACTAGGACGACTGGCTCCAGCACATGGGCGTTATTGAGGACCTCCGCCGAGGTATTCGCGCCCGTCTAGCGAGGCAGGAGTTTGAAAGGACGACACTAGCAGGATCGACCTCATGGTGTTCGATTCGTTGGATTGCAACATAGTTCCGGGGTGGTTGAAGTTTGAACTCTTGGTTTCCACATGGGCGACAGATATGGGTTGGAGGAGATTGCTACCGCAGGTTGCTTCGCATGGGAAGATGGGGAAGATCCAAGATCTAGGGTTCAAGTGTCACTCAGGGAAAAAAAGAGGTAGAGCTAGATAGCAACACGTCGACTATCGCCCGTAGTACTCTTGCTTGGTGCAATGTCGTCTATGAAGGAGGAAGTATCCGTATACGTGCCTGGCCTCGCATGCTTCCTATCCAAAAAAAATGACTTTACAAGGATAGTCGCCAGAAATGATAACGCCTCACAAAGAGGTTTACGATAAACGCCATGTATGCTCCACAAACATACCATCTGATAAGACATCAAATATGACCACTTAAGTGGAAGCTCGATTAGGCACTCAAGCGTCCGGATCTGTATCCTCTTCCCAACTCCTCTTCCTCATCATCCTCTCTTTCATCCTCATGATCCTGCGTTCCATATCCTCAAGCCCGTCATCGTAACTACCGCTACCACCACCAGCATCACCTGAGTGCCCACTTCCCAAGTCAACTCTTTCACCGTCTCCTCGTTCCTGCCCCTGCTCGTCCTGACAGATATCGTCCTCTTCTTCCTCTTCTTCCTCTTCTTCCCTCCTTCTCTTCCTCGACGACGATCCCCTTCTTCCTTCCTGTAAACTTCCATATCCCCTCATTTCATCCACCCCCGACATCTCCTCATCCAACCCTTCCTCCATAACCTCCTCACAAGCCCCCCTAACCCCCTCCACAATCCCCTCTTTTAGAGTCCTCATCTTATCCTTCCACATCTCATCCCTTTTTTCCACAGCCTTCCTAACCGCACCCTGAACCCGGCCGCTGACATCGGTGATAACTTCCATCAACTCTTTTTTTTCGCGCTGTAGCAAGAGGGCTTCTCCGCGCAACTGCTCGCTTTCCATCTGGAAGTTCTTGATGGTTTCTAGAGCTACGCGCAGGGAACGTTGGGTGCGAAGGAGGGTGGTTTGGAGGGTTTGGTTTTGGGTGGCGAGGGTTGTGAGAGTTGTGAGTTGTTCTTGGTGGTGGAGGGTGTGGGGTTGTTGGTTTGGGTTGGGGTTGTGGTGGCGTGCGGAGGCGGAGGTAGTTGTGGACGCTGGGGCGGGACCAGAGGCGGAACCGCAAGGAGGATAGGAGGTGCGGGATCGGGTTGGCATGACCTCTAGCTGTTCTTCGTTATTATTGAGGTTGTGAATTTGAATGGTGGTGGCATTTGACGTCCGCCTCGAACTCAACATGGCTGAGGCTGACCCTCCATGTCGCGAATTAGAGCAGGGTGTTATGGGTAATTCCGTACCAGCTCCAGCACCAGGGCGGGTCATGGGCATCATTCCCATTGCCATACCCATACCCATACCCATACCCATGTTCATGGGGCTGGTGGTTGGCGGGCTGGGAAATGGTTTTGCTTTCACTGCTGTTGCTGTTGCTATTGCTGTCGCTGTCGCTGTCGTCGTTGTTGGAAGTGGACGGCGATACTGTACTCGACTGCCCGAAGGAGGTGGCGTACTACAATCCAACTGAGCGCGAATAGCCTCGCTGAATTGCGATGTGGTCAAGCTAAGAGCTTCCGTCTCCGAGCCCGAGCCAGAGCCAGTGTCATGGACCCGGTGATCCAAAGCCGTGTGGAAAGTCGGATTACTGGGTGTTTCTGGTGAATCCTGTGGTTGTTGTCGAGCAACATGATCAGCTTCCCTCCTCTTTCCCTCCGTTACCTCCTCCCTAAGCTCCACATGGCCCCTAACCTCCCTCCCATTACTACTCCCACTGCTCCCAGCCTCAACCTTCTTCCCGTTGCCAACCTCCGGCAACTCCAACTCCAAATCCAAATCCAAATCCAAATCCAAATCCACAGTATCGTCATCCTGAGGATGAGACCTCTCAATCGCTTCGTTCTTTTCCTTCAACTCAGCTCTAAGCCTTTGAATCTCCTCTTGCGCCTCTTGCGCTTCCTTCTCCCTTCTGCGCCGTTCGCTGTACACGCGGTTCATCTTCTCCTGGATGCTGCGCCGCTTGGGTTTGCTCCGGCCGTCGTGGACCTGGCTGAGGCGGAGTGAAAGAACCTGGGGAGAAAGATGCCCCTGGATAACCTCAATGGTGGATGGGTTGGAGGTGTTGCTGGGTTTTGTCGTTGATGGTGAGGATGAGGATGAGGATGAGGAGGATGATGATGACGATAATATCGCGCTTGTGGCAGCGGGAGCAGACCGTTGACGTGATGGAGTTACTGCTGCTATGCTGTGAGTTCTATATGTGCACTTCGAAGAGCCCCGCGCCGCTGGTGCTGGAGACGGGGGTTGTAACGATATGCGCCGGACCATGGGTGTAAGGCCAGTTGATAGTGAGAGTTCGTCCGCCTCCACCAGTTGCAGGCTATTAACAGCGAGACCCGAAGAAAGGTGTAAGTGTGTTTTGTTGCCCCTCCGGACGGTGACGGTGCTATTTGTTATCTTGTGCTTCCAGGTCCGGCGTGATGTCCGTGGTGTCGTCGGGGGCGTAGGTGGTGATGTCTCTCTCTCTCGTGTGTATGTGACTGCCCCTAAATTCTTGATCGCAGCACTTCCCACGCCCGAGATTCGGCGCACAGTTCCAGTTCCAGTTCCAGTTCGGCGCGTCCGTCTCAGCGCTATAGGGATGCTTAGATCATCGAGGTCGTGGTCGTGGTCGGTCATGTTTGTGTATGTTCTGGCTAGTGTGATGGAAGAAACATAAGGGTGGAGGGATACACCACGAATAAACAGAGTGGGAGTATGCACAATGCAAACGGATAGTATGGAAAAAAGCAATGTTACCAGCCAGCCAGGTGGCAGATGCAAGCCGTTCGAACGAGGTGATGCACGACGTCAAAGTGACAAGAAGACAGCAAGACTGATGAATGGATTGGGAACAGAAAGACACAGGACTCGGGACTTCTTAAAGGTTTCACGGCATCAAGGACGCCATCAAACTCGCATCACCGTCGCGTTTTTTATTTAGATCCTTTTTCCCTCCCGAGACTTGCGGGCACAGACACCAATGTTGTGGGAATTGTTCGTTGTCTGTCTGTTTGTTTTCCAGTTTGGGAATGTGGGGTCAAAACAATCCAACGAACGAGAACGCGCGACACTCCCTGGAACTTCACTGTTCACGCAGACCTTCGGCATGCTATGTCTCATGTGAATGGAGGGTCCTTCGACGCTAACATGCTGTTGTGATGCTTTGATGTTTTGATGTTTTTGAGGGGCATCGAGACTGATAGCTTTATCATTCCAGTCAGCAGTGATTGGGGTTTAAGAGTTTACACTTACACAGAATCAAATCGTAATGTTATTGTTAGCACCCTCGGAGAAACCCTTGATCATCGAGAAGCAAGGGCCACTGTTGACACTGTAAGCCGAAAGCAAGGGAGGAAACATTATCGCGTTGATGGGTTTGTCTGCCTGCCACTGGTATCTTCTTGATCACGAAACGCCCCCGAAATATAAACATAAAGTGTACAACGCGATAAGAGCGAACATACCTAGGTAGTGTTTGTTTAACAGAACAATAAATATCCTTTTGACGCCCATTCACCTGTTTATCCCCCATGTGCCACGTTTATAACTCGAACAATACAAGACATAACAGTACTAAGCCCCCTCAATTGGTCCCATCGCGCTTGTTTTTTGTGGTTCATCGCGCAGCGCCCAGCATCCATCTGTTCCTGGGCAAGCTCTACGCCGCAGCAACCGCATACCTCGGCAGCAGCGCCATCTTCTCCTCCGGACTGACTTCGCTATCGCCATAAACCATGCGCATATTCTTGTCCTTGCTCTTGCCCTTCTTCTCCCCACCAGCAGCATCCTCTGCCCTAGCAGGCGGCTTGCTGCCCTGCTCCGCGGCACGGATAAGCTGATCGATCTCGTCTCCTTGAGCTCCTCCTTGCCTCGCAGCGCCAGACACCAGCTCATCGACAGTCGAGGCTCCGCCGGGGTATCCAGCACCTGGTGGCGGCACTGCGCCACCACCGTTGTAGTTGTTGTTGTTGTTGTTGTTGTTGTTGTTGTTGTTGTTGTTGTAGTAAGGTGGTCTCTGCGCGAGAGCGCCGCCCGTCGGCCTGGCAGGGAGGTTGAAGCCCGCCGGGCCACCGGGGCCACCGGGCAGTGGGGGTGTTGGGCCGGGAGGGGGATAGACGGGAGGGTAGGTGCCGACAACACCTGGTTGTACTGGAGGTGGGAAGGCACCGGGGACGCCGACGGGTGGGGGGTACGGGAATCCTGGTTGCGGGGGAGGAAGGGGGATGCCTGTGACGTAAACGTGTATTGATTAGCATGTCTGTGTCTCTGGAACAACAGTTGGAGGATATCATGATGAAACTCACGCCTTGCGCCGGACTCTGGCCAGCAACGGGCGACACAGAAGAAACAGGAACTTGAGCTTGCTGCTGCGACTTCGGCACCACAACAGGCACCGGCAGCGTACCACCATTGGCCTTTATCTGGGCGACCTTTGCTCTGTGGTCGGCCAACCTCTTCTTCAGCTCCTCGGGGGTCTCGATCTTGATCTTCTTTGCGGGTCCCTGGCCACCAGCTTGGCCGGGCGGCGGGTTGCCGGTAGCGGCGTGGCGCTCGGCCTGTGCTGTGTAGAAGTTTGTGATGATGCGCTGGTTGTGCTGCTGGACAATGTCGTCGGGGACGCCCTCCATGCCGAAGATCTCAATGTCGAGCCCCTGTCGGTTGGGCAGCGCGTTCTCGACCTTGTCGAGCGATTCCTTGTGCACCTGGTTCATGTGGACCGACAGACCGCCGGCCGTGTTCAGTCGCTTGCCGCATCGGTCGCACTTGAAGTGCTTGGCTTTCTGGTGGGAGATGAGGAGCTTGAGATCCTCAAAGTCACGTTCGCCTGGGTAGATGCAAGTAGTGTGTTAGTTAGGGCTGTGACTCAAGAACATGAAGGAATGAAGTAGACAGATGGTAAGTACAGTAGTAGCACCATGGACGAGCAAGGAGGTCCTCGACGTCGGGGTGTCCTCTCTTCTTTTTGCCCATCTTGATTGATTAGGTATGGTGGTTTGTGCGACAGACAACGAAGATTACTCCGAATTAGATTATCTTGACAAGATTTGGGGCGGTTGAGGACGGGCGCAATGAAAAGTGGTGGTGGTCGTCGTCGTCAATGGGAATGGAAATGGTTCGTTGTTGTTGGTGGATTGGCGATGATGGAATTGCAGTCGATTGAAGCTTGGGTTATCGCGGCGGGTCGCAGCGACGCGCGCGGACGACAAATGTCCAGCCACAGGTGCAGCAAGCTGGGGTCTGCCTACTACCACAGGTCCACAGGCCAAGCCGGGCAGCTGTGGCTGGTAGCGATTCAGCATCCTCAGCCACAGGTACAGCACGTGACATCCCTCATCGTCAACATCACCACCGCTCCATCACCATCAGTCACTGTTGAGATTCAAATCGATGAGGTATCATAAGTAAGGATTCGCTAAGTATGTACAAGTAGCATGTACTCAGGACATGTTTGTGTGTGGCTTCCAACTAGACGAAAGAAACAACAAAAGGCCCAACTCCAACTCCACCACAACTCCAAGGCCATAACACATGTCCAACAACGGTGTGTACATAAACCGGTATGCAAACATCCATCTTCTAGCCTAAAGTGACGACGCTTAACCCTTTATCCAGCAGCAGCAGAATTCCCTCTTTCGCCAATACGCTATGCAACACGGCCATCCCTCACTCGTCCTTACTGCCAAAGGGAAGACCCCGACTTCCTAACAATCAGCCCAGCCCCAATGGTAGTTCTCCTATTCTTACCATCAAAAGAACCGAACATGCTCAGCCTGCTCATCCCCGATGCAGAGGATGCAGAGTTGTCTTCGTCTCCATTTGGACTCCTGCCACTTCCACTTCCATTCCCATTAATCCCCATTCCCAACCTCCTAGGCTGAGCATTCGTCAGACCAGCACTTCCACTTTTCGACCCCGAGTTCGGCATGATCCCGCTCTCCACCAACCACGAGTTATTGGGGCCCAAACTGACTCTCCTGGCCGCCAACCCTGTCGCACTCGTCCCGGTCCCGCTTCTAACAGGAGGCGAGCCCGAGATAGTCGGCAACGGAATCCCGCCCTTCCTAGTGGCAGACGCCGCTGCCGCTCCCGACTTCTCCAGAGTACTACTACCCCTCCGATGCCTCGAGATACCGTTCGTGGCGCTAGCCAGCGGACCGCCCGGGCCCACGCCCATACTGCTTCTCCGTCCAGCGCCTCCGAGTCCAGGGTGATGGCCGCCTGCACCGATGCTAGCCCGGTGGTGAGCGCCCATACTGGCTCTTCCATGCAGACTGCCTCCGAAACTGGCTCTGTGGCCGCCGATGCTGGACCTGCCATGGCCGACGCTGGCTCTATGTGAGACTTTGGCGACGTTTGGTCGGGACGCCGCTGGCCCTGGAGTCGAAGCCGAGCCGTTACCGCCGCCGTTACCGCCGTTACCGCCGTTCGAAACCGGGGCTGCACTAGATGCCCTTCGCTTGGCTTTGGCGATCGACGCTGCGGTGCCCGACATCAAGCTAAGCCTGTCGCGACGCTTCTTCTCCTGCAGGGCCGATCTGAGTTTGAGGGGGTCGATGACTAGGGAGTTATCCGAGTCCGTCGAGCCGCCAGAAGCCGAACGGGGCGAGGTAGAGAGGCGGCGCGGGATCGCCGAACCGAGTGACAATCGAGAGGAAGACTTGCGCACGGCGACGGGCGGCTGGTTCTCGTCGACTTGCGGTAAGGAAGACATTGATGGTGGGGTTGGAATCTTCGGGCTGCTATCGTGGTTGCCGTTGTTCATCGTGTTCATCGTGTTCGTGCTCGAAGAAGCCGCGTTCGGTGCCTTGGCGGAGTACGAGACCGGGGAAGAGTAGGCATTAGCTGCTCGACTTACGGGGATACTCCTCAAGGGCTGTGCCGGTTTCTCCTCACCACCCCCGTTCTGCTGTGAAGTAGCATTATTGCTGTTGGCCAGATTCAAGCTAAAGACCGGTGGTGGCTGTGCCTGAAGGACCCCGTTGCCAGTGATAGTCGCTCCGGGGGTTGATCCAGCCAGCGAGGTCCTAGACTTGGACAAGAATCCAGCTTCGAACCTGTTCGGCTTGCCGATAGACAACCCTGAGAGATCTAGAATCGATGGCGCCGCTGGCCCGCTTCCATCGTCCATCTCCACGTCTTCGTCGGTATTATCTCGCTGTGGAGGCGGGGGGGCTCTTCATATCGCTGAGATAACTCGGCATCGACGGCCGCACAGGCGAGATGCCATTCTCAGGCTCGCCTGGACTGGAGTCCCATTTTTGCGGTGTTTTGTCGAAGTCGGCCAGTGTTCCTTCCTCCGTCTCATCATCTCTCCATCGCACAGAGTGCTTCTTCTTTACAGGCGTGAATGTAAACGACGTACCGGCCTTTTTGGACGCTGCGTAGGCGACCTTCCTGGCCTTCACCGGTGAAAGATGAGGAACCGTCTCCCCATCCCAGTTCTCCATTGGCGCCTCTGTCTCCGCTTCCGGCTCCTCTATCGAGATGTCCATAGCAGTCTCGGTCGAAGTCGAAGTTGCCGTACTCACCGCCGCACTGGGAGTAAACACCGGTTGGGGAATCGCCTTTGCGCCATTGATCCCACCGCTCTTCCTCCTAAGTTTGGGCACGTTGAGTCCTAATCCCTGATACCCAGCCGTCGAAAGACTTCCATCGGGCTTGACAACCTGCCCAGCCGCCTGAAGTCCCGTCTCCAACAGTCGGTTCACCATTCCCTTCGCATGCTCCACCGCCTGTCGCTCCTCCATCTTCAACAACTCCTCCAGGCTGGCCATGATCTCAAACTGCGCCATCAGCAGCGTCTGCAAGACCGCTGCATCACCAGCCTTATCCTGCTCAACCACCTCATGGTACGCATCGCGCATGAATCCGGTTCTCAGCAACTCCGCCTCCCGCGCGAGGATGTCCCTTTCGGCATTGCAACCTTCGCCGTTTCCGCCCATAGCAGGTAACTGCGAGATACTGTGCTGAAGCGCCGTATCGAGGGACCTTTCCCAGTTACACCTCCCCAGGCGCTGGTGTACGTGGTTCCTGTTGGTCTCGAGCTCGTTTATCATGCCGATAGCAGTCCTGCGGATGGCTGTCAAGGGCGCAGGCATCTCGTTTTCACTGGCGCACCCGCGCGCATCGCAAACGGAGTCAAAGGCCGCGATCCAAGACGACAGCAAGCCGATCCTTCGCTCAATGGCGCGCTGCTGCTTCATGAACCCAATCACCTCCATGCGGTCCTTCTCAGCATGTTCGTAGGCGGCATGCAGCCTGGCCAGGCCCTCTCGTACCACGGTATCGCGCTTCTCGCTCTGCTTGAGGAATTTTGCGAAGAAGACCTTTTCGGCATCGCGCTGCTGGGCTTTGAGCTCGTTGATGAGTGCCATCTGCTCGTCAATCTTGACCAAAAAATCCTTGACGTGGCGATTGACGTTGAACACGTTCCGCGTGACCTTTGTCTGGATGTTCTTGGCCCGGTTCGCGTACCGTAGCGTGTTCTGCGTCTCATCAAAGTGCTCGCTCGACGGGCTCACGCATACAATCATGACCGTTTTGCAGTTACCGCCAAGACTGAACTTGAGCAACCTCGTCAGCTTGCTGTTTCGGTAAGGGACATGGTTGCGCTTGCGCGGGTCGCAGAGCGCATTGATGCAGCTGCCCAACGCGAGGAGGGACTTGTTGATGTTGGCGCCCTCCAGCAGCCGCTCGCCGCGGTTCTTGGTTGCGCTGGCGCGCTCGCTTCCGGCCAAGTCGATGATAGAGAGCGTGGCCATGGTGTGGGGTTCGTTGACGGCGGCGTTGCGGTCCTTTTGCGCCACGTTGATTTGCAGGACAGCATGTGAGCGTGACGAGACCGCGTTGGCGGCGGTGGGGGATACGGTGCGGTACTCGTTGCCTTGCACTATCATGTCCATGACCTCCTGCACATCCTTGGGCTTGTGGCTCGTCAGACCGGCAACGCTGACTCCTTGATTCGAGTCCTCACGCAACATCAACCCTTGCTTGTTGGTGGCGCTGCCAGGAGGCACGAGCAGGTCCCGGATAGTCTCGTTGTAGATTTCGAGGTAGGAGAGGGTGACCTCTGTGTGCTTTTCGCCGCTGCGCTCGTTGATCTTTTCGAACAGCTCCTGCATGGTGAGGAAGATGATGCCTGGGGACTGGGGTGTTCCGGTAATTGTGTGGGTTTTGCCGCAGCCGGTGGCGCCATAGGCGAAGACAGTCGCGTTGTAGCCGTCGAGGACACTATCCAAGAGGCCCTTTGTTGTTCCTTCGTAGACCTCCACCTGGGAGGCGTTCTCGTCGAATATTCGGTCGAAGGCGAAGACTTGGTCTTTGACTTTTTTGCCCATGGCTGGCACGACTGATCGGGAGAATTTCTGGATTGGGTTGTCTTCTGGAGGATCGAAAACACTTGCCATCGGTCAACTTGTTAGTATCCCTGGTCTGCATATCCCATCAGTCCCGCGTCCACGGAAGAGAACCTACAGGCATCTATCATCCACGACCTTGATCACGGGCCGGATTCCCCTCTGGTTGAGTTTTGGGGTCGGCGCAGCCGCCAGCGACCCGTCTCCCAGGAATACCGTGCCCTCATCTCTCCTGACCCTGTAGTATGCGACGGCACCTGTCAGTCTCGGTTCGTCCAGTAGTACGTCGAGCACATAACTGCAGGGTGGTGGGTGGTGATTCTCACAGCTGGGCAGCTTCTCTGATCGTAAATGGTCGGACACGAACTGTAGCAATGCTTGTAGTCAGCAACCACGTTCTTCTCTCTAAACACCAAAGTAACGCAAATAACAAGCAAGAAAACATGAATGATGCGACTGCACAGACTTGCGAAACATACCTGCGACCGTAATGGACGAAGCGTTCGGGTCCGGATAGCCCGACATCTTGGGGGGTTTCTTATTCTCACACCTCCACCTGTCAGTCTGCCGTCCGTAACCGGCCCAGTCCACCTTGTTCTCCTTTGGCCCGGTTTATGTTGTAGATTATTGCAGCAGGCAACCGGCGTCCTTTTGTAGAATATGCGGATCCAAAGCGAGGGATGAGACAAAGGACCGTTATGGTATCTCGTATAATCGAATGTTAGGTTAAGTCGGTAGGCTGAAAGTGGTGGCGGTTGGGTCGATTCGGTATGTATCCTGTTTTCTCCAAGAAAGAATAAGAGCGATACAGCCAAGGCGATTTCTTGTTCGTCGTCGTCGTCGTCGTCGTCGTTGTCGTGTACTTTGTTGTTGTAAAGTCGTCTCGTAATTTTCGGGTGCTATGTTTTGCAAAATGTGGTCTGTTTCTCTGTCGGTATGTCGTGCGTGGTACGATAGTAGTAGGTTTTCGTTACAGTCCCCTCCAAGGCGTTGGTCGAGTTGTTTTGTTTGGTGTTGCGATGTTGACCATGGAGGGGGTTGGTTGGTGGGTGATGCCAAAGCAAGTAAATAAAAAAGAGTAAGGAACAAAACAATGGACGCGACCCGTGATACAAGACGAATGCAAGACGCAAGGGAGAGAAGGAGAGGCGAAGAAGGAACAAGCGTCGTTACGTATTGAGGAAAAAGAGCCAGTTCTTTACACTTGGTTAGTTTGCGAAAGGGAAGAATGATGGATGGACAAGTTCCGGGCCTCTCTCTCCAGCATGTTTCCAGCGCGCCGGGCTCCAAGGGAAGTGGAAGCATGTTTATCGGGCCCGCTGGTTGCTGCAACAACGATTTGCTGAGGTGGCAGGCCCCACTTGGTCCAATGCGATGTATGCCATGCCGGCGGGGGGGGCGGCTTGCTTGCCCGCTACTGCCCGCTACTGCCCGCTGAAATGGAACAGGAACCGAGTTTGTTTCACAGCTGTAGCTTAGCGTTGAACAAGTGGCTGACAGGTGGGACGACAGAGCGGCGTTACAGCGCATCACTTCCACGCTTGTTCAGAATAAACCGGACACATTATCACCCAACTTCGAGGGGAAGTGGTCGGTTCTTTTTGGTCCAAACGAACCCCCAAAGCTCATCCATCCGCCATCCGCCATCCTGGCAGGAACTAAAACATACACCATTCATCTCGATTGATCACCTGAATGTATCCATCTCGACCTCCACCTTCGCACGTGGCATCCATCTACAAGTTGTGGCGCCAATGCTTCCTCAAAATGTTGAAATGGACAGACAAGACTCAAGACATCGATACAGATACCAACTCATTTGCTCATAAAGCCATATCATTAAGAACCATGTGCTAGAAGCATTAAATGCTCACTCATCCCATCCACCATCCATTCATAACCGTTCAAATCATCAATCAAATCATGCCGCAGCCGCCGCAGTCGCAGCCTCCAACAACGCCCGCTTATGCGACTTCTTCTTCTCGTACAGCCCACCGAGCGTATCAACGTCGGCCAAAAAGCTAGTCTGGTTATACTTGCCCACCTGGTCCCTACTGACCATGAAGCTCTCGGGCGGACCAAAGAAGCTCTTGCGAACACCACCCATGTCGACAATGATCTTCTGCACCACAATACCGGGCATGAGCGCCTGGAACCGGAGCTTGTACGCGCCCTCCTGCGGGACCGAGAAGGTGCTGGTGGTGTAGTTGCCAACGGTGCCCCACACGCTGTCGGCGACGGCGTAGCCCCAGCCCTCGGGCAGGTTGGTGCCAACCGTGGGACCGACGGGGCGGACCATCTTGGGCGAGGAGGGGGCGGCTGAGCCGGCGGGGTAAAGGGAAATGCCGTACTCGAGAGGAGTCCACTCGCCGAGGTAGTTAAGCGCCGGAGACATGAGGATCGTCACGTTGGCCTTGGTGTGATTGGTGAAGAAGTAGAGGTCGTACTCGAGCGCGGGCGCCGTCTCGACCGTGAGCTTCTCCGTGTTGAGAGGCACGAGACCGATGCCGCTGCCGCTGCGGCCGTACTTGTTCAAAGTGTGGTAGGTCACCTTGTCGTTGAGCTTGGACTTTTGCTTGGGCGGGACGATGGCCGAGTAGTGGGCGCCGGTGATGGCGATGTGTCCATCGGACTCGACGAAGCCCTTGGTGAAGTTGGAAGGCACGGACCGGATCTGCACGGGGACCTGGACCATAGGCTCGGCGTAGCCGTTACGGTCAAGGCCACGGCACGAGTTGGTGACGTTGATGTTCACTGTGCTGTAGAAGGGGGCCTTGGGCGCCTTGGACCAGTCGATGGAAACCTGGACGCGTGTGTCGGAACCCTTGGGTCCAACTGTGCCGTTGTACTGCGACAACTTGACCCATGGCTGCCACGGAGCCGCCTTCCAGGCGCAGTCCTTGGTACCGCGAGAAAAGACGTCAAAGTAGCGAGTGGCCGGGCCATAGGGATCCATGGGCGGGAGCGAGAGGTTGTTACCACTGTTGGAGTGGTACTTGTCGTCACCCTGGACAGTCGCGTTCGAACCCTCGACACCAACACCGACGTGGCCAGCCAAGGAAACAAAATGTGTCTGGACATACACCATGGCAGGCAAGGTGTTCCTCATGGGCTGCTGCCAGTAGCCGTCATATCCAAGATGGGTCTCTGTCTGTTTGTTAGCACACAGCTCCTCTGAATACCTTTTGACGACGAAAATGGGACAACTTACGATCCATAAAGTGCCTCCACTTGCCGTTGAGCAAAGAATCCCAACGCTCCTGCAACTGCCAATCCTCATCAGACGCCGCCAAAACCTGGTTGATCACCTCATTGGCGGAGTTACGCTTCTGTCCAGAGTACAGCATGTTCTTCGCGCCACCCGCATAAATTCTGTGGACGACCTCACCGCCAATGGCAGGGTGGAGGATCATCTCGAAGAAGGCAGGCTTGTAGGCCTCGTCAAGCTTGTCATAGACAGCCTGGGCCTGGGCACGGAGCTCAGCCCACTGCTGCAGGACGGCATCGGCCTCGTTGTAGTTGATGACCGAGTACGTCTGAGGCTCAACAAGCTCGAACTTGCGTCTGCTGGAGTACATGGCATACTTGATCATGATGTCGCCGATCTCATCGGCATACTTGGGGCCAAACTCACGGGCAGCCCAGGTCTTGGCCCACTCCTCGGTGCTGTCAACGCCCCATCTCTTCATGTCATAGCCCAGGTCGAACCAGTGGTTGATGGGGATCTCGTGCGCCTTCATGTCGCCGACGTTGACGATCCAGATTCTGTCGGCGCCGCGAGCATACGTCATGTGCATCTGCTCCGTCGTCTTGGAGAGCTGCACCGTGTTGATCCACTTGTAGTTACGCGGGTCACCGACGTAGTCGAAGTGGTAGTAAACACCAGCGCCTCCGGCACGAGAGGTCTCGTTAAGCAGCGGAAGACGGCGGACATGGCCCCAGTTGTCATCCGCCCACAGCAGGGTAATGTCCTCGGGAACCTCCAGGCCGGCAAAGAGGTAGGTCATGACCTCCTTGTACAGGCACCACGCCTGGGGAACGGTGGTGACGTCGGATACACCCAACCCCTTGGCCAGGATATCACGCTGGTTGTGGACCAGAGTGGTCAGCATATCGACAATGTGATCAACACCAAGACCCTCGATGGCCGTATCGCCGGTGCCGCGCATGCCCATGGTCCACAAGCTGTTGCGCGCATAGGGCTTGGCTCTCTGGACGCCGTAGCGGAAGTAGTCGTCGATGGTCTCGTTGTTGAGGTTGTACGCCCACGGGCCCTCGTAGAAATGGCCGAACTCGTTCTGCGCACGCATCATGGGCTCGGTATGAGAGGTACCAAGGACGATCTCGAAAGCGTCGGCGAACGGCTGGTTGCCCGGGTCATCGACCTCAAACATGGTTCCCCAGAGGGTGGGCCAGAGGTAGTTGGCACGCAGACGCAGGAGAACCTCAAAGATGAGGCTATAGAAGGCAGGCGCGTAGCCGGCGCCATAAGGAGTTCTCTCCCAGTGCTCCTCGACCCAGTTGGTCAAGGCCGGCTGCTCGTCGTTGAGGAAGAAGCCTCGGTACTTGACGGACGGCGGGCCCTGGACCTTCTTCTTGTTGAGGGCGTAGATGTTCTTGTTCTTCCTGGTTGGCACATCGGCCCAGAAATACCACGGGCTAACGCCGATCTGCTCGCTGACGTCGTAAATGCCGAAGATGGTTCCGCGAGGGTCGCTTCCGGCAATGACCAGTGCTGAAGAACAGCCCTGGAAGGGTTCTTGATTACCTGGCTGGTGAAAGACTCCCATTTGCCCTTGGTGGCAGACACGTCGAGCTTCTTGGAAGCGATGAGGCTGTCGATAATTTCCGAGTGTCCGATGGTGCCGGCAATGATGACGGTATCGGACGGGGAGGTGTCGGAGTAGGCAGGACCGGTGAAGTTTGCGACTCCAGTGGTGCTGTACTGTATAGTTGTCAGCTAATTCTGATCAGGCGGCTCGGGCTCTCTCGGTGCTCGCATGATACCTACATGAGTGTTGTTCATGTTGTTGACCGGGTTGTAGGTGTAAACGGCCGGGCCGGCACCCTTTTCACCATTGGAAAGGGTGTAGTTCGTGCCGGTGACGCGACCAAAGTCAAGAGCGAGATCACCAGCAGCGCGGACAACACCCCAGTACTCGTTCTTGGCCACGCGGATTTGACCTTTGGAGATCTTGCCACCGGCAATCTGGAGAGCACCCGGTGCTTTGTCGAAGGAGATGATGGGCTCCTGGCCTAGGGCCGAAACCACGGAGGTGAAGGCGAGCCATAAGGCCCCCTTGGCGCCCGTGAGGAGCATTGTGAGGAGGGCTCAATGGCACGCTATACCCAAGCTATACAGTAGCAACTGTATGAAAGATGGGTATCGACGAATGCTTGAGAGAGCTCTGTATCTGGCGGCGTGGAGGAGGACACGGTGAGACACCAACTTCACGATCAACTGGGAAGACGTCGGTATAATATACCGGAGCGACGAGCGAACACGAGGACGGCCCATACGCCCTCAATGACGGCATGAAGCTTCTGGCCTTTCCCATCTTTGTGGATAAATAAATTAACCAGGAGGAAACCCGTTGGAAAGGTCACATTCGTTCTTCCGGAAGGTCGTCCGTGACCCTGTTGACCTGGTTCGGTTTCCCCACGGAAGGCTAGCGAACCGGCAAATACCACCTTGGCCACACTACCGTACCCCAGGAACCAGAGTTGGAGATGGAGGAGGCGGATCGCTACTGGTACGGCGGATAAAAAGAAGCTTGGGGACTTGGAGAACTATCTTTTCCTCTTCATGATTGGTCAATGAGGTTCGTTGGCGAAGGACATTGTCCCGCAATTCCCGGACGTAACCCTCATTCCGGCGTGGGAGTGCTAACCGTGAAGCATCCTTTCATAAACATTTGAGTTTAAAGAATGTCCAACAGTGAGGACCTGTCTGGTCATGGCCATTGAGCAACTGAGACCATACGGTATTCCACTCACGTCTTCAGCTCAAAGGAAGCTGGTAGTCCCATCAGCCAGGGACAACTTGGAAGATATAATGTTCGCCGCTCCTGGGCCTTGACTTTGAGATTTCCCCGGCAGAAGCCGAGGCGGGTTGTCTAGTCTCGAAGATGACGAACGATGGAGACCTGGGGGATCGAACGAACAACCGAAAATTTGGGGAAAAAGCGGACCTAGCGGTCCTCCAGATGGTAAGGTATTGCGGGGAAGCGGAGAAGTGGCACTCTGTTTTCTTTTTATCCGGGGAGCCAACGTTCTTGGCGACCATCGGCCCTGACTTTGATCCTGATGTTCGTTTCCTGGGGAACTTGGTGATCTCGCGAGCTCGCGTGCAAATCGGATGGTTGAGAGTTAATACTAGGCCCTCGAGAATGTGGGCTGAATACCGGATATTCATGGCAGTGATTCGGGCACAAAGCATGGAGACGAAATGGGTGTGCCTCTCCCTCATCGACAATGCCGGGGCCGAGATATGGAACTATGGAAAATATTCTTTGGACCTCAGCTGGGAACGTCACGACTCGAAACTGTCAGCGTGGAATACAAGCGCCACACGGAATCTGTATAAGAAGTTTTCTCCTCTTCCTTTCGGATGGATGGTTCAAGCATGCACATACCGTATCCAAGCTGTCGGGTTGGCGAACAAGACCGTCTACTGTGTAGTGTACCCTCAAGCGCAACCCTCCACTTTTATCGCTCCTTGATCTTCGTTGCCCCGGACTGGTGGAAACTGGGTGACAGTTTATTTCCCTCCTATGAGCGTTGTGTTAGGCAAGTAAGTGGGTGTAGAAGTCTATCATGGAACCATGGTGTGAAGTGCACCTCTCCAATTTGCGGCCGAGCACGTTGCGGCGGTGTTCCAGAGTTAAAAGGGGGAGATGCAGGTACGGTCTATATAGATAGATTAATTTGCGTCAATAGCGGCATCATCCCGCTGCGAGGTCCCTCGATGACGTTCCCGATGCCCCGTCATTCATCCTGCTCCAGATCGCGTTACCGTAGCAGGCAGGTCGTTCATGTCCTGCTCCCGACCCGAGTCAAGAACATTTGGTCGAGACCGCCAGTTTTTGTATGTTAGCTAGCACTCGTCAGTTGGCATCGATGCGATTATTGAAATCTCGCGGTGTATTTACCTTGCCGTTGGAAGATTTCAGGTGGATTACCGCACACAAAAAGAGAAGATAAAACGAAGAAGAAGAAAGCCATGGCCGAGACTTCCTGTTTTACGCTGACAACGGCCAACGAGCAAGGTACCCCTGGGCTACAACCCATCAAGTAGGCACTAGCAATAGTGTCGAAATGACAGGGCAGATTCGGTCAAATAAATGTGTGACATCAAGTATGGGACCGAGAACGCAAAGGATGGTGGTGGCTAGCTAGGTACCTATCTCGAGACGAAGTTACCCTGGCTCTGCCTGGCCAAGTAGTGTAAACATTAATGGAAGACGGGATTTCCCGTATCACTTATCTCAGAGGTTGCTGTTGACTCACTCCAGTCTGGGCCAGGGGGTTCTTCCGTGTGTGTTCCACTTGGTGTAAGGATACAAAGAACTCTAGTCATTGGGAGGGTTGGGGGTGGAAATAATCCTTCTGCTAGCTTGCGAGGCATGGCGGCGAAACTTCCTGTTGATTAATGCCATATTATCGCAGAGAGGACGGCTTCACATTTGTAAATACGTCCTTGAGAGTTCCTCAAAGTATTCTCGGGTTCTAACATACACTCACATACACTACCCCCGGAGCCTGTTGTTGTGGGGGAAAGTAAAACTGTGAACGTTCCAAATCATATCATGCCCAGCATGCCTACTTAGGTATAATTAATTCTTGTAGCACCGCTACAAACTGTCCGATTCCAAGCTCGCCAACCCAACGCTAATGCTACTGAACCTCGAAAAAAAAAAAAAAAAAAGACGGAGGCGCAATGCAAAGCAAAGCAAGCCTCTCTCAGAAGAAGCACAGCCATCCATCCGTCCATCTACTGCCCTTAAGGTACTCAATAGCTCACAGCCTTCTTCGCCGCCAAATCCCACTTCCTCACCAACCTCTCAATCTGATCCTGCATATCACAGAAAATCCGAATGGCCTGGCCCAACTTCCTCTCGCTCTCGCCCGCCTCGGCCCTCGTGAACGCCAATCTCCACTGACTCTCATCCCTAATCAACTCTTTTAGCCTCAGAATATCACCATTTGGGCCCGTAATCGCCGCCGCGGCGCCCACCGTGCCCGCGCCCGGCCATCCCGCCGCCGGTGTCGCCTCCAGCTCTGTCAACAGTGGCGGGCTCACAGTGATATGCTTCACCGCCCCAGCCAGCCTCATCACCTCGTCGACGCTGGTAAGCGAAGCAGCCATGACTTGCGTCTGCGTCTGCAGGTTCAAGCTACCATGAGCGGATTTGGCGGCAGAGGTGGAAGAGGCGACTTCATCGCAGTACCGCTGGGCAGCGCCGCAAAAGAGGGCCGCCCGGTCTTTGTTGGCATCTGTGTAGGTGGTGTCGAAGTGCACGCGCAGCTCGTTGACGTAGGGCGCCACGTGGCGGCAGCCGGCATCGACGGCGAGAGCGATTTGTTCCATGCTGAAGACGATGGTGGCTAGGGTGGCGATGGAATGCAGGTTTTCGAGCAGGCGGCAGGCTTGGAGACCCTCCCAGGTGGCGGGGATCTTGATGCACACGCGCGAGGTGTCGAAGTCGGGGGAGAGGTGTTTGACGTGGGCGATGATTCCTACGTAAGTAGATTAGTAAAGGTGGTCTTCGCGATGATGCCTAGGGCAGACACATGTGTGCTTTCACTCACTCTCAGCGTTCTTGACCGTCTTCTCGATGGAATAACACCATCTCGGGTTGGTCTGGATGTGGATGAAGCCGTTCAGGTGAGGAGTGAAGCGCAGGGCAAGGCCAACGGCCAGCAGCTCGGCGGCTAACTCTTCTACTGTGGCATCGGTCTGCTTTCCAAACATCCAGTGGGCAATGGGGATGATCTCGTCGATCAGACTTTGGTAGATGAGCTTTCCGTTGGCGTCGGTTTTGGTAATTTCAGAAAGAACAATGGCCTGGGTCGTGTAAGTGAAAATGCTATGTCTCATCGCATAGTTACGCTGACATTCGATGTGATGTCCTTGGAAAGTGTAGACATACCTGATTCGATGTACAGTCCGCAAAAGGGCCGTATATGCGCGCGACTGTCCAAGTGTGTTAGTCTGTTTCCGGCGGGGATACATACATCTCTTGCCTTAGGTTGTGTTGCTTGCTTACCATGGACGTCGAGAGTGTCACAGTCGACCGTACTCAAGCCACGAAGTTGATTAAGGAGGGAAGCCATGGTGATTGGTGAGTCTTTGTGGTACAGCTTGGGTGACTCCGGTATGGGAGGAGAGTTGCAGGATAGTTGGTCAGCAATGGACCGTGTAAAATACGTGAATGGATAGAACATGGAGAATAAGTATGGGTGAGTGATTGTGAAGTGGAAATTCGATTGTTAGGATGTCCCAAAGTGCATGTTGATCTCCCACCGCCCGTTCAGGGACTGTTTGTTTGTCCAAGGCTTGGGCTATGACGACATTGGCCGATCTGCGCCGGGTAGGGCACCCGCTAATACCTGTTTGGTCACTTTGGTGTTTCAAATCGCCTAAAGCGACAAAAGGAGGGGTCCAAGCGGGATGAAAGGGGAAACAAAACAATGAACTTGACAAACACAAGGATCAGGGGAGCCAAGCTGCAAAAGGCGACGGGACGAAAAAAAAGATGTTGGAGACTCGGATACCGGGAGTCGAACCCGGGGCTGTTGAGAGAGCAGTCACTCCTGAGAAGTGAGAGTCAACGATGTTACCGCTACACCATACCCGATTGAACTGATATGGTCCGAATTGTGGTTGAGAATGGTTCTGACTATACCTTTTATCAAGTCAAACACTCCCCGCAAAAGTAGAGGTAGGCTGAGCTCGACCATGGAGGCTGAGATCAAACAGGCACATTGTGGCGGATGTCTAGCCCTGAATCCTTTAGGATAGATACCAGTTGACGTCAATTACAGTCTGCTCTTGTCCTAACAATGCATTCAAAGTCAAGAGAACATGGGGAGGGATGTTGAAGAACCGCCCGAGCCGAAGCGTGGATGTCTCGGCAGTACCTTTGATTCCTATCCATTGACCCGAATATTGTAAAACCTGCAACCATCCATCCATTCCTCGGCCTTGGTGGGACGAACTTGCTATCTGAAGGTTGACCCCTTACCGTAGTGTTAGCCGCCTAGATCACCACAGAGGTCGCAGATTTAGGACCGCCGAGTACAAGGCTGAGGAGTCCCAAATATGCAGATTCGTTCCATCCGCCGGTTGCAGAAACGGTTTGCCGTGGTGGGACAGGGAGTAAAAAGGAGGAATATAGGATAAGCGCCGGTTATAGTGTGTCGCGGCAGCTCGAACTGACGTCGTAGGTATGGATGGTGGTGTTGCGCTGTGTCGGGACTATGTACTGTCCTGGACGGTATCAGGCGCATCAAATGCACGGCAGTTTAGATTGCCAAACGTAGGTACCACGACGAACTCCCGCACGCATAACCTGATCTTTTGGTTCAATCAACGAGTCCCTGGCGAACCGCGAGACATTCTGTGCCGGAATGTGGCATTTATTTCCGAGAAGGGAGGCGCCGTAAAGACGATACTAGACAACGTGTCATTGGCGACTTAGACGCCCTTCTCCGAGAACCGGCGCTTAGAAGCCGTTCAACCAGCCATCAACGCGATGTTACAGCGGGAGAAGCAAGACTAAAGAGAAGATTCCTGTTGAGATTCTGGAACTCGAGAGATCCTTCGCTGTGCTTTCTGCTGCAGTTTAAGACATTGCGGTCATATGTCGGTCATTCGATATCTGTCTGGGTGGGGGGTTTTCGGGGGAGATGACAGAATGCAACCGTCGTCATTGACGGGGAGCTGATGATGCCAATCACAATGGAAATGGAAATGGAAATGAAAATGGAAATGCAATGAAGATGAACTGGCCCAAGCTCCCATCTTGTCCCGCTGTTTTAGCGTGCCTTGGTGGGCTTTCTTAATTCTTAGCAGCGAGGATGGAAGCGGGACGGCAGGGCATTTGGCTTCTGTGCCGGCTCCGGTCCAATTCCCCATTCTCGATTTCTCGGCCGCCCAGTCCCGTCCCGTCCCCCCCATTTTCCCTATCCTCGATCTGGAATTCGCCCGGAACGCCAACGCCGACCCCGGTCGCTTCTCCCGATTACCCAGGCGACGGACGATGGCGATTCGAGCCGGCACCTGAAATCCTTCTCCCCTTCGAACGATGCGGCCGCCGACGTCCACCCTCCGACGCAATGTCCTCCTCGACAGAGTCGTGTGTCAACAACAGAGACTACTAGGACTACAAGTACCACGGAGCAGCAGGTTGTTGCCCAGTACTCTCAGGACTCTTATCACAACTTCACGCGCCTCTTCGGCCTCGACCACCCCTTCTTCACAACGCCTCAAGGCCGGTTATTTCGTCTCCAACGCCTTTCTCCCCTCCCGCGTCAAGACCAATGGCATCCACGACTCGGCCAGCTCGCAACGGAGCAGCACCGTAGCTGCTTCCACCACAACAACAGCAACAACAGCCGATACCGCCGACGGGTCGAGCAGCTCTACAACAACACAACCGACGACGACAACATCCACCGACCTACCACCGGTCGATAATACCCTCCTCCCCCACCGGCGCCGACAAGCTCAACGAAAGGCCGCAGCCGCCGCCGCAGCAGCAGAAGCAGCCGGCGAAACATCAACAACAACACCCCTTATAAACCCCGACGCCCCGACCGCCGACCTAGCACCCGATGCCTCGTCACAGCTCGCCGCCGCCGCCGCCTCTGCGCCCGCCGACTCCCTCAAGCGGCGCCTCTCCTCCATGCTCTCGCTGTCCAAGCCTCGCCTGACCGTGCTGGTCGTTTTGTCCGCCATGGTCCCCTACGCATTATACCCGGTCCCAGCCTTCCTGACCTCCTCGGCGCTCGACACCTCGTTGGCCCCTTCCTTGTCCCCTCTAACCCTCCTCTTCCTCACGACGGGAACCACCCTCTGCTCGGCATCCGCCAACGCGCTCAACATGCTCTACGAGCCCGACACCGACAGCAAGATGACGCGCACGCGCACGCGCCCCTTGGTCCGCCGGCTGCTGACCACCAAGGCAGCCGTCTTGTTTGCCGTAGGCTGCGGTCTTGCGGGAACGCTTGCTCTCTACTTCGGCGTCAACCCCACCGTCTCCTTCCTCGGCGCCGCCAACATCGCCCTGTACGCGGGCGCCTACACGCCCCTCAAGCGCATCAGCGCGGTAAACACGTGGGTGGGCGCCATCGTAGGCGGTATCCCCCCGCTGATGGGCTGGGCCGCAGCAGCCGGCGAGTCTGCCACCGGCGACGGGACATGGCGCGAGCTTCTTTTCGCCAGCGACGGCTCTTCGCTCGGCGGCTGGCTTTTCGCTGGCCTGCTCTTTGCCTGGCAATTCCCGCATTTCATGCCTTTGTCGTGGGGCATCCGGCACGAGTACAAGGCCGCCGGCTTGCGCATGCTGGCGTGGACGAATCCTGCCCGGAACGGGCGCGTGGCGCTGAGATACAGCCTGGCCTTCATCCCGCTTTGCGTCGGGCTCAGCGCCACGGGCGTGACGGAGTGGAGCTTCGCGGTGACGAGTCTGCCGGTCAACGCCTGGTTGGTTTGGGAGGCGATCAAGTTCTGGAGGCTGGAGGGCCACAAGGGCAGCGCGAGGGGATTGTTTTGGGCGAGCGTGTGGCACTTGCCGGTGATTATGGTGTTGGCGCTGGCGCAGAAGAAGGGTATGTGGGGGAGGGTTTGGAGGAGTGTGTTTGGACAACCTGAAGAAGAAGAAGAGGAGGGTGAGTGGATTTATGAGGATGAGGAGGAGGAGGAGGAGGTGAAGAAGGTGGGAGATGTTGGAAAGTCGGTTGTGAAGAAGTAGATGTATTTTGTACGTGTGTATATGTGTATTCTCTATGTGTTTTTGGGAAATTCTTGGTTCATCAATCATGGTATAAAAGGTATATTAAAAGAAGCAGCATATCATATCGTTGAAGGGTTGTAACAAACTGTACAAATAAGATTGTTCTATTTGCCCCCTGTAAAAGAAAAACGTAGATGAATAAACGGGAAGCAAAGATGAAGCATGAGTGTACTGTACGTGGTTTTAATGTGTACTACTGGTATGAATACTATGGGTTTCATTGACTTCTTGGTCTGAAATTTGAATGGTGCAACATGGAGGCGTTTACACTACTTGATAACTAAACTTGACTGAAAGTGGCGAGGACAAGGAGGTGCAGTGATCTCTGGCAAACTGTTTTTTGGTTGGGTCCATATTCCATTCTGTGGTATTGAAGCTTATCGAGTTACCTCATGAAATGTTACATTTCTTTTCTATGGCAAAAGATCTCCTTAGATCATCATCATCATCATCACCATCATCCTCAAGACTGTTCGACGCTGTCCTGTCTATCCATGCCATCGTAAGTGACATTTCTAATGCAAGTTTTTACTTTTCCGTTGCCCATGCTTCTGTGGTTCAAACAATGAATGATGATATCGAACAGAGTGCATATCAAGAAATACGAAAAAGAGCTTTGAGATCAACAAAGAAGGCAGGAGGAAAGATGGGAAATGCCGATAAGTGACTGTGGCGTAGATAAGAGAGAGCAAGAGGGCCGGGATGGATGCATATAGAAGACGGAATGAAATTCATAGAGAGAAGAAGCTGAGGTAAGAAAATCCAGAGATGCCCATTTGTGAAGCAAAACCCAAGAACAAATGTCAGATGGATGCAATGATGATGAAAAACCCCATGTAAGAAATAGAGATAGAGATAGAGATGGAGATAGAGATAGAGATGATAAATGCATTAATGACAGAGAGCGCGTACCCTTCCTTCCTTAGGACTTGACTTTGAAGGCCAACAAAAACACCCTTGAACGCCGTTTGCGCACGCAAGGAAATAACACCGAAAACGCCTAGAAAAAAAGAAACCCGTGAAGGAAAAAAAGAAAAGAAAAAAACAGACAAAGCGATGAAACCCAGATCATACAAAACAAAACGCCTTCTTGTGCACGAACTGGGGTGTAATGAGTGTAGTATTAGCCCCCAGTAAAAAACCGCGCGTCCGTCAATGCTCCTTCCCAAACCCAACCCATTCCAAGACAAAGACGAAAAGACGAGATAGGTATGATACAATGACCCTAAGGAGACATTAAGGATTGTATGTAAAGAGACAGACAGGTAAAGAAAATGCAGGAAGATGACACAATCTCAGTTGGCATCACGCCCTGAACCGCGATTGATAATGTTGTTGATACCCATATCACCCACGCTGGGAAGACGATTACCATGACCCATGTAGGGACTCGTCCCCTGGCTCGAGCCGCCGTGGTGGGCATATCCGCCGGTAGTGCCCGTGCTTGACACGCTGTTGCTGTAACCGTGGTGGGGCTGGTAACCGTAACTCTGATAGCTGCTTTGGGCGAAAGCCTGGTGAGACGGCGTGCCTCCGCTGCCGGTGCTGCCGCCGGAAGTAGAGTGTCCGCCGTGGATGGAACCAGAGGGCTCAGGGCTGCTGTAGTCATCCACGTCGTCGTCATCAATGGGCGTGAGGCCGATTCCCGAGATGCCACTGTCATCGTCATATCCTGATGAGGACTGGCCGTTTGCCAGGCGTTCTTTCCGGCCATACGAGCGAGCGTGGGACTGGATGTTCTTGAGACCGTTGGACATGCACTGTTGAAAACATGTTAGAGTTTGGCTGATACAACCAAACGGGGTGGAAAAAAAAAGCATACCTGGGCCTCGACAACGTGCCACTTCTCGCCGCACCGATCGGCCAAAGGCTTCCAGATCTCCTTGCGCATGCTCATGTATTCCTTGCTGAGACGTTCAAGCTTGAGACTGTCGAAATCGGTCTGGCCCCGGCGTTCCATCAACCGCTCATGCCTTTTCGGCAGGCATTGCCAGTCTTGTTTGGGAACGCCTCACGCTGGATTTGGTTCCAATTCTTGCCCATGGCACGGAGGGAGAGCAGTGCTCTGTCATCGTCCTGATTCCACGCTCCAGAAGAGGCGCGATGCTGTGCCGGTAGAGGTCCGCCCACGGGTCCTCCCATGGTGGCCGTGGGAATCTGCATCGAAGATACGGCGCTGACGGCATAGGGATCGTATGAAGACATGGCCATCTGAGGAGCAGCCGCTGTCGTGGAAAGATCTCCGTAGTAGGCCGAGACCTGACGAGGTTGCTGATAGTATGACATGGTCGAAGCGGGCTGGCTAAGGGAAACTGGGATATGTTGATATTGGTGGTGGTGGTGGTGGTGGTGGGCCGATGTTCGAGCCAAATCAGGCATGATGTTCGAAGATTTGTCGACTGGTAATTCTCTTCTTCCCTGATATCGGGAAGTGGAGAAAATGAAGAGATGAAAACGAAATGATGAATAAATAGAGACCGAACAGAAAGGTCGAGTGTCGGTTGAATTAGGCGACTACCTATTAGACGATGAAGAGATGATATTCGATAGATAACAGGTAGAGACTTGATGCAAAAAAAGGAAGATGGCTCGTATCAAACGATGCAGATCAAGGAGACAGATGGTGATAAGGAAACCGAGACCCTGAAAAGGAAATGAGACCTAGGAAAACAGAAGAGAGGAGAAATGCGGATGATGGGGAAATTGTTGGGCTTGATTCAGATCAGATGGGTCTAGGAGAGGAGCAGAGGGCCGACTTATAACTGAGATGACCTCCACCTCCACGTCAACACCAAAGTGAATCCACCAGCCTAGAGGTAGTTTAGACTCGGCCAGGGAGGGCCACGGCTGCGGGTAGAGATGTAACTCTAGCATGGCTGCCGGGTTGAAAGATCTGAAACAAGGGTAGAGGAAGAGACGGAGGGCAGATTTCTGATCTTGAAACCGACAGAGTGTATCCAAACGAACGAATCTCGCCAGCAGCGGCCTTTGCTAATGGCTGGATCGTTTCGGCATGGCGTTCATCTGGAGTTGGGCGGCTACGAGAACAGGCCCTTTTGGAGTGGAGACTTGTCGTCGTCAAAAGGAGGTTTCTGGTTGGACGGCGGCTAATGCCCTATGGGGGAGCTTGGGCTGAACAGGGGTTGTGTTTACATGGGAATATGTACACTTGTGTTGTTTGGGAACTGAAAATTCCTGACATCTGGAGACTCGAAAGAGAACGTAAATTCGAGACAAAGAAGAAAGATGAGCCTGCCAGAACAGTCTGGCTTGGGGTATCTATTGACCCAACTTGGAATCACCAAGATATGACAGATTAGTGTTGGCAAAATGTTTGTTGATGTCAGCTCGTAGAAGTATCTACACTTCCAATAACGTAACGGTCAGATCGCCTGACCAATGGCAACACAGTAGGCATTGGACGTACTACGCCGCAAATCTGAAGGATAGCCAAGACAGCTCGCGGTTCGCAGGACTAGACGCAGGTACCGTTACGCCATCAGGAACGGCATATGCCACCAAACACCACCACCTCGATGGGGGTTCGAGCAATGAGGGAGATGACCCAATGGGAAAGACTGGGGAAATCGTTTGGCGGAAGCGGAAAGAGACGCACGCTTGTGGAGTGTCAAAAATAGCCGAGCGAAGCGGAAGGGATGCTGTCCTCCGTCTAGTAACAGGTTAACCGCCAGCCAGCCTTGTGCGATTCCCGAGCCCTGAAGATATCGGAGGACATGTCTCGCCTCCCGGTCCGTGTTCTCGAAAAACAGACAGACTTTGAATGTGGCAATGCCTTTGTGGATGAAACCCAGGCTGCACAAGGTATTGGGTATGAGTGTCTGGAACAGCAGAGACCAAGCCCTACGGGGCATGATGGGAAGCTCATGAACCCGCCGAGATGGCATGGCCTCGCGATGCGACCAACAGCCTAAGGGACGCGGTACGGGGTCGCCGGCCGTCATGGCAAGCAGCAGTGAAAGAAAAGGTCCAACAAGCTTAATCCATCTGCCGGGGACACCCCGAAGGACCCGGCAGAACGGAACTGGCTGAAAATGAGTTTAGGTAGACGCTCAATGGCAGGGTAGCATGAACCGACTGCGTGAAGCGCGATGACAAGATGAAGCTCGAAAAGCTGTCGAATTCCCGCTTTTGAGCGTCAATGATGTTGCACCTTGGGTAGTGCCCAATCCTCCAAGGGACCAGCGTGGGATTTTGGCCGCCAACAAGGGGCAGCAAATGCAGCAAGCATCGGGACAGCGGAATATACTGTGTGGGTAGGAGTAGTAGCATTGCGTTGTCTTTGCCGCGAAAGTGTTTGCATGTTGAACTGAAGGGACCGCAGATCGCAGCCAGTCAACCTCAAACGCGCCCCCACTGTCAACAACAATGAAGGAATTTGGAAGTCGGAGAATGCCGTACCTTTGTGACTGCTACTCATAGTAAAGGTACGTACATAGTAAGCATCAGATTGTCAGTGAAGACTTACCTCTTCAAGAAGAAGTCGAAAAAAAAAAGATGAAACGGGAAGACAAGTTTGACGGAGATTGAGGTGTCGTCGGATTGGCTCGACTTCAATGACGGCGGCTCGACATCTCGCATCGCGGTCGTTCCCGCCTTCCATGACACTTGCCTGGTTTGGCTTGGGGTCCGAACGGAAATTAACATTTCGAATCGCCCACCGAAAATTGAACAGGCGCGCGTCAAGAAGGGGAGGAGCGACAGTGACTGCATCACGGCGCCATTGCACTTTCCCAGCGTTGCAGCGTCACAGTCGCAGTCGCAGTCGTTGTCGATCTGGGGAACAGAGGACGGAGGAAAGAGCCAAGGTGGGGGCTGATCTTCGTCTACCCGAGGGTGGCACGTGCGCTCGCTTGAACTGTCCAAGATCGGTTCTGTTTTGTCATGTTAAAACTTCTGCTGGGTTTCTGGCGAAACTAACGCGAAAAAGATAACAATGTACTAACAGATAACATCTGAATGCATCTGCCGTTAGCGCCCTTACTTTGCAGCCACGATTCCTGCGTCTTGTGAGGGCCACAGCGGTTTTCCATATTCAACGCATCTTTAAGTTCTTCCACCTCGTCGACAAAGGGTTTTAAAATCCGAATACACTCAAAACAAACGCTGGGGATTATGTTGTTTACCCCGTTTTGACTCTTACCATAGTTCTTCGCCGCACTCGTTTCCCATCGCCTCTTGATGATTCTTGCTGAAAATGAGGTGGGTGTACGATATGAGAACCAGCCGGTCCCAAACTGTCCTTGTTGGCCTCCTTCGCCGCTTCAGCTGCCGTGAACGAAGCCGATCGGGGCACTTTACCGCGGCTCAGTCGTTGAGTTGATAACGACGGCGTCCAAACTCGTTCGCTTGCACCATTCTTCTCTGGGACAACACTACATCCGCCGGTGTGTACCCGATAGCAAGTGTTGTCGCAGGTCCTAGACCGACGTTTGCATGTTTGGATCCTGTCAGCTTGCCGTTTGGGATGACCGGGCCCGGGTTGGCGGAATCATAAACCCCTTGATGTACGTTGAAGGCGTTGTTGCATGTCGAGCCATCACCGGCAGTTACCCTACACGGCACGACAACAATGTCAATGTTGTTCAGGACGCCCAACGCAAAGCTACGGCCCCTGCAATCTTCAAGCCAAACGTTCAATGTTAATACACCAGAGACTTATATATGATAGCCTTCATGCGCCAACTCGGAGTCTTGGACAAGCTTGTGTGACAAGTGTCGACGGGCGGGCGGAAGCCAAGGACGCCATAAAGCTTCACCTAGCCATCCAGAGCCTTGAGACCGAAGCTAAGCCTTTTCAACCGTTACGCTAACGCTCCCCGGAAAAGTATCGTTCGACACCATCACGACTCCCATGTGAAAGGAACAAAATCTTCAATCCACAATGACCCTGAAATCCTCTCCTCCACGTTCCTAAACCGCGACCAATGGGCATTTTACATAATCCGGGGTACAGCGGACCAATGGGCCTTGCTTGGGATATATCAACCGATTCAGGCTAATTGCCAGCTTGCCTGTCCCAGCCTGTTCGCTTTTCCATTACGCTTGTGACCACGCACCAGCTCGACCAGCTTCCCCAACCGGCGTCCTACTCGCCCCTTGATACGCCGTATTTGGAGCAGATCTGCACCATGGTCGTTGGCCTTCAAGTTCACTGACCTCCCCGCCTTGGCGCTATCACCAACTGCATTCACTCTACGAGAGCCCGGGCACGCCTCTTCAGACTGTCATAGTGTCTCCTTGACAGCTCAGACCGCATAGTCTCATCTCCCGGTCGTCGATGACAACTATTCGCGGGTTCGGATGTTATAACGGCTGCTACCGTTCGAGTGCGAGCTCGACGTTCCACGACCTAGATAATTTGGACGGGTGAGGTTCATATAAACTCAACTCCGTGCCACCGAAGTACGGCACGGAATGCATGCAGAAGCACCCATGTCGATGGGATTATCACCCGGCCCTACCCCTCATCTTCCCCCAGATGGTGTTGACAGTGTGGTTGGAAGGTTACAGTCTCTCGGCATGGAAAAGACCGACTATTACCGGGGCTGCTTGCGATGCGTGTGGTGCGGTTCTATATGATGCGCACCGGTAATATCACACGCTTACGCTTGAGTTAAATCCATAATACTGTGATGGGTTCTCTTCCAGTTCTAGACTGGCGCGTTGATGCAGGGCTTGTGACATGCTCAGCGTCCCTACCAAAGATTGTGCTGACAAGACTGGGTTAGTGTTCCATCTGGACGCTGTCCGTTGACATTAAATACTCTTCAATCGCCCCTCTCCGAAGTTGTGGTTCACATCTGGTTACCAGCCTTACCATTGGTATCATTGGCCATTCTTGTCATTACGCTTTGTCCTCGCCAGCAGGCTTGTTCATTGTCACTTACCCAGTCAAGTTGACCGAACAGGGTTTTTACTCCACCAAAGTATATCCAGCTATAAGAGACAAGCGAAAGTCGACTTTTAGGCAAGATGGGCGGCGGAGGCGGCTCCGGCGCAGCCGGCTTTTATGATGCCGCTCTACAGAGGCGTGAGGCCATGATGGGGAAGAGTGGCCCTGGAGCGCTTGTCAAGAATTTTCGAGTCTTCTCTATCGCCTGCTTCGCATGTATCGGTGGTGTCCTCTATGGGTACAACCAAGGAATGTTCTCGGGAGTGCTCGCCATGCCAGCCTTCCAGAAGCGTGAGTTGCTTTCCTTGAACTTGAGATCGCTGACTGTCGCTAATATGACTGATGACTGTCAACAGACATGGGCGAATACGATCCGATAGACCCCAACGCGAGTCAGACGAAGAAGGGTTGGCTAACGGCAATTCTTGAGCTTGGTGCCTGGCTCGGCACGCTTTTGTCTGGGTTCATGGCAGAGGTTCTTTCGAGAAAGTACGGCGTGCTAGTGGCATGCTTGGTTTTCATGCTGGGTGTGATCATCCAAGCTACGTCTATGTCCGGGGGACACGAGACCATTCTTGCCGGACGATTCATCACGTACGTTTCACCTGATTATCCTCGAAGTGCCCCATCTACACCTACTAACTCGACATTGCTCCATAGAGGTATGGGTGTCGGATCCTTGGCCATGATCATTCCCATCTATAATTCGGAAGTTGCACCGCCTGAGGTTCGTGGAGCTCTTGTTGCTCTCCAGCAGTTGGCTATCTGTTTTGGTATCATGGTCAGCTTCTGGATCGACTAGTAAGTCTCTCTCACACTTGGGTTTTTATCCAAACGTGGGATCGCTGACACATGATATCACGCAGCGGAACCAACTACATCGGCGGTACCAAGCTCGAGACCCAATCGGACGCCGCCTGGCTTGTGCCAATTTGCCTACAACTTGCCCCGGCTCTCATCCTTTTCTTCGGCATGATGTTTATGCCCTTCTCCCCACGCTGGCTGATTCACCATGGTCGCGAGGCAGAAGCTCGCAAGGTACTCTCCAACCTCCGTGGCCTGTCTCAGGACCATGAACTTGTCGAGCTTGAGTTCCTTGAGATCAAGGCCCAATCTCTTTTCGAGAAACGCAGCATTGCCGAGCTATTCCCGGAGTTGCGGGAGCAGACAGCCTGGAACATCTTCAAGCTCCAGTTCGTGGCTATCAAGAAGCTCTTCCAGACGAAAGCCATGTTTCGACGTGTTATCGTGGCGACCGTTACCATGTTCTTCCAGCAGTGGTCTGGTATCAATGCGGTTCTCTACTACGCCCCGCAAATCTTCAAGCAGCTTGGACTCGGCGATAACACAACCTCACTCCTGGCTACGGGTGTAGTAGGTATTGTCATGTTCGTCGCTACGGTTCCTGCAGTACTGTGGATCGACCGTGTTGGCCGTAAGCCCGTGCTTACTATCGGTGCAATCGGGATGGCTACCTGCCATATCATCATTGCTGTCATCGTTGCCAAGAATATTGACCAATGGGAAACCCATAAGGCTGCTGGCTGGGCTGCCGTAGCCATGGTCTGGCTGTTCGTCATTCACTTCGGATACTCTTGGGGCCCTTGTGCCTGGATCATCGTTGCCGAGATCTGGCCATTGAGCACCAGACCGTATGGTGTCGCACTTGGGGCTTCGAGCAACTGGATGAACAACTTTATCGTTGGCCAGGTCACGCCGGATATGCTGACCGCGATCCCGTACGGAACCTATATTATCTTCGGAGTGTTGACGTATATGGGTGCCGCCTTCATTTGGTTCTTTGTGCCGGAAACTAAGAGATTGACCTTGGAGGAAATGGTGAGTGCCTTCCACGAGATATATGCCCATCATTCGAACTGGCTGAATGCCATAACTAATTCCAACTTCACAGGACATCATCTTCGGGTCCGAAGGCACTGCGCAGGCCGACAATGAGCGCATGGCGGAGATTAATAACGAGATTGGCCTTACCCAATTCTTGCGAGGTGATGGTGCCAACCACGGCGCGGCTACTGGAAGCGATACTGGTTATGGTGCGGAGAAGGAGAAGAGCGAGCACTATGCTCAACGCGTATAAGTCGCCGGCAATCATTGACACAACATGTCATTCTCTTAGCTCGCCTTTCAAAAGGTGCGCCGTCCCAGGTTTGAGAATGGTCCGTCCGGCTTTATCCCCCTTGAAAGTTTACAGCAGATAGAGTTATACGAAGACTGCTCAACATAGAACATTGTGAAGCGCAAGATATGAGATATGTTCTCGTACCGAATAAAGATATCCGTCTCTCATCTGCCTTACGGAGAATTCGTATTCCGGAAATTCGGGTACATCAGCAGCACGTACCACGAAGTGCGTCCGGGTGCTGCAGGTCGTTCATGTCCGCAAATAGTGCACGGGCTTCTTGCTTTCGGTTCATCTGACGATATCCTGACGTTCGCGGACTCGTTCGCGAGCTGGGAACCCACAAGATGAACGTTCAAGTGACGTAATGTCAGTTGAGACTAACCCTGTTGGCACACTACACTGGCTGTGCCTACTGGCTACCAGGACATACCTGACCAGGTAAGGGTGGTACCTGACTGGAGGAGTTTGGTACCTTTGGTACCGAAGTACCCGATACAATTATATATACCGTAGGAGTAGTGGTATAAGTATATAAGTACTTAGGAGAGCCTAATGGGTATATAGTTGCGGGTTCCCCGCTCCTAAATAGAAGTAGCTTTCTCCATCAATCAATTGCACTTTGTACACTCAAGTCTTTTCAAGCGCTACGCTTACAAACCCAGCCAGCTCCATCTCTCTCAATACTTATTCCAGGCATTTCCTTTTCCCTTCATTGTATCAACAAAGGTCCTCGAAGCTCACCCCAGCTCACCCTAGCTCATGTCCTTCGTCCTAGCTCGCACTCAACCTTTAACCTCGAGGCTTTTCACATCGCCGAGTCGTCGCACTCAAGTTTCCCTTCACCGAACAGCTTCAGCTTTCTTCTCAACAACCACCAAAATGGGCGCCCTCACCGAAAACCTCGAGTTCCCCTTCCGCCGCGCCTCCGGCCTCGACCCTCCCCCCGGAGTTCGCCCGTCTGCGCAAGATCGATCCCGTCTCGCAGGTCCGCCTCTTCGACGGCAGCCTCGCCTGGATGGTGACCAAGTACCACGACGTCTGCCAGGTGGCCACGGATGAGCGGCTGTCCAAGGAGCGCACACGGCCCGGCTTCCCCGAGCTAAGCGCGGGCGGAAAGGAGGCGGCCAAGAACCGGGCCACGTTCGTGGACATGGATCCGCCCAAGCACATGCAGTATCGTGGCATGGTTCAGCCCATCTTCAACATTGAGCATATCCAGGAGCTGAAGCCTTACATCCAGAAGACGGTGGATGACTTGCTGGAGAAGATGAAGAGTAAGGGATGTGAGGGGGGGCCGGTGGATTTGGTGCAGAATTTTGCGTTGCCGGTGCCTTCTTATGTGAGTTCTGGTCCGTCTGTCTAGGTGGAGGACAAAAATGCTGATGGATATGCGCAGATCATCTATACCATCCTTGGCGTCCCGTTTGAGGACCTCGAGTTTTTGACCCAGCAGAACTCAATCCGTACGAACGGAAGTTCAACAGCGCGTGAGGCGTCTGCTGCTAATCAGTACGTTTTTTTAATGTCCATGGCGTTTCCAATTTATACATGCGTAACTGATATCATCACAGGGAGCTCCTCGGCTACCTCCGCCGCCTAGCTGAGGATCGTCTGAAGGAACCCAAGGACGACTTGATCAGCAAACTCATGACGGAGCAAGTCAAGACCGGCAAACTCGACGTCCCCGATGCCGTCCAGATGGCTTTTCTCTTGCTAGTGGCCGGCAATGCCACCATGGTGAACATGATTGCCTTGGTTCGTTTCCCCCCACTACCCACCATCCTTTCCATTTCATAGGTATCAAACCTCACTAACCACGCTCTTCTTTCCACACACACAGGGCATCGTAACCCTCTTTCAGAACCCCTCCCAACTCGAAGAACTCAAGCGCGACCCCTCCGTCATCCCCGGCTTCGTCGAAGAGCTCAGCCGGTTCCACACGGCTTCGGCCATGGCCATCCGCCGCGTCGCCAAGGAGGACCTCGAGATCGGCGGCAGGACCATCAAGAAGGGTGAGGGCGTCATTGCCTCCAACTTGTCGGCCAACCGCGACGAGGAGGTCTTCAAGGACGCGGACAAGTTCGATATGCATCGCGAATGGCCTGAGAGGGAGCTGGGCTTTGGGTGGGGAGAACATAGGTGTATCGCGGAGTTTTTGGCCAAGGCGGAGATGAGGGCTGTCTTTGGTGAGTTTGCTCTTGTGTTCTACTGTTGTCCAGTGCTTGCTGGATCAGGGGGAAGTCCGGTGCAGTAGTGTGAACGGTATGATGCTTTGGGAAGTGACTGACTGACTTTTGTCTCACGAATTCTTAGGAACCATCTTCAAGAAGTTGCCGAATCTCAAGATTGCGGTACCCATGGACAAGATCGAGTACACGCCTCTCGATCGCGATGTTGGAATCGTTAAGTTGCCTGTCACATGGTAAGTTTGGAGAGCCAGAGTCTATTAACACAACATGGTTTGGATGTAATGTAATGTAATATAATGTAATGTAATGGCAGAGTCAGCTGTATACTAAATGGAAGCCGAAACTCCCGCCCCTGTCGTGCCTTCCCTTTCCATATAAAGATGCCCTTGGGTTTTGCTCTTACTCCTTCATTTTTACATACAAACTCTCCAATATCCAGTATTATGTTGTGATATCTGACGTAACCGATACCTTGGCACTCCATCAAGCCAGGCACCCCATGCGGAACGGGCCGAAACTGAAACGGTGATATCCGAGGTGAGTGACTCACTTCCGACACAACAAAATTTTGAGGATGAGTCAAGGAAATCCGAAAGACAAAAGCGAATGGCCTTCCTTCGCTTCATCAAAAGACACAAGTAAACAAAGCACCTTCTGAAGCTTCTCAAATTTCCCTCTCCCAATCCAACTAACCCTTCACCATGGCCTCATCACCGTCACCTCCCCGGCCCCGGGACACCGTCCTCGTCACGGGATCCTCCGGCCATCTCGGCCGGGCCCTGATGCTTTCCCTCCCGTCCTACGGCTACACCCCAATCGGCATCGACATCAAGCCCAGCTCAACTGCCACTTTCATCGGGTCCTGCGGCGACGCCTCCCTTCTACAAAACCTCTTCAACCCCAGCTGGCTTCGCGCCCAACCTGAGATCTCTTCTTCCTCCAACGATCCCAATGGAATCGAACCCATCTCGCACATCATCCACTGCGCAACGCTGCACAAGCCGCATATCGAGTCTCACACCAAAGCGCAGTTCGTCCAGACGAACATCGCTGATACGTTGACGTTGCTTGAGGCGGCTGCTGCTACCATTACAACTACCACTTCCGAATCACCAGAGACAGAAAGCAAGAAGGAAGAAAAGACAACAATCAAATCATTCACCTACATCTCCACCACCTCCACCTTCGGCCGTTCCCTCTCCCCCCTCTCCTCCGTACCTGGCGCGCCCAAACCAGCAGCCCACATAACCGAAAAAACCCCCTGCCTTCCTAAAAACATCTACGGCCTGACGAAATCCAGCGCCGAAGATTTGTGCTACCTCATCTCCTCCCAATCCTCGCTTCCAGCAGTAGTCCTCAAAACCTCGCGCTTCTTCCCCGAAGCCGACGACGACGCCGACCGTCGCGCTTCCCTGCCGGATGATGAGAACCTCAAGCTCTGCGAGCTGGCTTATAGGAGGGTGGACATAGCTGATATCGTGTCTGCGTGTGTGGCTTCTATTAGGGCGCAGACTCGTCCTCGTCTTCCCAGCACAGAGGGAGAGGGAGAGGGAAAGGGAGAGGGACCAAAAAGGATCAAGTTCGGGAAATACATAATCAGTGGCCCCTCTCCCTTTTTGGACCTGTCACCTGAAGATTGGGTAGCGTTGAATACCACTTCTGAATCAGACCCAAATGCAGGGGCAGAAAAGGTGTTTGCGGAAGTGGCGGAGAGGTTGTGTCCAGGGATAGGGGAGATGATGGCACGGAAAAAGGGGTGGAAGTGGCTGAGCAGGGTGGATAGGGTTTATGACTCTCGCAAGGCTATGGATGAGAAAGAATTGGGGTGGAAGCCCGAGTGGACTTTTCAGCGGGCGCTGGAGAGGATTATGAGGGGAGAGGAGTGGAGGAGTGGGTTAACGGCCGAGGTGGGCAAGTTGGGGTATCATGATCGGGCTTGGGGGGGTTTATACTACTGAGTGAGTGAGAGGCATGGAGGGAGTTAAGGGGAGGTTAGGAAGGAAGGAAGGTGGGAAGGATTGGGCATCGTGCGCATAAAAGGTGAAGAGGAAAAAGGGGGTGGCCCGTGCGTTCGGGAGGGATCATCCAGATGTAAACAAATGATTGAAACATAGGCACAGGGAGAAGGAGTAATGGGTACTAACTGTCTGCATTAAGTCTCACTGGACGATACGTAGCTATGAAAACCTGGACCATGCGAAAAAGAAACGTAACTTGGCTAAGAAATTGCCGGAGAACCACGAGCAGAAACTGAACTAAACCGAACTGAACCCATTTTAAGAAGCGCACGACTTTCCCACCACCGGCGTGTATGAGAAAACCACAATCATCCCTCCTACCTCCCTTTTATTAAAAGCAAGGAAAATGCCACTAAATCTCTCCCTATCTCCCTCTCTTCATCTCGAATACCCCCAGTCAATCGATCAATCCTTGGTAACGTAAAGATAAACCACCGGCTTCTGTCCCGGCAGCCCACTCCTGCTCTTATCCCAACCCAGATCCTTGCAAGTCTTTTGCAGCAGCTCCTTATCGTCCCCACGGAACGCCAGCCCGCGATACCACCGTCCGTTCCCGCCCTGCACCACCTCAAACAGCTTGTTCTTCTTCTTGCTCGGGTTGCAGGCGCCGAAGCCGTACATGAGCTCCTGCACCGTGGTGCTGACGGGCACGTGGCAGGCGTGAAACGGCAGGCGCGCGTTGGGCGGCTGGTGCCACGGCGGGGTGGCGCCGCACTTGAACACGTGGATCTTGGTGTGCTCCGGCGGGAAGAAGTAGTTGTAGCCCGGCTCGCACCCGACGCCGCCCGTGCTGTTCATCATGTTGGAGGCGGGCATGTTGGGGTTGATCACCGGGTAGGGCTGGGGGGTGCGGCCGCTGCCGCCTAGGCCGGAGATGTACTGGTAGGGCTGCGGGAAGGCGGAGGGGGTGGCGGCCATGGCGCTGCCCCAGGCGGGAGGAGCGGCGGCTGGGGCTGCGACGGCGGGCTGCGCGTAGTACGCGGGTGCGACTGCGGGTTGAGGAGCGGCGAAGCCATAGGCGGGAGCACCGGGGGCTGGCACCATGCCGGGGAAACCACCGGCTGGGTTGGGAACGGAACCGGGAGGGTAAGCGCCGGGACGGGGAGTGCGAGGAGGGGGAGGGCCGGGGTCACGGCCGAAGGCTGGGTTGGAGCCACCGCCGAGAACGAAAGACATCTTGATAGATAGATGTATGTGCCTAGTAGTTGCTGTGTGGGTAAACGTTGACCCAGGTCTGTTGAATAGGATCCCAGAGTCTTTGCAAGCCTCCGGGAGCAGGGAAAGAAGGGATGTAAGTCCGGTGATCCTGTTGGGTAGCGTTCGCGTTGACTCTAGCTAGAACAAGGGCACGCTGACGGAGATAGGCGAAGTCAGAATCCTCGCTTCCTGTTTCGCTGTGGGCGTAGTTGTCCTCGTGCTCGGTGTCGTACTGATCAACAAAGCGAGAAAGTGCTCGATCTGCCAATGTTAGCTTTTCAGCCCAGGTGTGGTCAAGAATTTCGATAACTTACCCTCTTCAGCGTGAAAATCCTCGTAAGTCTCTTCAGATTCTTCGGGTTTGTCGCCAAGGAAGATCTCAGTCTGCCAGAGGATACGGTCGTTGGCGTCGTAGAAAGCACCAAGGACAAGAACAGCCCAACAGCGCTGGTCGGGGGATGCGTGGGTGACCCGAGTAATAACGCACTTGACGGCCGGGTACGGCAAATCTACAGTAGCTTCCCACTCTTCGATATGAGGAGAGGCCACGGTTGAGGTTAGGTGTCGGCGGTCTCCCAAAGTCGAGAGGACTGCCGGTTAAAGGAGTGAGTGTAAGGGCTGAGGATGGATATTCTGAGGGCAATACACTGGATAGTGAGGAGTGGTCGAGAGAAAGCTTGTCAGGTCGATGATCTTGTTTGTGGTGATGAGGAGAGAGAGGAAAGGAATAGAAGGGGTGTACGACGTAGGCTTTATGTACTCGAAGGGACGGCGGTTTTTCGACAATGAGTTTGCCAACTTCATGATACGATTGCTGTAAGAAGACTCCCGGTGATCGAGTTCTGTGACAGGATGAGGCCATATCGCTATCCTCTGGGTAACCAGGACGGTGAAGAGACGACTGGTCGGGTTGTTGGTGACAATGCCAACAAGTGATAATTTCCCTGACGGACAGCCTGGGCAGCTCGGTTCCCTGATATGGTAGAACTCCGAGACCGAACGGTTCCTGATCATGAAGACGTCTGCCCCATCTTGTCATGTCATGGAAACATCTATCCGGCGAGTCGGGGCCTCGACGCACATCGGACTGATGATCGCGTTCTCCCATCACTGATAACGAGGGGCCGGTGACTCGGTGTTTGCCATCCTTGACCGGCCGAATCTGAGCACGCCATGCTCTGGAACCCCTAGCCAGTCATCCATAACGTCCAAGGAGATAGCCAACGACCGGAAATGTTGGATAATGGATCAGCTGGCGCAGAACGACGAGAGATGGACCGACGCAGTGTGACAACCGAGGTTTCGAAGACTGGCTCGAGTCACTACAATCAATGCCATCTCTGTATGGGGTACGGGCTGCCTTGAGATGCGTTTGGAGAGTGAATCACCGATCATGCATCCCTCAACCAGATGAGGTGTTGGTGCAGTTGGTAACACCGATGCCTTCACCCGTTTCCACGGATCTCTTTTCCTGTTGTCCTTCTACTTTGGTTAGTCGTGACTTCGTGACCGACAGTTTGACACAGGGAAACAGCGAACACATGCACATTGAGCACCGTGACGAGGACTGAATTCCAAATCTTGTATTTACTCACATCCTGTAACCCGTGAGCGGTATGCACAACTCCTCGCTCTTCGATCTAAATGCCCCAAATCGCTGGTTCCCCTATCATGGTTGGTGACACATGTATGCACTTTCCCACGGAATGCGCTATGTGGTGACATGCTTCCTCTTATCCCAAGTCCTAACTCTGTCCCGATTTCGCAGGACATCCTACGTTCGGAACGATCAGACGTGGAAACATGGTTAGCGTCAATCGCCCACATCCACGTCTCTTCCGACCAATCTCACAAATGCCCCTTTCACTTTATCCTTCTTGGAAAGCGGTGGTGGTGCGGCCTGGGTTTCCTCTGCCTCTCGTTTCGCAATCTTCCTTTTCTGCACCTCATTCACCAATCCCTTCAAGTACACCTCTGCCTGGACAGTAGCGCTATACTCGCCAGGCGTCCAGCTCCAGATATTCTTCCTGCCTGGATCCGCCCCAGCGGCCAAAAGCGTCCTCAGCACCAGCAGATTCCCATTTCCGCTAGCAAAGTGCAGGGCCGTGTTTCCATCCAGGTCTGCCTGCGCCAGCGCAGTAGAAGCCCGCCGGGGGCCCAGGTGAGCAGGATTTGCACAACGGTATCGTGGCCGTTCAGACTGGCCTCCATGACGGCATCGCGGCCGCGAATATCCTGTCGCAAGATGGACTGCGGGTCATTTTCGCACAGGAAGTGGACGACTTCGGTGTGACCGGCCGAGGCGGCTAGCATGAGGGCGGTTTGGTGGTCATCGTTCAGTGCGGGGGTGCCCTCCTCGTGACCGAGCTCGACGAGGATCTTGCATATGGAGAGATGACCGAGGGAAGCGGCTAGGTGAAGGTTCGAGTTCGCATTCCCGCAGACGGAATGATCGGGGTTGTGGAGGAGATTGGGATGGGAGCGGAGGATGCGCTTGACGAGGAGGTGGTCGTTCACGTGGATTGCGCGCCGAAGGCGGATCGAAGGATCAATCCTGAATGGGTGACCAGCAAGGTTAGTACATAGACTGTTTGACTTGATTTGTCGCGGGTTTCATTCGGGCGGGTTGGTTACATGTTTGCGTAGAGAGCGTATTGGCACGTCCATTCTCTAGACGACTTTTGTGTTGTTTGAGGAAAACCCCCTCATGGTAGGTGGTCTGATGTGGCGTCGGACGACTTGCAAGATGGATTGGGTGGTGGTGGTGGTTTTGTGTTGGCAGACCGATGCATGTTTGGTGGCCGGAGGATGGCGGGGCAATTGCCCAAACAAATGCGCCGTGAAGCTGCGCCTTGTGACCCTCGTGTGATTCAGCGCCAATCGATTTGGCCAAGCAATTGGGGAACGTCTCATGCCGTGAAGTCCGGTTTCTCGGCGCTTGTACTTGTAGGTCAAACATCACACACAGCAAAGGTGGAGGAATTGCCTTGACAAGGTGAAACCATGGAAGCCCATAGTGAATAGAGGGTATCCAAAAAGAGGACATTGGAGTTGAAATGTCAAACCGTGGATGGATGTAACGGAGAACGGGAAAGAAGCTGTGGGGCCTGTCAATCCCCCAAACTTTAGCGGGTTTAACGGCCATGCGACGTCACAATCAGTGGGGGTTCCCCAGACATCCGACACTAGCTCTTTAACACGGGCAACACGAATCAAACTGTTAGTGCCGCGTGCATGTTATTCTTACCTAGCGCCCGGTTGTCGCTCACCTTCCACTTCTGCGACGACGACGACGACAACAAAGACAATAATTAGGAACCAGAGAAAGGCGCATACGATAAGGTTGAATTGCGTTCCAAATACTTATAGAAGCTCTAAGTGAATATGCAGGGCTTCGATGACCAATAGGCAACCGTTGTTCTGCAATTCGAGAGTGTCCTCATGGTGTTCCAAAGTGTGTAAAACGCCAAGAACCGTGAATAGCTTCATGCTATGACCTTTTAAAAAGCTCAAGTCCTCAAAGAGCCGACTCCGGACAGTGCTCAAGGACGCTTATAAACTTCTCACAGGTTTCTTATCAGAAAGCCTCAGTGACGCACGGGCGAAAGTCAGTGCCATGCGGTTCAGCGAGCATGCATCACCACTCACTTCACACGATGGTCGAGCTCTTCCATGGAGGCACTGACCCTGATTCTCAGACAGCCACAAGGATTATGGATAATAATAATCAACAAAATGATACACTGAAGCCGGGTCGATGATCCATGAGAAGAGCCCTTTCGAAATCTGGATAACAAAATCCTTGTGAATCAGATACCTACGAGCCGAAGGCCCTTCATAAGGTAACTCACACTCCTTTAACGTGTCAGCGTAATGAAGCACACCAATATATCGCAAAAACAATGGATCATCATAACACCCAACTATGCCACGTATAAAGCCACCCTTGTGTGCCACTCGATCCCAATAAGGCATCCGGACACAGAGCAACGGTACTCCAATTGACACAACATGCCCGATATCGATTATTTCACAGACTCCCCTCCGAGGAGTCCGAGTCCCCCGCCCCCAGCCGAAAGCCGCATCCTAACCGTCATCAACAACATCCAACTCCGCGGCTACCACTGCCAGCCCTTCTCCTCCCCTGGCCACACTCTCTCTGCTCCGCCATTCTCGAACCAGCCCTCCTCCGCACTCTCCTCCCCGACTTTCCCTTTCTCGCTTCCTTCCAGCTCGGTCCGGCCTCCATGCCGGCCGCTTTCCCAACTGGAACTATCTCTCACCACGATCGCCTTTTCAACCGTTCAAACCCCGATCTCAGACCCCTTCTTCATCACCAGGCCTCCTTGAACTTGAACTCCAACACCAACACCAATACCAATCGGAACTACGCCCTACAACGTCTCAGCAACCTGACCCAAGGCGACATAGTATTCATGTACATGGACATGGAAGGAAGCGGGCGCGGGCGCGATGCAAACCCAAGTCATATTCTCCGGCCCGGTCCCAATCCGCTTCTACGTGTCCCTGAAGAGCGATATGAGCTCAGGTACGATGACGATGACGATGATGACGATGGATACACCACCCAGTCCCCTATGGGACTACGACTTTACCCCCGCCTCCCAAGCCTCCCAACCTATGATAACACTCCAGAAGACCCAGAAGACGTTATCAGGCAAATGATCACGCACCACGCGGAAGAAAGGCTAGAAATAACATTTGAGGAAATAATGCAGGAGGCCCAGACACAGACACAGGGCCAGGACTGGGACTGGTTAGACTCCCAAGCTTACCCCCTCTTGGTTCCTGGCGTTTGTTTCCGAATCCCTATCCCTCCTGACCCAACGACGAGTCGTCATCACCATAATCATCATCGGGCAGATATCATGACCGTGCAGCGCAATAGGCTTCTTCGCAGCCCGGGTAGTGGTTTGAATTCGGAACCAAGGGGGATGGTTCTGGGTGTTGCGATTCATGAGACTTTGGCGGATGCGAGAGGGGTGGTTGTTATCGTGGAAAGGCTGAGGAGGGAACTTTGGAGGGAGGTTGTTGGAGATTTAGATGCAGACGCTGATCCAGACGGAAACGGAGATGAGGAGGCATGGTGAGGAAGAAAGGCGATGATGCTTGGGATTAAAGTAAAGTTAGTTGAGGTGGTTGATGGTGGCATGTACGCTTGCTTTGAGGAGAGGAGGGAAGGCCCGCTAGGTCCAATTATACCTATACCTAGAGGTAGGTACTCGACAGATGGAAACTTTTTGGATTGGCGTGCACGTTCCTTCTATCACGATAGTTTACTGACCACACCATCCCGATGTCGGTGGTACCGGTCGTGCTCAGTACACCAGGTTTGCAAATCGACCGCTTGTTACGATCCAATCGTTGAGCCTCATGTATCTAGATAGAATTGACCAATCAGATAGGACCCGGGGTCCCGAGTTCACGGGACCACGGGACGGACCCGAGGACCCGAGTTTACGGGACTACGGGACGGGGCTGAAGACCAGTATATAAGAAGGCCACCCGACCTTCGTTATTATGGTTCTTCAGCAAGCAATAGTTTTCTCAATCAACCAGTACCTTTGGCTACTACTACCGTTGTCCTACATCCCAGCGATATACTCCTGTGCTTGTAACGGTTCGTCACACCGCTGAGTATTGGGTCGTGACGAACATCGGTTTTGCCGTGCCAGAAGAGGGTGTGTACGTTTTTTCTTCCCGTCATGTCGTGCCGTGCCGTCTTGTTTCCTCCTGTTTCGGTTTGTGTTGTTTCGTTGGCTTTGTTTCGTTTTATTTTGTTTCGTTTCGTTTCGTTTCGTTTTGTTTCGTTACGTTTCTAGCTTTTCATATTGGCATGCCGGCAAGGTAACTTCCTTGTGTTCCCCGTCGTGGGAAACACACGCACGTGTCAAGGGTTTCGGGTTAGGTGAAGGAAGTTTGTAGCAGCACGACGAATGGCAAATGGCACGCGAGTGACACACGGCACGCATTGGCCGTCGTTCATCCGATGGATCTGAGAAACTGTTTTGCATGAACACCTGTTCGGTGATACAAGGGTAGTCCTGTTTATTGAGTTCTCCGCATAATGAGGGCTAGGGAAAAAAAAAAAAAAAAAAAAGAATTGCGAGAAAGAAAGGGAAAAAGGGCGCGCATGGAAACTAGCTCGTTGACTAACATCTGATCGTTGAATACCTTGGTTTCGACGCGAGCAGAGCCAGCGATCAGCGTACTCTTGGGCAACGGCGACAGCGACAACAAACTCACTGATATCTCTTCCAGAGTACAACCTCGCCAATACCACCACTACCATGGACTCCAACAATGACGACACCGACGACACCATCAATCTGGCAATGACCTACCTTCGCCGTCGCTATGACCCATCCAATGCGACTGACACGCTCACCATCCGCACCAGCTGGATCCGCACCGTGCACCGAGCCGCCCAAGTTTACCTCCACCAAATGACCTCGTCTTCCACCGACGAGGGCCTTCCCACCTTGTCAGGGGCTGCTAGCAATATCACCGAGAAAGACATCCTCTACGCCTACATCTGGCACTTGTTCGCCAGAGCGCGAGTGCGTGGCGCCACCAACTCGACCGACCCAACCGACCCCACGGAAGTAGTAAAACTGTTCACCACCGTCGGGGTCCACGACGTCTCCTTCCCTCCTCGTTTTGGTCCTCCCAGACAAACAACCCTAAGCTCAAACCAGGAGTACTTGGGCAACTTTCCGTCTGCCTTCCCCGTCATCGTCACCGCCCCCTTACACCAATTCTTCCTCCAGCCTGCCGTCACTGACAAGACAGCCATCCCTCGGCTCCGACGGTACGCTCTGCTCGCTAGCGCGATTCGCTCAGCCATCGAGGAGGCTGTTCAGAAACCTGAGGCCGCGCAAACGCGACTTGGTCTACTTAGGCAGGTGCAACATGAGGGACAACAACGAGAGGAGGGGCAGGAAGTGGCGCCGCGACAGGCGATGGTGGTAAAGAAGGATGGGATTCAAAGATGCAAAGGAGAGCTGTTTATTGTTTCTCTTGAGGACGTGAAGGGACTGGGTTACTCGGGATCGCATGGGAGACGGATGACGACGGTGGAAACTGGGTCGGAAATGATTTCGTCGTCATCGGAGGAGGAGGAGGTAGGGAGTGAGGTACACACTGGGTATACGCCGTCGACGCCGGCGACCGGTGACTATCATGCGATTGTTTTGCCAGTTCGGGAGGGGGGCGGTAAATGGAGAGTGCAGCTGCATTTACATCCGCTGGATAGGCAGTGGTTGAGGAGGTGGGTGGATGAGAACCCTGGGGAGGCTGAAATGGTGCCGAGAGTTTGAGTGAAGGCGGTTTCAGAAGCCCAAGGAGATGAGGTTGTCAGGAGGAGGTCTGGGGATTTGGCTGCGTTAGTGACTTTGGAATTAGTAGATGAATGGAGGGTTTTCTTTTATTTAAAAGATCAAGGCATCGGAGGTAAAAGTTTGAGTTTCCAAGGCTTAAGAAGTAGTAATATCGACTTGGCATGTCTATCGTAATCAATGCCAACGTCAATTTTGCCAAGGTCAAGGACATGCCCTACGGGGTCTCCACCCGCGGGAGCTCGGTGCCTGAGATGGGATCTCTTGGCAGGAACCCGGAGACGGCAGCGGCCGGCACGGCGCAGAAAGGGCGGGCCGCCAAGTAGTCAAGTAGTATCCGGACTTGCTGTCGTGCCGGCGTGGAAGGAGAACAGGAAGGGGAGAAAACGCCGGGCCAGACGGTGCCATCTCCGTCCTATCTCTGATGCGTTCAAGGAGCGGGGAAGGGCGGCACGGCCAGTGATGACCGGAGCGTGACCTCGCCCCCGGTTGGAAACAGGTGGATGCCCGGAGCAGCCGTACGGATTCGGTGGTTGGTTCCGCCTTGCGCGATATTTTCATTATCTGCTTCGGGGATCGACGCCGGAAAGACGTTGTTGAGTACGTAGGCTCATGACGATTTGCGAAGAGAGCTTTTCCACATTGATTCTCCCTGCCGGGGTGGGTAAGGTGCGGAGAGCTTACGTGGACAGCCGGTGCCAGAGAATGAGGACTCCATGATGGTTGCAGTCGATGAAGCATGAAGCGGCGGAAAGGGGGGACAGTCACAGGCGTCCGGTGCACTCGCATGTTTCACGCTTCAGGCTGGTCGTGGAGATGTCGATCAGTGATGACCATGATTTCAATGGTGGTCATCGTTGGAGCCGCAGTTGACGACACAGTCAAAGAGCCGCCGATGCCGATAGGATGATGGAAAGGCCCAAGTCTCGACTGGTGATGAGACTTCCGGGATTAAATCTTTTGTCGGAGGCGAACAAGTCAACGGCAACCAGCGATTCTTTTGCTGTCCCTGGTTGGTGACGAGTGTACATACCTGACCATGTATGACAATGCAGTGTTCCTGATCTAGGACCCGGCCGGTGGTCCAGTGTCACAGTTCCGTCGGCGTCGCCTCCGTTGCTCGTGTGGTGAGACCCTTCTACAACGACTTTGAAGGTGAAGGCAACCAATATCCGTTTGCCCGCCTCGCCGTGTCCATCATCCACTGGGTGTTGTTCATCGGTCCAGACGGAGCGGGATGGCAGGCATTGCGGGATTCTGACAGACCTTGTGAATGAACAAACCCGCGGCGTTCCCTGCCATCACGGCGGGCGAATGCGGAATCGACAGGCACCCACGAAACCTCTGAGCAGCTCCCAGCCCTCACAGAGTCAAAGAGAAGAATTCGTCGATTCCAACGGCATGTGGTGTAGGTAGTGTAGCAACGGAGGCGGGGGCCGCTAGGGGTGAACGACGCCTTGCCAGAACCGGTGGTGATCGTCGGTCTTGTCCCGGGTTCTTTCCTTTTCGTCGGCTTTATCGACAGATTTTGTTGTGTGCGAAAGCCCTCACTCGGGTCCTCCTCAGGCCATCCCCACCGCGACCAGTGACCAACACACATTCTCACATCGGAGCCGAAGTGGTTCCCCAGCGGAATCCGGCGGTCCAAAGGAGGAGGGCTGGGGAGGACGCAGAATCCCGTTCCTGTTCTCTTTTCCTCTCCAAACCGTATGAGCCAAGAACAGACCAATTTCAAACTATTACCATCTGGACCCTTTTTTGGGAGCTGACGTGTGACGAATGTGCTGGGCTGATTTTACACAGGGAAGGCATGTTGTGTGCTCAGGCTTTCGGAGGAAGGCGGCGAGGGAAACGGGACGAGAACATGACGGCTGTCGCCTTGCCCCTGTACCGGTACCTGAGCTAACGCGTAGAACACCCGCCCAAGTCAAGTTCTCGAAACCTAAAGGGTACTTCTAGAGAAGGGCAGGAAGCATCGAGGGATAAGGATCGGCCGATGTCGCTCTTGCCGTCATGTCGCCCTTGCCGTCATGTCGCCATTGACGTTGGGTGGCCGCTCTTTCCTGTGGAAGCAACGAATCCGTCGTGAGTTCTGCGTTGATGGCGTTCCTGCCGCGCAGAGAAAAGGAAAAAAAACAAGCGCACAATAGAGGCACACCCTGTCCGACAAAGCCAAGTCATCACACATTTGTTGTTGGCCCCCTTCCTTGTGACGGGCGGGCAAAGGTGGGCCATTGGCTCCAGGCAGAGAGTTATCGATCAGATAAGATGATCAGATAAAAAATTTGCGCCCATCAGTGCCAGGATCAGCAATCGAACAGGCAGTTCGTGCGCGACTTGGCAGTGTGGAGCTCGGCCGTGGTGCGGGGCCCTTACGTTGCGATTGGCCTTGTGCGACCAGGGGCGTCCTAGCCTGGAACTTGGAATTGTTGGTGGTGGGGTTGGTCTTTCCAATCCTCTTCCGTCGGTCAGAATTACCGATTGATTGACACATGACGGTTTTCAAGTGAAAAGAGAGCGTATTTTAAGAAAGAAGCATGTTGGAGCTCTAACAGGCATGAGCATAAGTATTCGAAGATGTGTCAACTGTTCTCAAATTCGACAGAGACATTTGTGTTGGGGAGTCAACTGTCTGTCTACCAAGGTTCCTACAGCTCTTTGACGCAGGAACTGGAATAGCTTCCGGCTTGGGAGACGGAACCCCCAAAATGCACGACGTAATCGACCCATATCGTCGATGGAAAACACACCGCCGCTTTACAAAAGCTCCATGGTAATTCCCGCATTCCTTGAAACTGAAAATAACCATTTCCCGGTAACAATGGAATTTTGGTGCTATCGAGGAATTGGCCGCGAAAAAATAGTAAACGTTTTCGTCCATATCGGTTCTTGGCAGAACACTGAACACAAAATATATGTGGTGCCATCTATCAAACCACTCTTCAAGGTTCACAAAGAACACTCGACAATGTTCCTACTCTAACAATTAATTGGGTGTAGTGGATGAATTTCAGATCTGTATTGCAACCCTTGGTCAGCCCAGTACCTATCATTGTTACACAGAGTCCAGACTCCAGACCCAGATGAGTGCTAGAATTAGCAGTGCCCGCACTCCTCCGAAAAGCTTCACTGCAAGTTGGGGTGACACTGCATCATTCTCGCTTCATTCTTTTTGTCGCGTGGGTTGTGGGATACAGTCTTGTCCACTTTGACGGCGCCTTTGGGTTCCATCACCACGTTGGGTCCCTTCCTTCTTCAACTCCATCGCATCCTCCCCCGTCACCGGCGTCAGGAATAACTGCCCTGCATATTCATCACGGGCATGTAACGTCCATGGAGATATCCGTTGCCGCGCAACAGCCTCCGGGAGGAAGGGTCTGAACTCTTGAATGGGGAGGTACCCATCCAGCCATCCCGACCCTTCGCGGACCCCGTCTGACTGTCCCCGTCTCGGCCGGATTTTGCTAGAGGCTGTCGCCATGGCCGCGGGTCTCGAGGAGTCGGCAGAGACTCCAGAACGGCGCAATGTCCTTTTCTGTCTCTAGGGCCCTAGAAATGGCTGCATGGGGTCCCCACCACTTTGCCTCTGCAACTTCCACTTTTTGCAAGAGCTACCTGGCTCAGTGTAACCTTGCCATCCTTGCCCTCCACTCCCAAGTCCCAACCACACACTGCATTGGAACCGCAGAAGCAGACCACCCCACGGCACAAGCTCCAATCGAGCCCCACCGGCCATGCCGTACGTGCGTGGGTGCACTTTCCGCCTTGTGCACTTTGATCTGATAATATAAACTTCGCTCCCGCTCCCGACTCTGCCCTCCTCCCGTTCTCCTTCAATCTGATATCTCCGTTCCATCCCCAAGCTTCCTTCCCCTCACATCATCTCCATTTTCCCACCCTTTCTCCTTCCCACTGGCTGGAGACTGAATCCCATCTGACCCAGATTGTGGTCCATCGAGACTCTTTTTTCTCTTTCTTGATTCCTCACATCGGCTACTCGGCCCTATTCTTCTTCCACCATGAGGAGTCTTCTCCACAAGCTGGGCCGCGATGCGGCTCCGGTCGACATTGTCGAGGAGGTCCAACATAACCCCAATGACAAGGAAGCCGCTGTCGGTGAAAAGTCAACCACCAACGAGTCTGACCCGGGTCACGAGACCGACTCCAGCCAGGAGATCTCCAAGGAGGCTCAGGCCGGTATCCAGCGTGTCGAGGCCATGACCAAGGTCTGGACTCGCAACGACATGTATATGGCCTACGTCACGTATGTTCCATCCTTCCCTTCCGTCCGCATGCTGTGGCTGTTTGACTAACATTCGTTCGCCTCCAGTATCTGGATCCTCTACTTCGTCGATGCCCTCCAGTCCGGCATGTCCACCAGCTTCTACCCTTACGTTACCAGTTCCTTCTACCTCCACTCCCTAACGGCCACCACCAGCATCATGTCCAGCTTGATCGGTGGTCTCTTCAAGCTCCCCCTCGCCAAAATCCTCGATATCTGGGGTCGTCCTCAGGGTTTCTGCTGCATGCTTTTCTGCTTGACCATTGGTCTGATCATGATGGCTGCTTGTGACGGTGTCAAGACGTACGCTGCTGCCCAGGTCTTCTACTGGGTCGGATACAACGGCATCACCTACTCGGTCTCCATCTTCCTCGCCGATACTTCGGCCCTCAAGAACAGAGCTCTGCTGTTTGCCTTTGTTTCGTCCCCCTACATCATTACCTGCTGGATCAGCGGTATTGTTGCCGAGCGCTTCCTCGACGGCCCTGGCTGGAGGTGGGGTTATGGTGCCTTTGCCATCATTGTTCCTGCCGTCTGCTCGCCCCTGCTCTGGCTCTTTTACAAGAACCACGTCAAGGCCAAAAAGGCTGGTCTTCTCCCCAAGCACGAGAGCAAGGGCGGCTTCTGGCCCACGCTCAAGTACTACCTCATCGAGTTCGACATCCTCGGCCTGCTCCTCATCACTACTGGCCTGGCCCTGTTCCTCCTGTCATTCAACCTTTACTCGTACCAGAAGGACCAGTGGAAGTCTCCCCTCATCATCTGCTTCCTTATCTTTGGTGGTCTTCTCATGATCGCTTTCGCCTTGTACGAGAAGTTCTTGGCTCCCAAGACCTTCATCCCCTACCAGCTCCTCATGGACCGCACCGTCATCAGCGCGTGCATCCTTTCCGGTGCCCTCTTCGTCTCGTTCTACATCTGGGATAGTTACTTCCCCTCGTTCCTCCAGGTCGTCAACAACCTTGACGTCGTTAAGACCAGCTACGTTGTCAACGTCTACAGCGTTGGCTCTTGCTTTTGGTCTCTTCTCGTCGGTTGGGCCGTCCGCAAGACTGGTCGCTTCAAGTGGCTCGCCGTGTACTTTGGTGTCCCTGTTACCATTCTCGGTGTCGGCCTCATGATCCACTTCCGTCAGCCCAACGAGAACGTCGGCTACATTGTCATGTGCCAGATCTTCATTGCCACCGCCGGTGGTACCCTTGTTATTTGCGAGCAGATGGCGGTCATGGCGGCCACCTCGCACGAGTTCATTGCCGTCGTCCTTGCCATTGAGGCCATGTTCGCCAACATCGGTGGTGCCATTGGTCTCACTGTCGCCTCGGCCATCTGGACCGGTGTCTTCCCCCAGCACCTGGCCCAGTATCTCCCCGCCTCGGAGCAGGCGAACCTCCCCACCATCTATGGCTCTATTACCGAACAGCTGGCCTACCCGTATGGCTCCGAGACCAGAAACGCCATTGCTCGGGCTTATGGTGACTCCCAGAGGTATATGCTCATCGCTGCGACGGCCATCCAGGCCATCTCGCTGGTGTCGGTCATGTTCTGGAGGGACATCAAGCTTAGTGATGTCAAGCAGAACAAGGGCTTGGTGTTTTAAAGTGGCGAAGAAGAAAATGGTTTCTTTGCAAGGTTATTTGGTGGTTTGGATATTAAAAAGAGGCGGGGCAATTGGAAAAAGGAAACGATGCAGGATTTAGGCATCGTGTCAGGACGTTTTTGTTGTTGTGATGAGATATACCCGAGATGTTTGCTCCTTTTCTATAGTGGCGAGGATAATGTAATACGAGTAATGAATGCCATTTACAATTTGTGCACCGGTTGGCCCATCGTCAAAGTTGAGATGATTTTTGATTGAAGAGGATTTCGGAATTGTCTATGGCTATATAGGCTTAAGGTTTGGGTCACATGAGTACCAATGAACAGGGGTGGTCCTTCTGCCTGCGCGGTCCCCGCGTTGAATCTAAGAAACTCCAAATTGAAGGTCGGCCGCTCGTTCAATCCCGCTCGTGTCCCAATTTTCGAACTATGGGAGAGCTGCCTGGGCAAGTCCTAGGCACTCTCCCATGGTGAGTTCACACCTTAGCGTAGTATAGCGAATAAACTTATCTACAGCGAACATCTAGCGAATACTAACCCATAGCGAGTACTAACCAATAGCGAATATTGACCTATAGCGAAGATACTAACCTATAGCGAGCATACTAACTAATAGCGAATCTCAGCGAATATACTAACAAGTAGCGAATATATCTATCTCAAGCGAGATCTGGGTTTTCACCAAGCGGTTTCCCAGCGAAGTAAGTAAATATTTTGTTTGCCCATATCTCTTTTTTTTTCCCGCCTCTTTCCCAACGCTGCCCTGGACTGGTTGCTTGTCAATCGTGAACGCTTATTAGTCGTGAACTTGTGACAAACCTTGGGCTCTCGATGGGCTTCTCTTTGTCGATAACGTTTTAGTCAGGGGTAAGTGCGGGCGATAAGCGACTCTTCCCCACTTTGACGTCATGGGCGTTCGTCTGAAGTCCCCGTCCCTTTCCGTGTAAGACAACAAACAATACCATTTCAATCATACACAAACAGATCCCCTTTGGTGACACATTTTGACCAAAGCCCGCAATCTCTCAACATTAGCTTTCACACCGTATAACCTTGTTCCGCTAAATTCTTTCGAAAATTAACTGATCTCGAATCTCGAAAACCACCACCTTACCCGAATCTCAGACACAATGGCCGAAGTTGCTGCCGGGGCTCTGGTTGCAGAGCAGATTGTTGCAACAGGCGTCGAAGTGGGAGCAGCAGTTGCCGTCGCTGCTCCAACACAGCCTTTGAAGGTGTCTCTTAAACAACTTGCGAGAGCGACATCAGAGGACACTACGTATGCCCTCACCCTCCTCCTTCTGATCACTAGTCCACTGGCTGCTCAAGGAAGCAACTGCTAATCATACTGTATCCCTACAGGCGAGCCCTTGCCAGATCCAACCATACCATTACCACCATCGGTAACAAAGTCTACATCTTTGGCGGCGAAGATATCGACGGCAAGCTTTGCAACAGCGATGTCCATGCCATCTTGCTTCCGAGCAAAGACAACACCGGTGCCGAGAAGCTCCACGATCACTACCCAGCATTTCCTTTGATTGATGCAAAGACCGGTGAGACATACATACCCGCGCCTCGGACTAAGCATGCCGCATGTGCTTGGGGCAACTCGGTTGTCATCCACGGCGGATGCGACGAGCACGGTAACCCGATCGAGGAAGACAACTGTCTCTGGCTCTGGGACACGGAGCACATGAAATGGACTAAGCTACAGGGCCAGACACAACTCGGCGTGAAGCTGGCGCCTCGCTACGGTCACCACATCTTTGTCGACGACAAGCAGGAGTTTTTGATCCTCCACGGCGGCCACACTTCAACCTCAGGCGGCAGCCAGCCGGAGACAGAGACATGGCTCTACAGCTTCGACCGCAACGCCTGGACTACCCTCCCCAAATCACCCTCTCCTCCGCTCGCCGCCGTCTACACCGACAACACCCTCTACACCATCAGCGCCAGCCCGGACGCGCCCAATCTCAGCGGCACCATCAACTACCTCGACCTGCTCAAGTCCACCACCGACCGCGAGAAGCCCGGCGCTTTGGTCTGGCAGTCCATCACTTACCCCATCAACCCGCTCACGCCCGGTCCGCGACCGCGCTTCGGCGGTGCTTTGGTGCCCATCACTACCGGCTACGGCCGCTCCTACCTGATTTACATGTTCGGCATATCCTCTGACGCCGTCGGCGAGTCCAACGAGGCTTTACTGGAAGAAGAGAAATACTACGCCGACATCTGGTCCCTCCAGCTTCCGTCGCACGGGTATACCGCCGCTGCGGCCAAGGACGTGATCCGCGACAAGCTGATGCCGAAGGGGATTGAGTCGGGCAAGTTCAGCTGGGCGGAGGCGGAACTGGTGGCCACTGAGCAGAAGGCGGAGCTAGAGGAGGGTAAAGTGCATCCTGGCCCGAGAGGGTTGTTGGCTGCGAGTGGTTGTTTGGAGGGGAAGGGGGTGGTGCTTTGGGGAGGAGTTAATCCCAAGGGAGAGAAGGAGGCGGATGGGTGGGTGTTGGGGTTGGCTTTTGGGTATGCTGATAGTGATCGGTTTGAGTAGAGGGGAACTGGAGGGGGTTTAGTGGTAGCTGATCTACCTTTTTCTTTCAAGTGTTCACATGCGGAAACTTCATCGTGATGATGGCTTTAGGGGATGTGATATCTATGCAGGAAAATCCATGCGGGAAGGCTGTTATGTTAGCAACGTGCCAAGAGGTTATGTTATGATTGATACTTAGGTCAATGTCGAGTTATTCAAAAGTTCATATTTAAAATCTCGATTCCAGTAATGAAGTTCCCCTCTATGGTGCGCGAGTGTCAGCCATTTCCGGATCCCACCATTCAATTCCAACGTAGAGGTTAAGTTACGATCGTATTCCTGAGGTATCCCCGTCACTCAGCCCTTCAATAAGATACGATCTCACCCTAAAGTAGCAGCCATTCGCATCTGTGCCACCGCCGTACACTACTGAAGAAGGAGAACCCATAAGTCAAACTAGATCGAAACATAACCTCGATCCAGGTCCTTGCCGAACGGACATCTTCGCCTTTTGGGCAGTTCAGATTGTTGGTGTTTCTTGGTAGACATTGGTGTTCCTTGGTAGTGTCACGTTTTTCGTCTCAGCCACTGGCAAGTTACCTAGCTGGAATCGGGATTGGCAATGGGGCACGGCAATGGTACGTGTACAACATGAGGTGCTACTGTAGATCAGCTCAGCTATGGCGTAGGAACTACAGTACAGTAGCTCTACGTGTATGTAGCGCTTACGGGAGGTCTAGTGATAGTTGACAGTGTAAGGAAAAAGGATTACAGTAAACTCTCTGTGCGGCAGTGGTGTCGATGTCACGATGTCCAGTTGACTGTTGTCGATTCCCTTCTTTCTTTTTTTCGTTATTTTTTTCGCGGCCGGATGTCAAATTTCAAAGAACAAGACGGCAGACCGTTCGGCACCACAGGGCGAGTGTCCAGGTTGAGGTGATATGACAAGTGACAAGCGACAAAACGGAGGGATGTCAAACTCGGATTCCCTCTCCCGTTCCCTGTTTTCCTACGACTCAAGCTCTCTCAGTCTCACAGGGCGACAGAGCACAAACTCTGATCCCGATGGAAACGCTCGGATTTATTGCGTAGGTAGAGGTAGGTATCGGATGCTTGCCGCTCAGGTCAAAAATTCGATGGAATCTCATCTGTCAGTCAGTGTTTGTATCACCTGCAGTGCAGGGAAGCTGGAGATGTACAGTGATCAATTAAGTGTTGCAGGATTGTTGGGCGGGACCTGACGGGATAGATGCTGCAGGTTGCCTACTATTGCCCACCTGCAGTTTGTCATTTCATTTTTGATAATGCATTAAGGTGACAGATTCCGTGGAGGAAAGGGAACCGCTTCAGGCACAAAACAGGATTAAGCACCAGCAAGCAAGTTCGTAGCCATGGCCACCACTCAGCGACATCAATTCTTTTCCATTCTCGGGGGCGCTGCTCTCTCAGTCTGCCTGTGATATTCGACATGTGCCTGAAGTGGCGGAGCCGTGCCGCAATCGCGCTTGTTCGTTCCTTCCCAGTCTCACCAAGTTCCCCCTGGCTGGGCCGCCGTTCCAGGCACTGCACTCACCTCAGTGGGAGGACAGGACAGACAGAACCAAAGAAAGCAAGGGCGAACGAAGGACAACAAGGGAACGGCAAGCCAAGCATGAATTAACTTTTAGCAGGGGGGGCAGTGTAGCCGGCGGTGGCAATTCGTGATTGGCCTCTTGGCAGCATCAAGCGCCGTGTTCGACTGGTGTGGCCCAGGTGGCTTGACCTATTTGGGAATGGCTTCCAGGCTGACTTTCCAAACTTGCGGGGATGGTCAGTAACAGGAGGAAACGGGCAAAGAAACGAAGATCATCCATCATTCATCATCCATCAGGCTGCAGGGTTCTTGAGGGTCTTGAGGGGAGGGTTCCCTAACCTTGTTTTGGCGAGGGAACGTTACGAGACTAAGGTACGAAACCCAAGCCACGCTCAGTCTCACCACACTTCTTCTTGTCCGTCATTTCTTTATAACTTGTCGCATGCGCTGGCATGAAAACCTGTCGGTCAACTTTTTTGCTCTTCTTGCCTTCCTTCCCCCGAGATTCCATCGGTTTGCGTGGTAGTTAGCTTGAGTTTTCCTCGCTCCCTTGATCACGACCCCTAAACAAAGAAACGACAACGACGACAATAACGACGACCGCATCCTTCAGCGACGAACAATACCTCAAGCTTAGCTGCGCAATTGGGGGAATATATTTTCAACTGGATATAAAATCGAATCGAATTTTCTCCAAGCATCAATCATCAAAGAGTGAATAACGAGAGAGAGAGCGAAAGAAAACAAGAACAAGACCAGCAGCAACCGCAAATCGCAACCATGCCTCCCCCACCCTATATAATCGGTGACTCCTCGCCATTCCTCAAGCGCGTGCTGATTCCCTTCTGGGTGATCCGCATAATCATCATGGTGATCGAGCTGGCCGCCTGCGGTCTCGTCGTAGCCGCCATCGGCATCACGCACGACGATCTAGAAGACGACTTTGGCAGCGGTCCGGTGAAGGGGGCGATTGCCATTGTGGCGGTCGAGATGGTGCTCGTCGCCTTGTGTTTGGTGCTGGACATTGTGAGCATCGTCAAGCGGTCCCGAAGAACGCTGAGCCCGAAATTCTTCCTCATCACGAACGTCATCCAGACGACTATCTGGGTGGTGTTTATTGTTTTAGGCCTGATTGGCGTTAGGAGTGCGGGACAGATTATTCTTGGGATTGTCATCCTGTGAGTTTTGTTTTTCCCTTTCCTACCGACTGTTTCCCGTCAAAATCACTGTCATACCTAGTCACACTAACTCATTTACTTTCAAAACCCAGCCTCTCATTCGTAGGCATGCTCATCTACGCCTCCATCATCTTCCACCGCTTCCGCAAGGGCGACCTCAACCCCGGCGCCAAGGGCGACGGCTACGTCCAGGCTGTCAACCCCGCCATTAGCACCGGCTTCTACGCTGCCGAAGACACGGCCTACGCTTCTCAGGCATATGCCGCCCAGGCTCAGCCTTCTGGTCAGAAGTATCCTGCTAGCCCATATAGCGTCGGCGTCACTCCTGTCGATAACAACAACGCCCTCGCTTATGGAGCACCAGCGACGCAATATCCTAAGCCGACGTATTATGATGCGCCGGTGCATGGTGGTCAACACCAGCCCCAGGGGTATGAGCTTGAAAGCCGCAACCCTTAGGGGAGGATGCGGATTAAGGGTTAAATTGGGTTAATGTGTAATGATGATGTTGATGGTTCACGTTCTTTTCTGGTTGAAGCTGGTAAATGGAGGTGATGTTGAATTGGACAATGGGGGGCTTTCTGGATAACGGACTGGATAGACGGCTGAGAGAAATACGGCTAATTAGCTTGGTGATACAAAATATACCCCTCAGGACAGCATCGGTTATTCCTTATTGAGCATCCTTCCACCTCACAAGTCCATCGGTCTGTCAATCCACAAGTCCCCTCCACTGACACCCATCTCAAACCCGCCCATACCAACGGGCTCACCAGCCAAAGACAGCACATCTCCTTCTCCCTCCCCATCTCCTTCAAATAACCGAACACTCTCCGTCTTAGTAGGACTAACAACCAGAACCTTCACCCGACATTGTTCCAACCCTTTTCCCAATCCCAATAACCTCTTCAACAACCCCATAATCGCGTCCTCATACCTATCCATCTCATAATGCACGACACCGTCAATAACACACACAAGCGTGACACTACCTGGTAGCCGTCTAACCAAGCAGTGGAAGACCTTCCACAGCGCTTTGAGCTTACCCTCCCTCGCCGCGATGATATCGGCCCCAGCTTCTTGCTCGATATGCAAAAGGTTGAGGTGCGGGTAGTAGCGGAGGAGTTGGGCGATGAAAGAACGGAACATGGTGGCCGGCCAGGAAATGGTTTCCGTGCTGTGAGGTTCCGACCGTTCTTCGTCTTCCTTGTCGACGTGTAGGCCGCAGAACCATATTAGGGGGATGTGTAACTCTCCTCCTGGTGCTTGTCCTTGCATCTGTGTCTGTGTCTGTGTCCGGGCTTGGAGGTTCAGTCTGTCTCGCATCCCCTTTATGACAGCGGCGCAAAGGGTTGAGAAGGCGGATACGTATAGCGGTGGATATCGCTCAAAGTCTCCCACGATCAGCAGCCGTTGGGAGGAGGTGGTGCCTGCGCCGAACCACCTGTGAAATAATTGCTGGGGTCAACTGGGGCTACCTACAGGCCTGATACATTGGTGATGGTACTGAGGCAAGGGCCTAAAATGGTGAGATGATAGCTTGTTGTATCTGAGAGCAAGGACGCAGCTGATGTTGTCAAGGAACATGAATGTGTATTTCAGCAACAGCTGGACCTAGAAGAGGAAGTGTAGGGCCCCTTCATTATCGCCTTTGCTGCTGCGCCGCAGCGGGGACAACCAACCCAATGTGGTGTGTATCAGGATGCTACCCTTGATAAGATCCTGGACAGTTTTGTAAGCCCTTTGTTCTTATCGTTTCATTTGCGACTCTTCCAAGGCGCATACCGAGAGTGCACCCAGACAATTGGGCATAAGGATTGGTTGTGGTCGACAATGTACTGTATGGAATGCATGCTTTCAGTTTATGGGGTCCCGTTCTGCAAACTCGCGTGATATTTGCGCATGAGAGTTTCTCCACCTAAACTGTCTCACGGCCCGTCCCGGTGTGGACTTGGGAAAGTCCATCAAACCTTCATCCAATCTTGCTCGCCGAGTTGATGACTCCACCTCTTTCAACTCTTTTTGAACATGGAAGGTACGGTGGCTACGGCCACGGAAGAAGGGGCGGCCGCGTCGACAGATGAAGCACCAGAGCCGGCCAAGTCCTCTCCTCCGACCGCGACTCCTTCTCTGCCTTCCTCGCCTTCTCCGGCTATACAGCAAGTGAAAGCCTTGCAGTCCATGGCTCCAGCGATATCCTCAACCACAACTGAAATCCCCCATGACACGACGTCTACGGAAATCACGACACCAATTGTAAGCACCGACACAACAGGAGTTCACGATGACGCGAATGCGACACTTGATGATGGCGCTGCTCGGGTTGCGCCTCCATACCCGCCGTGTCCGACCTCCTTGGAAGAGGTCGGAGAGATAATGGAGATAATCGAAGAGACTGAATCCCGGATAGCCCGCCACCTTTCTCGAATTTATCTCAGTAATCAGACCATCATCTTTTTTAGTCAGGGGGCGGCCTGCAGCCCGTACGCTTCGCGTATAATTAATTGAGTCTTTCTAATACTTGGCTGTCAAGGGAAAAGTGAGACATTTTGCCAACCTCCTCTTAGAAAAGAGAGGGAATTTTTTTCAATGGGACAGCAAAATATTATAAGTCAGACTCTATATTATTTTAACACCAAACTAACTTAAACATATTTGTACTACTATATTGTACAGGGTTATTTACTACTGCAATGTAACCATAAAGTCTAAAATACTACCCAATTAAATAAAAATAAATGAACTAGCTATCATAGGATTAGCCTGTGATGGATGCAGCACGTGATGCCTGCCGAAGGCAAGTCATCACTGTCAACCATGTTTGACTGGCGTACGCACGTGACCACGTGCCACGTACGTTGTGCGTGCCCGGCTATGCCCTTTATATAAGGCTTAGCTAGCATACTACTTCCTTTCTCCTCTCCTCGTACAACTACACATATCCATATCCATACCCAACGTCGAGTCCACCCGTGATACTAGGGAATTGTATTATTTGTTTAGTATAAGTACCTTCTCTAGTACCTTCTTTAGTACAAATATAAGTACAAATACAAGTGTAGGTACTTCCCTTTTTCTTATTAAAGTACTTCTTATAGCTGCTCTTTTTACTTCTATATACAATTTTATGATTTTCTTTATAAGCTTTATAATACTCTAATATAATATTTCTTCTAAAATTCTTATCTAAAATAAGATAGAAACAAAAGTAGGAATTAAGCAAAATAATATAAAAGTAGCTTTTAGGAAAACGGGTAGTAGTAATTTCAATAGCCCAACAATAAGCTTAGAAATAATGGACGAGTAATTAAATAGCGACTAATATATATAAGCAAATAGCAAAATCTAGTCTTCCTCCTCCTTTCCTCCCCTTCTCCTCCTCTTTCTTTTCCTCCTCTTCCCTATTATCTTTCCTATTGTATACTACTCTAATAAAATCATCGTCTTTATTATTATTATTAGTATCAAGTGTACTTTTATTTTCAAATAGTACTATAACTATTTACGTATTAAAATAGCGAATAATTTTGGTAGTAAGTTTAAAGATGAGCGTATTTATAAGAATAATAACTTATTCATTGATAGTTATAGCTATTTAAAATATAATTTTTAGTAGAGAAGGAGAACGAAGAAAACAGGAGAGAAGTTTTTGCTGTTATTAAGTAATGAAAAAATTAATTATAGTAATACTAAAGAAAGAAAGAAAGGGTTTATTATTGAAATTAAAATTGAACGAATTATTTGAAAAGAGGTTATTAAGCGGGTTATCCACCGCCTGCTAGAAAGCTCGTAGTAATAGAACACTCTTTTTATTCTATTAAAAAAATTACCTTCTTCTTTTATTAGCTTATTGAAAATATTTTATTCGAATGTTAGAATTTGATCGCCGTTTTTTAACTATTCTTATTTTTAATTCTTGAAGTAAACATTTTAATATACTTTGCTTTTACTATTACGATTTTACCTAGCAATTTTATATTTAGTTCTAATTATTCAATTCTACAATTTAATAATATTCAATTATTTCTTACATTCTATTACTATTGCTTTCTATAGCTATACGATTACTCTTTTATTAAATTCCTGTTTAAATAAATTAAGCGAAAGAGTCTTCTTAAAGATTGTAATAACCCCCCCTCTTAGCTTTGGTTTAAATTAGCTGCTCTTTCTTTATTTCATTCATTACACTCTTATATATGATTATATGATAGTAGGGCTTTATAAACAACAGTTTAAGCATATAAGGAGTATAGCATAGTTGACACAGATGCTGGTCAAAAGAATCGATAAGGTTCTACGAAGAGAGAAGGGAAGAAAAGGACGCTCCTTGGGCAGTCTGGCCGGCTGTCTTAAAGAAGAGACGTGCGCGCGCACAGGCCAATGTTGCCTGCCGCGAGAGTAGAGCACTCGCCTGGCAAGATTGCCAGGCATTTCAACTACAGGCACTAGCCTCATAACAAAGTAAAAGAATAACGCTAATAGGTAAGCAAATTAAACGCATATAAGTATTTAATTTTAGTATACTTTAAAATAGTGATAACTTTTTTGAAGCGGGTTTCATTAGAAAGTAATAAAATCAATACAGAGTTAAATTCCTTAGATTACTTTCTTTGAATTTATATAAGGATTTGGCTCCTATTAATTAATTTTATATTTGTATTCATAAAGTTGTCAAAAATATTCTACGGAATTATACTATTGTTGTGGATAGTTTAAAATATTGGAAGTAATATAGTAAGTAAAGTAATGAAATAGGGATTAATAGTGAAAATAAAGGGAAGGAGGAGAAAGTTAAACCTTAAATTTTTTAATAAAGGTCATCTGGGAAAAATCATATTCGCTACGCTTAATAAATTATTTTAAAACGTTCAAGTAATGGTTTTTAATAAACGAAAATACTTTAACGTTAAACGGTTGTATTATATGAGTAAAATAAGGAAGTAGTGCTATTAATATAGAGTTGAAAGTATTAGAATATTCTTTAAATTCTATATTATAATAACTGCGAAATTTATTGATAATCAATAATCAATAGATAACTTTATGTACTTATTTAAGTCAATTTCTACCATTAATATAACTGGGTAGTTTCTTTCTTATAAAATTCATTTTAAATCAGTTATAATTGTATGAATTTATAAAAGAGAATTCTTTTTCCTTTTTATCCTATGACGAACAGCAGTCTGATCTGCCTAAATGAGATAGCTATGACAAGCTAGGGTGCATATGCTCAGACGGCCAAACCTACAAAAGATAGGACGATGTTCTGCTTGCAAGGCAGAACTCAGAATGCACACTATATAGCTAATGTCAACCTGTGACAGCCTGTCATATTAATAGATATTTCATATACGAATACAATATTATTAAAAAAATAGATGTATCTCGCTGCACAGCTGATTTGTATAGGTTTGCATATACCGAAATTTTCGCGAATTAACCCGCATTCGCGAATTGACCCGCCAAACCCCAAGCGAAGTCTAGGGTTGCCCAAGGGCGTTTTTAGCCCAGACGAGTATAGACCCATTGAAAAGGAAACACCAGCAGGCATACAAGCTCCTCGCGCCGGAAGACATGCGCTCTGCCAAAACGTCTCGTCCCATGCCGGAGCGCATTTGGATATCGTCTCCATTGATAACCGCCATTCTCGATTCCATGGCCATGGACGGCATCAACACCGCCCACCGCTCACAATGGAACCTGGAAGCAACCAGTGGTAGAAAAGGATTCATCATGGTGAGACCCTTCAGGGCGCTTTCCTATTTGAAAACCCAATTACTCCACCAGTACGATGTCATGAAGCGCACATCATTGCTTCAATACAGAGCCGTGAACCAAAGACAACTCCTAGCACCCCACAAAATCATGTATCAGATGCTGGCGAAGTCAAGGCGAATTCCGGGAATATCACCCCAAGTTCTACCAGCAAGGGCACCCCAGGAAGTGAGTCGGGTGCACCTAGTGTTTCAAGCCAGTCTCTCCAGAGTGAACCAACAAGTGATGACACGAAATTCAAGCATCTCAAGTGCCTGACGAACTTTATGACGGTGGATATTGATGAACGGATTGAATACCTCCACAGCCATTATGGTGAAAAAGCGAGTTTTTTTGATCTCTGGTACTTGTTCAAACCAGAGGACGAGGTCATTGACCATGAGGAAAACCAAGCCTACCATGTGTTGGAAGTCTTAGGGCCCTATCGCCAAACACCAGAAGTTGCTTTGGGAATATTCAGTGATGCAGGTTCGAATACCAGATCTTCCATGACTATATCTTGCTTTTACATCAACTTGATGGTGAACGGCTGGGTTCCGTCAACATCACATTTGACATTCCAAAATACGACGGAGAAAAGTCCGTGACCTCGTTGCCGGTTTATCCACTTCGTTTTGCCGACCGCAAACCGAACACCGGCGACGAAGATATGGGAGAAACCTTTCGGCAACGGTTGATCGAACGAGGTGTGAGATTTATGGAATACACAAAGATTACACACGGCTATTACAATGGCTATACGCTCGACACAAACGAAGAGGTTGACAGTGACGTTATCACTGATCCCGAACAAGCCTTCTCACTCCTGGCCAGGACGACTGGAAACCAGCACTTGAGAATTTGATCCAAAGCCAACCAAAGGGACAGTCAAGGGTCGTAACCCCTACTTGCTCGGCGGTTTGCTGCAGGGGCGAAGAAGTTTACCCAGATGCAGAGATCGACATCCTTCGCAACAAGGAGTACATTGCTAGCCTGAAACCCAAAAGGCGTTATATCGATCCATCCCTCATAATCTGCCCACGACCAATTCATACTTACAACATGTCAGCGTCGACCGGAGGTTCCAGGAGTAGTCGTGATGAGTTTCCTACTAACAGTGAGTTGGTAATTATGTCGTATCGAGTCCTTGGCTTCATACTCAGGCTACGCAAATTGGGTACGTGCATTTTCTTCAAGGTTCCAGAAGCCGTAACTCTAAAACTGATTTCATCTTGTAGGGAAATTGAACAACAACTGTTTTGCCCCGATTGATTCGGCAGACCGGAGCAATGGCATGAAAGGACAAACGTACGTGCATTGCGACAACGAAAAGTCTATAATTTGTTGCAAAGATGGAAGTTTAAATATCAGACACGGGAACAGAAGACATCATTCGAACATCTGGTTCTTCCATATGGACACAAAGAGATCGTTCTGTCCCTCATTGCCCAACACTTCCGAGACAAAGTGGCCCGAGGATCAGAAATCAATCACCGTGACATAGGCCGTGGTAAAGGTACTCTACGCTCCTAAACTACTGGCCCTTGTCTTATGTAAGTCTCTTTGTTTCTTGGCTCGCGTTTGCTGATATTTTGGTCCTTCAGGAAAGGGATTGATCATCCTACTACACGGAGCACTGGGTCTGGGAAAAACAACAACCGCGGGTAAGCAACGAAAGGCAACGAGGTCATTTTTGACCCTTGATTCAATCCCACTGACATAGCTGTTATAGAAGGTGTCGCACCTCATTTCAAGAAACCCTTGTTTCAGATAACCTGCGGTATGAAAAGTCCTTTGGCCTGTCCAAGACAATTCCTGGGCGTGAACTAAGACTTTTGATGTAGGTGACCTAGGCACGCAATCGAAAGATGTTGAAGCAGCTCTTGAGCGGCACTTCGCATTAGCTAGCCGATGGGGTTGCATCTTGCTGTTCGACGAAGCAGACGTATTCCTTGCCTCCCGTACCCCACAGGATCTTGCGAGGAATGACTTGGTTGTTACGATCCAATCATGGAGATTAGACTAGCCGACCAATCAGATCGGACCCGAAGGGAGGACCCGAAGCCCCGGGTCCTAAGCCCGGGTCCCGGGGACCCGAGACGAAGGTTCGGGTCCACGGGTCCAGTATATCGGGTCCATGAAGACCGGTATAAAAGAAGGCCTTCCCCGGCCTCTTGTTACCGGTTCTTCAGCAAGCAATAGCTATCACAACCTACCAGTACCTTTTGGCTACTACTCCGTTACTCTATTGTTCTATCCCAGCGATAATACTCCTGTGCTTGTAACGGTTCGTCACATTGGTTTCCGGTAAGCGCAGCAATAACTTGAATGATGCCACCTCAATGCTAATCACGATGTCAAATTATAGTGCTCTTGCGAGTATTGGAGTACTATAACGGAGTTCTCTTCCTAACCACGAACCGTATTGGAGACTTTGACGAAGTTTTTGCCTCTAGAGTTCATGTCAGCCTCTACTACCCACATCTCGATCTTCAATCCACGCCAAAGATCTTTGAGCTGAATCTTGAAAGAATTGTCAAACAGTCTCAAGAAAAGAACAGGGCGATCACCATTGATCAAGAAAAGATCATGCAGTTCATCCACCTCCATTGGGAGAGCAAGGACAGGATGCGATGGAATGGCAGACAAATACGAAACGGCTGTCAAACAGCGCTGGCTTTGGCCGAGTTTGAGGCGCAGGGCGGCAATCTCGAGCGAGTCGTTGATGCTAACGCAGAGGTCAAAATTACTTACAAGCATATCAGAATCGTTTCCAAGTCGTACCGGGAGTTTAACCATTACCTCGAAAGAGTTTACGACCGTGATTTGGACAGAAGGGCCAAGTACATGGGCATCCGCGCACGAGATATTGGAGCTACATCAGGCCCTTTTGGTTTTGAAAAGCAAAGTGTATTCAGCTAAGAATCCGATGATGACCTGGGAAAAATTACTAAGAGCTTGTTCGGACACTTCAGTCACGAGAGTTTACCCAGTATTCCGGCCCATCCTCAAGGGTTTCAACCACATCTATTCAATACCCAAAACACGACAATATTACGGACAACCACACCCTCCAGCACATTCTCAGATACAAGGAGATTCCAACACTTGACAGCATCCAACGTCGATATATACACAAGGCTCGTATACTTCAACACAAGCAGCCTACAATCAGAACACCGGCTCAGGCAACGGTCATCCTCAAGCGGCTTCATATACTGGATATGCCCAGCAAACGTCGAACGCTTCAACCTTCCAGGGACACATGCAGCATACACCAAACGTGTCCCAATCAACGCCGTCACTACAGCCTAGTGCACCGCAAGGGATGGTAGGCCTCATGGCTATGCAAGCATCACCGCCACCAATGCAACCACAATCACCAAGACCGGCAGGTAGTGGAACGGATGCCCAACAGGACACAACCCATACCCTCTACAACCAAGCATATACTCAGCAACATCAGTCTCCGTACGGACAGGTTTCGCCCATGTCACCAGGTCAAACATTGCAGACTGCCACTGGGCCTGCACCCATATTGGGGCCTCAATTAGCATCGGCAAACCTGCTCGGGGTGACTGGAACAGAAGCATGGCAATTCCAGAATATGGCGGCAGCCTATCAAACACAGAGCTGGCACGGTCAACTTACGGTCAACTCTACTGGCCAGGCTCAGACGCAAACACTTAGGGACAGCAGAGTGGACAGCTATAGTACAGTAGAAACCCTGTTAATGCAACTAATTCTGGCAGCCGGAATCTTTTGCAAAAGATGGGAGTTTGCAAAAGGAGGACCAAGCGCACAGATCATACAGGGTTTTTGGCCATTAGAGAGCCGCCGCGGGGCCCAAAAAGTGGATCCTCCAAAGCGACTGTATCTCAGGTAGAGGGGTATAAGTCTGCCTCTCCCACTAAAATTTTGCT